TTTGAAACAAGTGTATGTATTTATCTCCAGCGCTCTTGTGGTTTTCATGTTTCTCCCAGGTCATCCCAGGTGCCGGACTACCATGAGGTGCTGTAATTAGTGCCGCCCTGATTTATTCAAATGTTATATATGTTGTCGTACTCTATAAAAATCTGGGGCTAAATTAATATATTTAACTATCAAAAGTTACTTTAGGAGCTGAAAAGGGGGCAGTGCTGTGTGGGCAGTGCTGTAAACATAATGGTGCTCCTTGGTGTCAGCCAGCAACAACAGAAATATGTATAGCGGCCATGAGGGCAATCTTGATTATTGAAAAGGGAAGATAGTGGCTTGAAATGTGTGTTGGGCACCACATATGTATCCATTTTTATTTTAGGCACTGTGGGTCGGCAAATTGCACAGCCTGTCGAGGTTTCTTTTTTCCAGACTTTGAGTTAAACTGAGTATATTGTTAGAAACTAGTTTTACAGCGTTGGGGTTGACTTTCCCTGTAATACCCTATTGTCGTCTGATTAGTGGGCCTTTGTGGACAAGGTAGCCGCTATCATTGGTTTTGTTGCATGTTCCAGAGCATTTCACCTATTGACCCCATTCAGGCTTAATAACGGTCATCCAAATTATTATCATTGTTTAATGTCTTATCCAACGCTTATCTTGCTGTTTGTGCGGCCTTGGCTTGTTTTTACCTTGTATGTGATACAAGAAATTGCGGCTTGTCTCCAGCGATTGATTAATGAATCAATCGCTAGTTAATTCCTTGGATATATGGGAATTAATACACACGCATAAATACCAATGGATATGAACAGTGGAGGCTGTTCATCCTTTAGCTTTCTTTTAGTTCATTTTAGTTCAATATATATATTTATAACATAACACTCTGTGTCGTCTGCATTTGTCATTAAAAACTCGGGGGCTACAGATTACTTGTTGGCATGCGGCAGATGAACACAGCAATTAGGGATTATTCATGGCCGCTGCCTAATATTGGCACTCTACTGAGTTTGTGACATCAATTATTACAATGTCATGTGACAATTGCAGTTGTGAGATTGCGATTATTTGAAATTGTGATTATTTACAATCACGATTTCTATTTAATCTGTTGATAGCTTTGAATAGATAAACGGAGCTCTTGAAGCTCCCTTTTGGTGGATTTTAAATCATAAATATATTACAGATAAACTATTCTTATTACAACAATAGTCATTAGTTCAGCTATCTTTTCTTAGTTAAGATATATATATTCTATTCAAGACACTAATCAGTTGTTTAACACACATGGCTTACCAGCACCATACTCCAATAGTGCGCCTAGGCGCTGGTGCCAGAGACAAAAATCGCCAATACATGCCACAAGTTCTCTAGCTGTATGACCTTCGCCAGCACAGCCAGTGCCACAGTTGCATCCTGCAATGTGCACAGACACCAGAGCGAGTGCAGAATCAGCTGGTCGGTGTATGCATACTTGCTTGGCACCAGCCTGCAACACGGCCAATGCACCAACCCAGGACTTGCTGTCAGCTGTGCCTTGCCAAGGCTTCGCGACACAAACTCATGCAGAAACCCAATGCCCCATGGGGACATGCCCTGGTCATCCTTGCAGATACACGCGGGGATGACATCGACAGCGCCCAGCTCCAGCAGCTGCACCATCTGTGGATTTGCCATCTCCATTGCATTTTCTTCTGCTGCTGCCAGCCGATATGCTGTGAGAAAAGTACACAGCCACACGAGACTCTCCACCGGCATGCGCAAAAGCTCAAGCTCAGACACTGACTGGCGTGCGACACTGAGCAATGCAGACAGAAATACCAGGTCGATTATCCGCCGGTGGTACTCGGTACGCAGCGCAAACTGCTTTACCATGGCTGCACATACCAACACAATCACAGAGTCTGACTGCTGCCTCTGCTTGCTGCTGCCTCAAGCCGAGCTGTTGGCTGACTGCATAAGTGTTTTGCTGAGCACCTCAAGCAGCCTGCCGCCAGCTTCCTGCTGCATGTGCCGTCAGCCCAAACTACCCTGCCATCCCACTGCAGTGTCATTAGCAGCACATGCAGCAACACAACTGTCCTCAACCAGTCCCCCCTCTGCTGCTGAATTGCCCTGATCCTGCACAACTATCAGCTGCAGCACCTCTCACCGCATAGCCGTATCGAGCAGCAGCTCAGACACAGTATCCAGCAGCTTAAAGTTTTCTGAATTCAGCGCCAATTATCCCAAGGAATTAACCATTTCGGGCATCTGAATGTCCAATTCTGCCTCATTGTCCGCACTCCCTTTTGGGATTATTGGTCCTGGAATATCAGGCGTGTCGCTATTGCTGTCTTTGGCTGTGTGCAGCAGAAATCTAACTCATACTGTGATTGGTCTAAAAGATGCGAAAGTACCCGGTATGTGCCGAGTGCTGCTCCGACGCCAATTGCAAGGTGGTACCAGCTATCGTCTATGCTAGCAAAAGAATATTGAAAGGGTGTAAAAAAGAACAGTAATTTGTTAATTACGAAATGTGAATTGGAAAGGAAAGGAAAGGAAAAATAAAGAAAGAAAGAATAACGTTAAATTGAAATCATTTGGCAAAATAGCAAAAATCGAAAATTATGGATGAAATCAACCATGTTCAAGTAAAATTGGCCAATGTGCGAGTTTAAAAGTATGTTGTTTACAGCTAAAGTGATCGGCGAAAGGTGATCGGTGGGTTGGTGAATCTGTAAATAAAAGAGGGACAGACAAGAGTTTTAATCTTTATTAAACGTGAAGAAAAAATGAATAGAATGTATAATTTTATCTTTTGCAGTTAATTTTTGGGGTCGTAAAAAGATTTATTAAAAACAAAAAAACCTAAAGTGCTAGCTTCTTGAATGACCCAGCGTTGATCTCGTCCTCAGCTGGTCGCTTAAACTGGCCACTATCCTCTTTGAGGAGCTCAACCGCCTTGGGATGCATAAACCTGGGAGCAGCATCCCAGTTAGCCTGTCGTTTAAATGTACTGTCCCACCAGAGCTGGTGGCTAATGTACTGGTTTCCCGGTTCAAATAAGAACCGGCGCATTGAGTGGAATAGGTTCCTGAATATCTTCCCTGGATTTCCTATCCCAAACAATTCCAGATACTTTTCCTCAACCATCATGATGCTGTACCGACTCAAAGCCAGGCTTTGGCTGTCCAGGAACTTGAACCCCTGAACATCATCCCTCTTAGTGTCAGCTGGGCGCACTGCGTCCATAACGACATAGAAAACACTCTCCATGTCGTCAAGGATTCCCCGGATGGGGCTGCTGCTGAGCATGGGAATTCCCATGAAAAGCGGCGTCCCTGTAAATGGGTCTTTGGCCACCTCCACCTGTCCCACTGTTGTCGCATTGAACCCCCACTGCTCGGCAACCTCAATATGTTTAAGTTGGGTTGGGCCAGTGTCCTCAGTGGGATCCTCAACAGCATCCTCAGCGGCATCCTCATCAGTCTCCGCATCAGTGTCCTCATCAGTGTCCTCATCAGTGTCCTCAGCAGCATCCCTAGGAGCATCCCTGGCAGCATCCTTAGTAGTCCCCCAGCCAATGACCTTGGCACAGCCCCAGTCAATGACATACACCTTGTCGTTTTTGATGCACACATTCCCTGCTGAGATATCCCTGTGCAGGACACCAGTGTCATTTGCCTGGGCAAGGCACAGGGTCAGCTGCTTGACAAAGCTAGGAACTAGCTTGCGTATCTCCTTTTTGGTCTTGACTTTCAGGTACTCGGCCATTGACTGGCCGCAGTACTCCATGAGCACAAACTCCAGCCGGTATCCATTGAGGTTGCTGATGAGCAGGCCCTTCGAAAAGATCTTGGGGATACATTCGACTGGTCTCTTGTTGAGGATGGCGTATGCGGCACCCTCGGGCAAACGATTGACTGGGGTCCAGGAAAGCTTCAGCACAGCATCATGCTTCCCATTGAATTTCCCCCTGAATAAATGGACATGGCGCCCAACCATGTATGAATAACGCGCTATTGTCTCCTTGATACAAAATAGAGCAGCGCCATCCTTGACATCCTTGACATTCTTGACATCTTGGGAAACCGAGTATAAGACTTCGATCTTCGAATCGCCCTTGCTCTCCACATCGACTTCCTGCGAAAAAAAGAAAGAGTCAGATTCCTCTGAGACATCGCAGAAATGCCCGAAAATGTCCGACTCAAGAGTCAGCAGGAACCAGAACTGCATGAGGCATGACTGAATTCTTTTAGCTCCATCAGACGTCCAATAATTCGTATCAAAGCATAGCTCGCCGAGCTCGACGATGTACAGTTTGTCACGATAATATGCGTGAAGCGTCAGGATGTGCCCATGGAGGTAGAAGACAGGCGCAAACGTGCGGGTTGCCTGCTGATCATTAAGTAAATGTCCATAATCTGCGAGCTGGCCACGAGTATCCTCTGGGGTTCTAATGGGGTTTGGATCCATCTTGGCCTCGAGTATAGCATGGACGGAATGAATGTCACGTCTCTTGTAGTTGTGATAAAACGCGATATCTGGCTTGTGCGGAGTGCCTAGTATAGCATCACTCTGATGGTCCTTCAGACTAACCCTGCAGTCTGGGATTGGAGTTCCGCCTGCTGGAATATCTTTATTTGCGACACGAACTGCATTGCCCATCGCGTTGAAGAGGAGGATAAAATATTTGACCAAGCGAGCTTCCTTAGCCAACCCGATCAATTTCCCCGAGTTGCTTTTGAACACATCAGCAATGGGGAAATCGCCGAACTCTTCAACAGGGCGATCTGTATTGGCTACGATGCCTTTGCTATCAGCCACTGGCGACCCCCTGGCTATGCTGAGGAAGAGATCAGGCCAATCCTTGATGAAGCGTTCATACCGCTCCTTCACACCCAGCGATTCAACAAAGGCATTGAACAGATAGTTGTGTTTTATGTTATCGCCGAGACATTTCAGCAGCCGCTGACGGCGCCTATCGCGTACTTCGGGGGGCTCCGATTCCCCAGGTGGCAGTTCCTCCTTTTTTTGATTTTTCGAGGGCGTTTGGATAGTGCCGCCTGTCTTGCTGTTCTAATAAAAAAGAAAACAAAATGTTTTAAATTAGCGTCCGAATTTGTTTTATATGCACGCAGAATAAACAACAATAAATAATTCATCAATATCATAACAATCCGTTTATATTGAAGTACTTACGCCTATTTGATTCGGCGGGGTCTTATTCGGAGGAGCTAGCTCAGACATCATTGAGAGAAAAGGAAAGGGAAATAGAAAGAGAGGGGAGAGGGGGAGAGAGAGAGAGAGTGTGTGTGTGTGTGTGATAAGCACTGAGGTATGCTAAAAGTAATGGAAAATTGAGGAAAAGAGCAAATCGAACGAAATAGTGCGAATTGAGAAAGAAAAAGCAAAGGTTAAAAGTAGAAGCAAAGGTGGAAAGTTGCAAAGATGAAAATTTGTTGCGATTGATTGCGACAAAAACAAAAAACAAACTTTTTTAATATAAACAAAAAATTTTGAGCTTCTCGTTGTGCTTGCATTTGGTTGGCTGAAATATGGAAACAAGAAATAATTATATTTACGGATTAATTTCCAATCAGCATTGTTCTTTTTCCTTGCGCATTGATTTTGAGCTTTTATTGCTTCTTTTGGGAGTATGGTGACCCCGCCATTCACTGCTGTAAAAAAATATACTTCCATGACGCATACATTGGACCAGAGATACGGCTATGCTCCATTGCCTGGCTGCCAGGCCAATTGAGACACAGAGCCACATGTTTCATGTGTCCACGACGGGAGCATAAAATTATGAATGCGAGAGAACTTTCACTTGGGTCTTTAAGACCCAGTCGCAAGCTCACTTGGCTGAGACAGTCAATATACTCCAGGTATATTGAACACCGATATAGATAACATATTGGGGAAACTCAAAACCCGTGTGGACGCCCACTACCAGGACAAACAAGTTGGAACCTGAATATGAGGCATGGCTGGAAGGAGCTAACAGAGAACGTTTGTCATTTTATCAAACCATAGAATTTAAAATCTCTAGTATAATTGGCACCCACAAGGGGCGTTGTTTGGTACGCATTCGGTGCTTTCTAATTTTTCATTTAATTCGTTCCAAAATAATATTCAATTTTCATCAAGGTCGGTATAAATAGTGACAATTGGTTAACCAATCCAATTGTATTGTCGACGTCATCAGGCGTCCAAATGTCATAATGGATGTTGAGGATTGGGCATGAAATGGGAAGCACTTTTGTTGTCGTTTTTTAGTCCCGATTTTTCATTGTATTTTTAATATTAATTTGTTTTGGTTTATACAATTGGCAAGTTATATTATCTCCTATGAAACTGAACTTGAACTTTGGGTTATTTGGTGTCTGCATTTTGCTTTTTTTCGGGGCGGCAGGCAGAGCACGGCGAATAGCCATTATTGGAGGTGGCGCGGCAGGAGCGGCGGCGGCATACTTTGCACAGGAGGAGCTCATTGGGCGCGGTGAGGCTCCGGCCATAATTCACGTGTTTGAGCGAGATCAGCGAATTGGCGGGCGGGCGCACTCGGGCAGCGTCGAGTACAGCAACCAAACACTCATGTTTGAGATTGGTGCGTCGATGTTCATTGGCAAAAACCAGCATCTCGTCGGCCTGGCGCGCAAGTTCAATCTGACGCTGTGTGCGCACCCATGCACGCTGGGCGCAGCGACAAGCGGCTCTGTCGGCGGCATCTGGGCACTGGGTGCGTATGGGTTGTGGGACCCGCTCTCGGGGGCGGCCGGTGGGTCGTGGGTTGTGCGGCAGTGGGCGGACCACAAGTCCCGTGATGCGCTGCAGATGCTTTGGCGGTACGGCGGAACGGGTGATCTGACGCAGGTACGCATGCGCACACAGCAGGTTGTTGACGAGTTCATGCAGTCGTATGCCGACTTTGGCGACCCAGCGCGTGGCGCGTTTGCGTCCTGGGACGACTACGTCAGCGACAAGCCGCACATGCAGGCGTCACTGTACTACACGGCGGCTGAGTTCTACAGCAGCGCGGCCAATGCCATCGGGCGGCGCCTGCTAAGCGAGGTCGTATCACTGGCCACGCGCATCAACTACATGCAGGATGTCGACGCTGTCAATGCGATGGGTGCGCACATCTCGATGGCCGCAGAGTCTGACGCCGCATACTCGGTGGCTGGCGGCAACTGGCAGTTGTTTGTGCGCATGCTTAACAGTTCGGCCGCGCACGTGCATCTCGGCACCACCGTCGACGACGTGCAGCGCAGCAGCAGCAGCGGCAGCGGCAGCGGCTATCGCGTCAGCTTTGTCAGGGACGGCTCGGCTGCGGCCATGGACTTCGACTCGGTCATTGTGGCGGCTCCACTACCCCTGGCCAACCTGCGTGTCCTGGACGGGCAGCGCCAAAAAGACGCGGCCGCGGCCTACGTCACCATGCACGTCACGTTTGCCATCGGCGTTCTGCGCGGCGACCTGTTCCCGGCCGACTCCAGCGGCGAGGCTCTTCCGCGGCTCATCGTGACGCCAAAGCACACGACCGAGCCGTTCAACTGCCTGTCAATCCTCGCGTGCCTCGACTCGGCGGGCCGTGGGTTGTGCGGGCAGCGCGGCGGCACGGTGCTGGTCAAGATTTTCTCGCAGGCCCCCGTCGACCTGGCGCGCGTGTTTGCACGTGTTGAGTGGCAGCGCTCCCATATATGGGATGCGTACCCACGGCTGCACCCACGCAACGGCGCCGCGTACTCGAACCCGGCTTCTTCCGATATGTTTCGGCTCAGCAGGCCGCGGCTTCCGCCGATCGTGCTGGACCGGTCGGGCAACGGCACCAATGGTGTTTATTACGTTGGCGGCATGGAGACTCTGTTCAGCACCATGGAGTCGCAGACCGTCGCTGCCAGGCACGTTGTGCGCCTGGCCCTGTTTGGAGAACACTGCGAGTGAGTATTTTTTTGTGGAATGAGTGAAAGGGATAAGATCTTTTTTTGTTTGGTGCCACTACGCGTCTTTTGTCGCTTGTTTCAAGTTTTTTTTGGATGTGACTTGCTTTAATATAGCACGTTTTTTTTGGGCACTCGCATTCTTTCAAGTGCTGGCTGTTTTTGGCACACGCCTGTTGGGTTGCATTGTCTTGATTTAATTGACCGTCAAGCGAAATAATAATAAGAACAGTGCAGTGATGCGCTGCTTCTGAGTATTGATTTCCTTTTCTCTTTTTCTCCAATTATAATTATTTTTCTTTGCCCTTTTTCTTTTTATTGCTCGCAATAATAATTTATTCAGCAATCCCCTTCTCAATCCTCAACCTACCTCTCGCACCAGCGTGCGCCTCCTCCCGCTGCTGTTATTCCAAGCAACGCCATTGTTAATCCCAACGACAACAATACGCCGCAAATCTCATTTCCTCCACCTTCTCGACATCACGCCCTTTTAAATATTCTGGTCTGTTTATTTTTCCTCCATCGTTCAAATGCCGACTATGCGTCGCAGCACCCGCGCCTCAGCCGTTGGTGTCAACAGCAGCAGCAGCCTTAACAACAAGAACAATCAGCAGCAGCAGCAGCAGCAGGAATCCGAAGAAAGCACGACAGCAGGTAATTACCACGAAGACGAGGCCGCTGCCAGCAGCGAGCAAGCAGCTGAACCAGCAGCCACGCGCTCAAAGCTCAACGCCTGGTCAACGACGTCCTCGCCCCTGTCCTCTGTGTCAACGCCAGCGAGCAACATCACCACAGCACAGCAGAGACAGCGCGGCCGCACACGGCGCCAAACCATACGCGCACCCACAGCAGCAGCTGTGGCAACAGCAGAATCTGCCGATGAGGACTCAGTTGACGAGCTCCTTTCTGAGGCTGCAAAAGCCATTCGCAACCAGGTCACCAATGGTGAGCTTTCGTCGGACGGCGCAGGAAGCAGCGACGGTGGGCCAAGCATGAAGAAGAGGCAAGGGCCTGTGGATAGCGTTGATCACACACCGGTCAGAAAACACCGCCGTGTGGCCAGGATGAGCACGGGTGGGAGCAGCATGCGCAGACAGGCTAGCCTGGCAGCCACTGACGATGAGCGAGGAGAGGCCACAGAGCCGGAAGGAGAGGCTGAGGCCGAGGCCGTCGGCGATGACCGCGCGTCGCAGGCTGTGGTGTCGGGCAGCGGCGGCACATGGTGGCCGGGCAAGCGCGGCCGCCCGCCAAAGTCGGTGCTTGAGCAGCGGCGACTGGCCAAAAAGAGTGCTGCGCGGACGCCGCGCGCAGCCGCCAGGCGTGGTGCTGCTGCTGCCGCCGCCGCCGCCGGGGACGGAAGCGAGGACGAGGACGGCGCTGGTTTGGCTGTGCTCGAGACGCCCACGCGGCAGCCGACACGCAAGGCCAGCCTCAGCGCGGCTCTGAGCATGCACGTGCCCCAAGGCGGCCTCGTCGCGCCAACTGCCACTGTCAGCTCGTCGGACGACAGCGAGGACGAGGCCGACTCGGAGGGCGAGCGCAAGATCGACACGCTGGGGCAGCTGCTGGGCGGGCGCGAATTCATCTGCCCAGTGGTGACGTCGCCGTTCCGCAGCAACCCACGGCGCCAGTACATCCTGACGATGGACTGCTGCCGCTTCACGGGCGCGCGCGACTCGTACATGCTGTTCAAGCAGCACCCGCGTATGCGGCGCGTCGAGACAACGCAGCGCGAGCGCGACATGCTGGCCGACAGGCGGCTGATCCCAAAAGTAACGCGGTTCCGGCCGATCGCCATGATCACGGCGCGCACGGCCTTCCGCGAGTTTGGCGCGCGCATCGTCAAGAACGGCCGCTACGTCACCGATGACTACTGGGTGGCGGCGCGGCGCCAAGAGGCCAAGTTTGCTGAGGGCGCCGTCGTCGCCAACATGGGCGTCTACCACAGCGTCATGGCCGCCCACGCGGCCGGCATTACGCCCGGGTCGACGCGCAAAGCCCGGCGCCTGACGCCGCTGCGCTCGCCCGAGTCGCCCGCCGACGCGCTCGGCCCGGCGTCGCCAACGCAGCCCGGCGCCGTTGTCAGCAGCTGGGCGCAGATCCACGCGCAGCAGCTGATGCCGCCCTCTCAGCTGCAGCTGCGCGCCGGCGCGGGCGCGCTTACCATGGCCACTGCCTTTGAGAAGGCCGACGCCGGGGCCGGTGCTGACGCCGACGCGGCCATTGCGCGCCGCAAGCCTGTTTTTCGCCGCATCCGCGCTGCTGAGACCGCCGAGGCCGCCTTCGAGCCCGCCGCGGCCGCGCACCGCATGCACTTTGACGACCGCGGCTTTGTCGATGGGCTGTCGCTGGTGCAGAGCCTGGCGGCCGCGTGGCCGCGCACGGCGTCCCTGACCAACAGGCTCAAGCAGCGGCGGGCAGACTCGGCGGCTGAAGCCACAGCCGATGCTGATGCTGGCGCCGAGGACCTTTTTGGCCCAATGGCCTATGCGTCGGCCAAGGCGGCGCGCGAGTTTAACGCCGCCACGCGCATGTGGCGCGAGGACAACGGCGGCACATGGGTCGACCCGCACACAGGCATCCGCCAGGTCCCGGCTAATCTGCAGCCAACCGCTGTGCGCGCCGAGCGCGTCGACGCGACGTGTTCGCGCTGGCGCCGCACAGGCAGCACCCGTGTCGACGCGCTGGTGTCGTTCACTGACGCGCCAGCCTTGGCGACACCGGCTAGCGACGCGTATCCGCTGGCGCTGCTGCCTGGACAGTTTCAGAGCTCGTTTCCCGTGCATCACACGCGTTTCGGTCAGACACAGGCACAGGCACTGACCTCGTATTCGAACTTGTGGAGCAGCCACTGGACTATGCAGCAGATCTACGCCCAGCAGCACCGCAAGCTGCTGCAGAAAAGGCTAGCCCAGTGAATGTGCACTTGCTTCAGGCATTTTAAAACAACACCTAATAAAGTATCATTCTCATTCTGACACCTACATTGTCTATTGTCTATTGTCTATTGTATATTGACCATGTTTGCACACACATTACATGTGCAGCAGCCTCGCCAGCCAGCTGCTCTTCTTGTCCCTGCTGCTGGCGTACTCGGGGTTTGTCCGTGCCGACAGCTGCGACCTGCGCACACGCCCGTTGACTGCATGCAGCATGCCGCCGCCGATACTGTCTCTGGCGCTTCTCGCACTATCTGCGCTTTGTGCGTCTCCGGTGTCCCAGTTTCCAGCCTCAAATGACACGACAGCGCCGCTACCGCTGCCATTACTTGGCACTGCCGCTGACCCGCTGTCAACAACAGTTTCGATCGATATATGCGGCACCCGGGCATGGTCACCAACCAGCATCTCCACCATGGCTGCATCAACCACAGCTTGCTCGGCAATGCGCAGTGCTCCCTGGTTGTTGCTTATTGCTGCTGTGGCCATTGCCCTGCGCCGACTTTCTTCGATGGCTGCAATGGCATCGTCGTCGCTCAGGAGTATATTCAGCATAGGCATCGACTGCGTGAATGTGCGTGTCAACTGCACAATATCTCGCAAAATATCCGACTCTACCTCTGCCGCTGACTCTGTCGGTAAGGATGTCACTGAGGGTATTGGCCCAACACCTGCGCTACCGGTGTAGTCTGCCTGCTGGTCTGTCTGCTGGGCCCCCAGATCTGCGGCAACGCTTCTTGCCAGTATCGTTGCTGCGTTCTGCAGGACATAACCAGATGCCGAGCCGAATATTGTGTTGCCTGCCGCTGCTGCCAACCGCGTAGCGTACGAGCGGCCATACTCCGTGTCTGCTGCAATGTCCCTGTACACTGGTGGCAGCACTGTGGGAAAATCCAGCGCCAGAGACAACGTCAATGGTAGGACTTGCAGTCCACCACCCTCATCTGATGACATGCTCTCGTCTGTCGTCGAGACTATGGATACTCTCCTCCTTTCCCCCATTGATTGCTGATCTTGGTGCTGATTGTCACTTGTTTGCATTGCGTCGATTTCAGCGCGAATGTCTTCGGGGATTGAGCTGTGGACGGATGGCGGCGGCGGCTCGTACACAGGCAGTATTGAATCTAGCGACTCCATCGACTGCTGTCTGCCACGCCTACTCATTTGCCGACCACCAACATTGTGGTGCCCTACGGATCCCCCTCTCCTCGCCCCACTACTGCTTGGGACTCCCAATAACCCACTGGCCCCAGGCTCATTAATAACGTAGGCCAGGTGGCCGCGATGCAGGCTGAGCCACTGCCACACGCTCTGAATATCCACCCCCGACCGACACAACAACGCAGTAACCGGACCCGGACATCTTCCCCTTCTGTCTTCTCCCTTTGACCGCATCAAATAGTTTGTTCGCTCATCGACCAGTGTAGCCGCTCTAAACGTAATCATAACATAGGACCTCTCTCTTCCTCCTCCTCCTTCCATTATGGACTCGTATGCTTCCACGGCTACGTTTCCTGTCCAGTCACCTCTGACCGACTGCTTGTTGTTTATCACTATATACGGGTGTGTACTCATCCATGCGAAAATGTATTGTAGCTTATTGGTGCCTGTTAATTTGCTGCTGCTGCTGCTGCTGAGAATGGCGTAGGAGCGTTGTGCGTCTACTTCGATCTTGTTTGGGTATGGACAGAGCTCAAGTCGTGGCGGTTTGCGTTTGAAAACTTGTTGTGATGAAAAATAGGTTGGCGGAAGGTAACCTCGCGTAATCCCTTCAAACATTTACTTTTGTCTATCTATTGTTTTTTGACAGTAATATAATTTTGTGCTTTGCTTTGCTTTGCTTAGTTATTGTCTGTGTGCGAAAAATTATATATAAAGTTTCATTTTTTAAGAGGAAAAAGCGGATTGATTGATTTAATTTCGTCGCGATATAGATGATAACAACAGCAACTAAAAAAGCGTGCTTATAAGGAAGGTATATTAAGCAAAATGTCAGCTGAAACGAGAAAAAAGGAAAAAGGAAAGAAAAGAAAAGAAAAGAAAAGAAAAAGTGCTACCGCACCATTTATCAAAAATAAATTATAGAAATTGGAATATTTGCCTGTAAATCTATTCTAGACGAAGCAGGCGTTTGTATATCTATGTTTGTATGCGTGTCTCTGCGGTGGCATTGTCAGCTTTGTCGTGTGAATCAATTAAGACATTGACATAACATCAAATGATAGGGATATGCCCACCTTTTTATTTTATTCACATTTTAACAAATAAAAAATGATACCCAGCATTTGTGCGCATGATCATCAAGCCACCACCGCGTTCAAAAATAATAAGATGAATGTATAAAATTGATATAAAAAGAGTGTATACAAAAAAAGGGAAGGGATAATGACATAATAGAAAGCTACAATAATTTTGGCTGCCACAGTAGCTTTTATCGATCAGTTGCTGGAGGGCTTCCTCATGTTGTTAGCCTCAACACATAAAAATTTATGTCACGAAAAAATTGTATTCAGCGCGATCTCAAATAGTAAATCGGAATGGAAATTGACATATATGCTTACATTTATGAAATTGAATGTGTACTAGAATGAGTAAAAGAAATAATAGTACTAGAGAAAATAAATGAAAGAACGGAAATAGAATATATTTATATTTATATTAATTTGCTCGTCGAAAAAATGTGAATGAGTGACGGAAAATGAGACAGCAAGATGTAATGTGAGTTCACGTGTATGTATCATTTACCATTTGCAACTGTCAAAAAATTTAGGGCATCTCAGCCGACAATCACAGATGCGCCAATGCCTCCACCTTGATATTATTTTATTTTATTTGCGAAATTTCACCGGGCCACACATTTTTTTCTGCAATAACTATAGCCATCCAATTTGTATAGTCTGTGCTTACAAGGAATTTACTCGGAACCCCAAGCGTGCCCGTTTTTTCATTGCGCATCATTGAAAACAGGCGCAACGCCGGAGATTTTTTCTCACACCAATGTGTTCCTAAATGTACCTTGTCCTTCATTTTCACTCTTCTTTTTTCTTGTTTATCTGCAAAATTCTATCGCATTTCTGGTGATTTCGGTATTTGTGGCCATGAAGAAAATATATTTTGGCTTATCGTAAACAGCTGATGTTCTAGAAACATGTGCGCATATTTTGCGCGTGCATGCCAATATATTTGTGTACTGACTAGCCTCATACAAAAAAGTGTTACTATTTAAATGTTTCTCATGTGATATGCGTGGACAAGAAAAAAAGAGGAATTGTATGCGCACATAGCGCAAATAAATGCAATGACCGCCCTTTTCCAGCTATATAAGCATTTGTTCAAAAAATCTGTTGTTGCTGGCGTTTGTGGCAAGCGAAACCATTCTGAGATTATCCCGGCTGATCTCTAATGCCTATGATCAACAGCATGGCATGGTGGGGTGTGCTTTCGCCGCAGCAGTACACAAAATGCTTTGCTTTGCAGAGTACGCAATGCTGACGCATTAAACATTAAATATTTTTCTGTGCTTTTGTGGTTTTTCTGTTGCTGTTGCTGCTGATCAATTAACCAAAATGATCACAAAATAAAGGAATAAGACAAGTATCCTGCAAAACAACATTCTTCCCACGGACTGCATAGCAACCTAAAAAGGGTTTAAAACCTAGTGGCAATGGACCACTATGGCTGACGATACCATTCTGTTCGCTGCTTCTTTTGAAGAGAAGAAGGGGGGACAGATTGATTCTTGCGCACAAGCTTGGTCTTGGTCTTGGTCTTGGTCTTGGTCTTGATCTTGGGCTTGAGCGTCACTGTAGACTCGGGCTAAGCCGACTCGAACAGTAACTTTATGCGCAAGAAACGGGGAGGACGATCGTCTGTAAGCACCAGGGCATTAAAAATGACGCAAAGCTTTAGCACCGCAGCTATGTCACGATTCCACTTCCGTCTGCCTGATGGCACTTTTTCGCCGTCCTCGATCTTGGTTCTGTTGGCCCTGAAGGTTTACAGGCAGTCTTCCATTGTGCACTAGAGCAAGCCGTGGCATAAATTTTGGCAAAGTTTTTCTACCTCTGGAATTGTATTAACGCCTGTTGCGGCTACTTGCTGCTGCTGACCATTCTGCTGGTCCTGCTGCTGCTTTTGTTGCTGCTGCGCGGCCAACTCATCGCGCATCCTCTGTCTGGTTTTGCGCTCAATTTTGCCTCGCGACCAGCCGCTCAGCCTGACAATGCACTTGAGATTATCGGCGGGCTGGATATTGATGTACTGCTCCTGATTTCGCTCAGTCAGCTCATCCCGCAGCTGCCGCTTCACCTTGCGGGAAATCTTTCGCTTAGACCAGCCCTTTTGCTCCCCTATCCACCAGATGATATCAGCAGACTATGGGCGAATAGGCATCCATCCACTGGTTGGGACTCTGCTGCACACCGCTAATAATAGATGCGGCATCGACGGCAGTTTTAATTGCAACAGAAACGGCTGTGACTGCTGCTGTGACAGAATCAGCAGCGGCAGTGGTTGCGGCTGCGACATAATTGTATGAACATAATAATTACATCGTTAAACGCCACGCTCAACCAACAGCCAAAGCACCAGTCAGACACAAACACTAAATACCCCCCCGCATCCTCAAAAATCTGAACTTTCGCTATAAATGTCTGGAAATTCTAAAATACATTATTTACGCTATATAGTGTAATGCAGCTTGGTTAAAAAAAATCACTGACAAAAATAAAAGATCGAACATGACATTTTTCTTATGTCATGCAACTCGCGCTATTTTTTGTCCACAATTCCACTCGCCCGAGCGTTATTTTTTTGCTACTGTTTGGGATTGGGGGAGAGGGCCGATTCCGGCCTCAGCCTTTGGCCCAGACAAGCATAGCGCAAAAATATAGAAATCACTTGTTATTTCTTGCGCTTAATATCATTTTTGTTTATTTATTTTCAAGTTTGAATTCTAGCCCTCTTTCTCTCTCTTTATCTTTTTTCTTGCTTTTGTTTTTGTTCTTGCAATTTCAAATTCCCGCATACACTCACTCACACACCCACTTTTCTCTATTTAATTTTCTATTACAACAATGGTTGAGAAGGCTTGTCTTATTGTCATCGATGGCTGGGGTATCAACGTCAACAAGGACGCCAAAGGCGATGCCATCCGTGACGCTGAAACGCCCGTCATGGACGACCTGGAGAAGACGCAGGGGTTCACCTCGCTCGCCGCGCACGGCCGCGCAGTCGGTCTGCCGGCCGGTTTGATGGGCAACTCGGAGGTCGGACACTTGAACATTGGCGCTGGCCGTGTTGTTTACCAGGTAAAAACTCGATGTCAACCCACTCGCCCGTTATCTATGTTAGGCAGCCTTGCAGTCCTAAAAAACTGTTGTTGTTGAAGCTGTGCATTCATCATGCATCGTCCCATTTGGGCGCTGCCCATCGATAACAGATCTGATGGCAACGCTGATAGCCCATTTAATTTATTTTTCTCACCCCCAACCTGACTGAGACAGATCCATTTCATGACTGACCCAATCCACAATCCGCACTCTACAATACAACACACAACCCGCCCCGATTCCTTCTTACTATCGTTTAGGATATTGTGCGCATCGACCTCGCGCTCGAGGAAAAGGAGTTCGGCACCATCGAGGCGATCAGCAACACATTCGAGAACGCCAAGGCCACCACAGGGCGCCTGCACTTCTGCGGCCTGGTCTCGGACGGCGGCGTGCATGGCCACATCAAGCACCTGGTTGGGCTGCTCGAGGCTGCCAAGGAGGCTGGCGTGCCCGAGTCGTACGTGCACTTCTACGCCGACGGGCGCGACACCAGCCCGCGGTCGGCCACAAAGTACCTTAAGGAGCTGCTTGACGCCATGGCCGCGCTCAAGTACGGCAAGATCGCCACGATCGTTGGGCGGTACTTTGCCATGGACCGCGACAAGCGCTGGGAGCGGGTGCAGATTGCGTTCGACGCGATGACGCAGGGCACCGGCGAGAAGAGCAGCGACCCGATCAAGACCATCGAGGAGCGCTATGCCCGTGACGAGACCGATGAGTTCCTCAAGCCCATCATCGTTGACAGCGACGGCGTGGTGCGTGACAACGACTCGATCTTCTTCTTCGACTTCCGGTCCGACCGCATGCGCGAGATCTCGCAGGCGTTCGGCATCAAGCCGACCCCGTTTGACTCGCGCGTGCCCGACGGGCTGCACATTGCGACGATGACGCAGTACAAGGCCGACTTCCCGTTCCCGGCAGCGTTCCCTCCGCAGAAAATGACCGACGTGCTGGCCGAGTGGCTGGCCAAGCAGGGCGTCGCGCAGGTGCACATCGCCGAGACCGAAAAGTACGCGCACGTCACGTTCTTTTTCAACGGCGGCTCCGAAGCGCAGTTCAAGGGCGAGGACCGCGACCTGGTACCGTCGCCACGCGTGGCCACGTACGACCTTCAGCCGGCCATGTCGTCGTGGGAGGTGTCCGACAAGGTCGCTGAAGAGGTCGGAAGCGGCAAGTACCCGTTCATCATGTGCAACTTTGCGCCGCCCGACATGGTCGGCCACACCGGCGACTACGACGCGGCCGTCGACGCCATCGCAGCCACCGACAAGGCCATCGGCAACATCTACGAGGCCTGCAAGCGCCACGGCTATGCGCTGTTCATCACGGCTGACCACGGAAACGCTGAGAAGATGATTTCGGACGATGGACTGTCGCCGCACACCGCGCACACGTGCTCGCGTGTGCCCTTCATCATGGCCAACAGCGCCCGCGCCCGCTTTGGCGCCGACGACGACAAGCACGCGCTGTGCGACGTCGCGCCGACGCTGCTCGCATACATGGGCCTGGACATCCCCGAGAGTATGACTGGCCACTCGCTGCTGGCCTAATAGGAGGCTGGGCTGGTAAATCTAATTTTCAAATACAATTTTCTAACCATGATCAGTGGACAGCTGGGTTGCGCGTGGGTGGCTGAGACACGCTAATGCAATATGCAACGTGTACCTTATAAGCGGGTGGCATGTAAAGCACGTGTGTTTTTTGTGGGGAAGGGAAACAGTGCTTGGATTGAACAAGTATGATCCAATATAGTGATTGATGCAATTGCAATTGCAGTTGCGCGGTTAAAAGCAGCGCGCAAGGCCACATCAAGCGACGAAGCGACGAAGCGACAAAGCAACCAAGCACGCCTCCCACCTGCCATCCCAATTCGATATTTCATTTACAACTGCACTTACATATTTCCCCCATTAATTTTCGCCTCGTCCAAAAGTCATGCCGTTCAAGCTGTCTGCCGCCCAATCCGCCGTCGTCTGCATGGCGCTGGCGCTCAGCGGATCGCTGCAGCCGGCCACCAAGGCTTCTGCCGAGGCAGCCACCGGAGCATGCGCTGCCCAACATATTGTCGAGAGATGTCTATCGACGCAAGGCCTGGTGTTCGACCAGTGCGAGTACAGCGACTGGGCATGCAAATGCCAGGTGCAGACGGCACTAGTGTCCTGCTACAACAACTGCCCCGACGACCAGGGCCGCATTGGGCCCGAGGCCCAAGTCGCTCTGTATTGCAATGCGGCCACTCGCGTGCAAGAGGCAAAATCAGCAGCCAGCTCGACCAAGTTATCCGTGACCGCGAGCCCTGCCGGCAGCAGCCGCCCTGAGCAGACCGCCACTGCCGCCAGGAGATCGACCATAGGCATTTTGCCGGACCACGCGACTGGCGCAGCGCAGAATGCCAAGCCATCATTGGCGGTGCCGGCGAGTGGAAACAACAATGGCAAGGCGGGCAAGCCGGAGGCGCCGAAAGCCACAAAGGCGCCGTCGTCAGTCGAGAATACTGCTGGATCAGCAGCCAAAAGCGGAAGCACTGCCGCCGCTGTTGCCGTCGCAGCAGCGTGGATCATGGTTGCGTAGATCTAATATTTCCAAATATACAAAGGTAATGCGGTACTATTCCGCATGCGCTCAATAGTAACAGCGCTTTCACATAGACAAAGAAAAAAGGATCAGGGGCTCTGAGCAAAGAGCAACGAGCAACAAGCAAAGAAACAGCCAGCGTGCGCAGAGCGACAATGAGATTGGGGGTAATATAATATGCCTGTTCGTTGGCGCGGGGAACAAAGAGAGTGCAAATATAAATAAAAACTGGGAGCTTGCATATGCGCGATCTCCACATGCACGCGCTCGGCAGATGCAATTGGCTGCTCCGAAATCACTGCCCAGTCGGCAATAGCAACAAAAAAAAGAGAGCTAAAGACGCTGCCGCTGTGCCTTTATTTGGCGTTAATGCCGAGCTAAATAGGAAACCAGCTGTTAACGCACGATTGCACGAATGCGTGCACTCTTATCTATTTTGTCGCTGCAGTGGTATTTTGCACGCATTTGGCCACATATCACGCTTGCTACCGCCAGCCCCTTTCGTGGTGGCCTTTCTTCTCTTAGCTGTTATCACCAATTCCTTTTTTCAGTAATAGTTCGACTCACACTCAAATAACAAAAATTGCCTCTCAGCCTCCCTCTCGACAAGCAAGGGCCTGCCTACACACACAAACACGCTAGTACTCTCACATATTCACATATAAATATACGCAAAAATGCCCATGCTAGTCGTCCCAGGTAGAACCTCAGCGCTGTCCGACTTCCGTCTGCGTGTGCTGACCGAGAAGCTGCCGTTCCCGCCGGGCGCCGTCAGCGCGATCCACACCCACTACGTGCACTTCATCGACCTGGCACCCGAGTACGCGGCCGAGAACGCCAAGGCGCTCTTGGACTCGGCGCTCAGCAACCACAGCCCCGTGGTGGCCAACGCTGTCAAGGGCGAGACCGTCGATGAGGTATGGGCGATCATCGCCACGCTGCTGCGCGCACCCGGCGAGACGGCCGCGCCACGCGCGCCGATCATGCTCGTCGACGACCATGACGCGAGCAATACGGTCGACGACGACGGCGAGCCCCTCAAGCGCAACGAGCGCGAGATCTGGGTGTTGCCGAGGAGCGGCACCATCAGCCCGTGGTCGTCCAAGGCCACGGACATCTTTGCGCTCTGCGGGCTGGGCAAGAGCGTTGTCCAGCGGGTGGAGCGCGGCGTTGTCTATCGCATTGCGTTCAACGAGGCTTACAAGATCACCATCGAGCACCTGGCCGCAGACAAGCGTATCATCGACGCGGGATCCGACCGCATGACGGAGATCCTGTATGGGGGCTGCCCGCCGGCTGCAAGCATCTTCCAACAGGCCAGCGCGCGGCCCCTGCGCGCAGTACCCATCCGTGAGGCGTCCAACGACGCGCAGCAGCAGCTGGCGGTGCCGATCGCGTGCATCGAGAAGACCAGCGCGACCGAGACCATCGAGACTGCGGCCGGCCTAGAGCAGCAGCAGACACGTGCCGTGGCGCTGCTGACGCGCGCGAACCGCGAGCTCGGCCTGGCGCTGGCTGAAGACGAGATCGCGTACCTTGTGGCAGCGTTCCTGGGCCAGCATGCGGCGCGCGAGAGCATTGCCCGCAACCCGACCGACGCCGAGCTGATGATGTTTGCGCAGGTCAACAGCGAGCACTGCCGGCACAAGATCTTTGGCGCGACGTGGACTATCGACGGCCAGGTGCAGACACAGTCGCTGTTCGACATGATCAAGGCCACGCAGAAGGCGCACCCCGAGCACGTGCTGTCGGCCTACTCGGACAACGCCGCCGTCCTGGAGGCCTACGAGGCCGAGAGGATCCGCTCGTGGGCGCCTGTCGCCGCCGACAAGCAGCGCTGGGCGCTGGAGGCCGCGCCCGGCGGCATCCACATTGTGGCCAAGGTCGAGACGCACAACCACCCGACGGTCATCTCGCCCTTCCCAGGCGCGGCCACCGGCACTGGCGGCGAAATCCGCGACGAGGGTGCCGTCGGCGTCGGGTCGCGGCCCAAGTGCGGCCTGGCCGGCTTCACGGTCAGCGACCTGCGCGTGCCCGGATATGCCCAGCCGTGGGAGGCGGCCACGGCAGACGTCGGCTTTCCAGCGCACGTCTCGTCGGCGCTGGACATCATGCTCGAGGCGCCGCTGGGTGCGGCCGCGTTCGCCAACGAGTTTGGGCGGCCGGCAATCCTCGGCTACTTCCGCACGCTGCTGCAGCGCGTGCCCACAGCTTCGACGTCGTCTTCAGCGCTGGATCTCGCCCTCGACGAGCCCGATTATGAGTGCGAGGTGCGCGGCTTCCATAAGCCCATCATGATTGCCGGCGGCATGGGCAGCGTGCGCGCCGAGCACGTGCTGAAAACGCCCTTTGCACCTGGCTCGCAGCTGATCGTCATGGGTGGGCCGTCGATGCTCATTGGCCTCGGCGGCGGCGCGGCGTCGTCCGTGGCCGGCGGGTCGCAGGCAGCCGAGCTGGACTTTGCGTCGGTGCAGCGCGGCAACCCCGAGATGGAACGGCGCTGCCAGATGGTGCTCGACGCGTGCACGGCGCTGGGCAGCAGCAACCCGATTGCCTTTGTGCATGACGTCGGCGCCGGTGGACTGAGCAATGCGCTGACCGAGCTGGTGCACGACAGCGGGCTGGGCGCCGAGATTGAGATCCGCGACGTGCCCTGCGCTGACACGTCACTGTCGCCGATGGAGATCTGGTGCAATGAGTCGCAGGAGCGCTACGTGCTGGCCGTCACCGCGCAGCAGCTGCCCGTGTTCACGCGCATTGCCAAGCGCGAGCGCTGCCCCTTCGCCGTCGTCGGCACCTCCATGGCCGAGACGCGGCTGCGCGTCAGCGATCGCTCGTCGGGAGGCCTGGTCATTGACCTGCCGATGGACGTGCTGTTTGGCAAGCCGCCACGCATGACCCGCGACGCCGACTCGCTGGTCGCGCCGCGCGTCGCCTTTGACGCCAGCCTGGGCCGCTACCTCGGAGGCGGGCCCGCGCTGTCGGTTGCTGGCCGCCTCGCTGTGGCCGTCGACCGCGTGCTCAGGCTGCCCTGTGTCGGATCCAAGTCGTTCCTGATCACGATCGGCGACCGCTCGGTCACCGGCTTGGTCGCGCGCGACCCGATGGTCGGCCCGTGGCAGGTGCCCGTCGCCGACGTTGCCGTGACGGCCAGCAGCTACGAGCCGCACGTGCGCTCTGGCGAGGCAATGGCCATGGGCGAGCGGCCAACCCTGGCAGCCATCGACGCTGGAGCCGCGTCGCGCATGGCAGTCGGCGAGTCCCTGCTCAACCTGGCGGCCGCGGCGGTGCCGGACCTCGAGTGGGTCAAGCTCAGCGCGAACTGGATGGCGGCAGCGTCGCACCCGGGCGAGGGCGCGCGGCTGTATGCGGCCGTGAGCGCGCTGAGCGTGGTGTGTCAGGAGCTGGGCATCAGCGTGCCTGTCGGCAAGGACTCGATGAGCATGCAGATGCAGGGGGCCGGCAGCGAGCGCGTCACCGCGCCCGTCGCGCTGGTCGTCACGGCCTTTGCCGCTGTCAGCGACACGCGCGCGACGCTGACGCCACAGCTGCAGCCGCGTGGCGCGCTGCTCTTTGTTGATTTGGCCGGCGGCAACCGCCGCCTGGGCGGGTCGGCGCTGGCGCAGGTCTTCAGCCGCCTCGGCGCGCATGCACCCGACGTCGCCGATGCGGGCCAGCTCAAGCGCTTCTTCAACGCCATGCAGGCGCTGCGCCCGCACGTGCTAGCCTACCATGACCGCTCGGACGGCGGCCTGTTGGTGACCCTGGCCGAGATGGCCTTTGCCGGCCACGTTGGCGTCGACGTTGACCTGGGCACGCTGGCCGGCGACGGCTCGGACGCCGCCGAGGTCATCGGGACACTGCTCAACGAGGAGCTCGGCGCCGTGCTGCAGGTCGCCGAGGAGGACGTCCCGCTCGTCACCGGCGCGCTGCTGGAAGCCGGAATTGGCTCGCTGCGCATCGGCTCGGCCGGGTGCACAGACGCGCTGGGCGCCGATGTTGTGCGCGTGCGCTGTGGCTCGGAGGTGGTCTTCGAGCGCTCGCGCGCCGAGCTGTGGGCGGCGTGGGCCGAGACGTCGTTCCGGCTGCAGCGCATGCGGGACAACCCGCACTGCGCCGACGAGGAGCGCTCGCTGCTGGTGAACGACGCCGACCGCGGCCTCAAGTACGCACTGACGTTCGACCCGGCGCAGACGGCACAGCTGGTGCCGCGCGACCACGAGCTGCTGGCGGGCGGCGCGCGGCCGCGAGTGGCCGTGCTGCGCGAGCAGGGCGTCAACTCGCACGCCGAGATGGCGTACTCGCTGCACCAGGCCGGCTTTGCGGCCGTCGACGTGCACATGTCCGATGTGTTCGGCGGCGCCGTGTCGCTGGCCGACTTTGCCGGCCTGGCGGCCGTCGGCGGCTTCTCGTACGGTGACGTGCTGGGCGCTGGCGCCGGCTGGGCCAAGTCGATTCTGATGTCGCCGGCCGTGCGCGCGCAGTTCGCCGCCTTCTTTGCGCGCGCCGACACGTTCGCGCTGGGCGTGTGCAACGGCTGCCAGATGCTGTCGAACCTGCGCGACATCATCCCCGGCACGCAGAGCTGGCCGCACTTTGTCGCCAACGAGAGCGAGCAGTACGAGGGCCGCGTCGTGCTGGTCGAGCCCGTCGCCCAGGCTGCTGCCGCAAGCGTGTTCTTTGCCGACATGGTTGGCTCGCAGCTGCCCATTGTCGTCGCGCACGGCGAGGGCCGCGCGACCTTTGCCGACGACGCGGCGCGCGCGCGCTTTGTCGCCGAGGGCCTGGCCGCTGTCAAGTACGTCGACCGCACGACGTACGCGCTGAGCGACGAGCGCGTCGCGTACCCGATGAACCCCAACGGTGCCGACCTCAACCTGGCCGCCGTCACCACTGCCGACGGGCGCGTGCTGGCCATCATGCCGCACCCCGAGCGCGTCGTGCGCACCGACGCCAACTCGTTCATGCCCGCCGAGCACCTGGCCGCCTGGGAGCACGGCCCCTGGGCACGCATGTTTGTCAACGCGCGCCGCTGGCTGCTGGCCGCGCAGCGGATCTAGGCTTAACTTTTGATTTTTGATTTTGATCTTTGATCTTTTGATTTTTCGTTCAATGCCAACAATAAATTAACACCATGCAAAACCCAGCTCCTCGCTTATAGCCACAGCTTCAGCCGGAACGCGTCGATGCCGCTCATATAGTACCGGTGCAGCCGCTTCTCGCGCACAAAGCCCAACGCCTCGTACATGGCCAGCGCGCCCCTGTTGTCCGCCTCGGCCTCCAGGATAACCTCATCGGCGCCCATCCGCTGCATCTGCGCCAGCGCCCTGATCACCAGCGAGCTGCCAATGCCGCGCTTGCGATACTTCTTGTCCACAGCGACCATCCCAATATACCCGCGCATCAACGCCGTCTTTTCGTCGTCAAAGTACCCGTCCACCATGCGCCGCCGGTGATCCTCCATCTTGCAGATTACCACGCCGACGCACTCCTTTGTCACAGCGCTATGTGCCAGAATGCACAGCTCGGGCCATTGCTGCACAAAGTACCGGTATGTGTAGATCGAGTAGGGCTCTGAGAGGTCTGCTTCAATCAGCGGTATTGCTGGAAGGAGGTCTGTCTCGGTCTCGTACGTCGTGTATATGATATCTTTTTGTGAATTGTCGTCTGCCATTTGAGGATGTGGGAATGGAATTGAATTATAAAAGGAAATGTGAAATATGAAATATGAGTTATAAATTGTAACAATTTAAGACGAGAAAGAGGAGGGTGACCAATTGAATGGAACGAACAAAATATCCAAGGACAGATTCCCAAAACAATGGAATAGTAGAGTATCAAGGAGAACAGTCGGATTCTTTTTTGATAGTACAATCACGTGAATGTAGCATTGATTGATCCCATTTGTAATGGTTCTGGCCGATCGCCCGGCTGGAGTATAAAGCATTTTTTCCAGCGCGCCACTTTCAACAGGATAGCCTCATATCGACTGTACTTTACAGGATCATGTATACAGTTAATTTTCAGTTTCTTTATTCACCGAATAAAGACACACAAACCAAGCTGGAAGATGACAAACAGTGCGCCGTCCGTAAAGGGAGGTGTCGAACCCGCTTTGGGTTTGTCGATGATCTTGCTGGTTGCGCCCTCGTGTTCTGCTATTATTGCTGCCACGGGTTTATGAGTGCGACTCAGCGAGGACGGTCGCACATTCTGACAGCCTACGTTACCACCCACACACAACACACAATCAAAAACAAAAACAAATTTAAATTCGGTCGTTAAACATAACTTATGCAGCCCTGTGCATATTGTTGGTAAATGGCATTCATTGCGTTTTACCAATGCTGAAAGTAATGCGATACTAAGTATAAAAAACCAAATACTGTCCTCACCACCATAACTACTTGTCCAGGATAAACTTAGAAATGGCAATGGCGAATATGGTTGATATTTTATAATGTACTACAAGTATCTGCAGTAGGGCCCATGATGGGCAAAGCGGCGTGGTAAACAATCAGTCTCAATCATCAACTTTAGTTTTTGCCTTTTACCTTTTACCCATTTTATATTTCGCACAATGGATCTATTTTCTCTCCGTAGATAAAAATTCAAAGGAGATTTATTCACAAGGGGAAATGGTAGATTGTTTGTCGTACCCCATCTCTCATTCTAAAGGCAATTAAATTATTGCATTATGTGTGCCAGCTGGTACGCATGGTGGTGAGGAAAACCCTGCCTTAGCATTATGTCCTCTTGTCCAGCTCTAGTGAATCATTATTGACATGGTTGCCATTGTTGGTACAATTCTAATTGTATGCACGTTCGAAACTGCTTCAGGCATATTAAAAGCTAGCAAGACTAAAGAGTCTTTTGCAGTGGCATCCTTCATATTCAATTGTGAACACCATTCATCAAAACCATAATCTTGTAATTGTCGTCATCAACATTCATCGGGCCATCGTCGCTTGCTGGTCCTATAATGTAACACTTGTCAGTACCGACCAGCATGTGCTTTTCGTGTTGTTTAAGGTCAATTACATTTTGCAATTGTAGGTAATTTTATGCGAATAGTAGCAAAAGGGAACAAATAGAAAATTCATGCCTGCATTTTTGAATTTTCAAATATTTGAATTTTACTATTGTATTCCATCGCTATGCATAATCTCGCATGTATTATTTACTCATGCTCTCGCCCGGTGGTTGCAAAAATTAATTGTTGTCTAAACTGGAAAATAATATTATCCGGTCAAAAAACAACCAACGTGCAAATTGCACATTTGTAAATGGGGGCTTTGGTTTTTTATGTTGCCAAATTACAAAAGCAATCAACATCTAAGTTGAAGAACATATTAATAATAAAATGCTGCCCTTTGTATATTTCCCATGTACTGTTGCTTTGAGTTTGTGTCCTGCAGCAATAGCAAAAAAAGCAGCCAAGAAAAAAGAAAACAAAATTTTAAATGCACAACTCATAAAAAGAAGAAAACAATGGAAATAGGTAAAGGAAAAAAAAGGAGTGACAAAGGGGGGTGGCCACTGGCCCCTTGTTCCCCCACCCCTTCTCCCCTCTTTTCAAGGCTTAATTTTTTGTATTTTGTATTGTCCATGGTCATCCTCGCTTTTATTTTGGTCAATTATTACATTTCTGTATTCCTGTATTTTTGAGTTTTTAAAATGAAAATTGAAACTTTGAAAACGCCCAACTATTCATTATTGTTTTCCTTTCGCACTCCTCTTCTCTTCATTTTTGAAATTATTTATTGGTTTTATATACTTGTATTTAAATAACAAAATTAAACAGCATTAATTAATTGGGCACCAATACCAGCATTCGACAAAAATACTCACGCTTGTCCATTCATCTACTCATTCAGCCACCCATCCACCCATCCATCCATCCATTAATAGTTTAATGAGTGTATTCAGCGCAAGCGCACTTTACGAGCTTGCTTTTTGGTGGAACTGTCTCAGGTAAATTGCAAAATCCACATTAACCGTTTAATTATTCTTTTCTCGTGCCTCTGTAGAGAATTTGTCGGCCCTCCGCCGTTTTTTGTTTAGTTTTGCCAAGTCCTGTAACATGCACGTTTTTGGGCAGGGGTACAATCGCACTTGCAGTTGCACTCTTTCTTATGATCCTTTCTTATTCGCCACTCTCCCCCTGCTGCTGCTGATGATGAGCTGCAGTGCGAAAATGGTGACTGGCCAACCACATCATGCCTTTAATTATTTTTTTGCTAGGGATTCACGCGTTATCCTTTGTGGATTCTGCTTGCTGCTCTACCGCTTGTAATCATTGTTTAAATTTATTGTTGCTTGCGTGCTTGGAATAAAAAATTGAATGTGGGGACAAGCGCGAAAAAGGGGGAGCAGTGCTCGCACATGCAAAGATCTTCAATCTGCAAATCCCAAACGCAAAAAACTTGAAATATAATTTTTAATTTCAATTCAATAAATTTCGTTTTGTTTCTTAATTTATTGCAACATGTAGTTTTGGCTTGCATATCATCGTTGGGTCGCTCTCTGCTTTTAATTTTTGGTCAAAACAGCACTCGCTCAAACGCATATCCGACTTGGCTCCTGCTCCAGTCGCAGCCCTGCTCGCAGTAAGTGTATAACCAGCAAAAAAAACTTTGCAAACAGTATTTTTCATTCCGATGTTTGTCTTCTTGCCATTTAACTCTTACTAATTTTATTTTTGTATTCGCTTTTGTTTTCAGACACAACCGGGTCATGCGCATCACTATACCAGCTGGCCAGCGCTGGTTGTCGAGATCGTTCATACATGGCTGAATTGCGGTTTCACTTTGGCCAATCGCAGCGGCGTCTCATTGGCCTCGTCAGCATACCATTTTGTCTTGACACTCGCTATTGCTCGCACGCTAGTGGCATTGCTAGAGTTCTATATCAGGCGGCCTGCCATTTCATTGCCCCAATCTGCGGTATCTACGCACAAAACGGCGAATTCACACAACAGCAAGCAGTGGATTGTCCGCATCAATCGGGCTGCATGGCTGACGCAGCAGGGCGGGTTCTTTCTAGCTGGAATTTCTGCTGCACTTATGTTCCTCCTACATGAGCAAAAACAACATAAACAAGAGCAAGAGCACCTGCAGCAGAAGCAGCACCAGGTATTACAACATTTTTTCTCTGGTTTCTCACTCGAAAACGCGGCCGTGTGGGTCATGCCACATACTGCATTGCTTGGCGCTATTGTCTCCATTGCTTTTGCTGTCGTCATTTTGGCGGACATATGGCAGCTAAAGGTGAAATCAAATTATCTAATTCCTGCCTTGCATGCTGACAACGCAAACAATGCAAACAACGCGCCGCCGGCAACAGCGGTAGATAATTCTGTGCATTCCGTTCTGTCGCGCCTGACGTATCACTGGGTGCTCAATTTTCTTCGCACGTATCAGCAGGACATCGCACCGCAGTCAGACTTACCAGCGTCGACAAAGTCAGCGACCTTTGTGCCGTCTCCAAGTAGCAGCAGCAGCCTGGATCCGCGCGTGCTACATTCGCAGTTTGTGACCTTTTGGAGCGCAGAGCTTTCCAGCGGCCGGCAGTCTCTGGCACATGCAATTGTCAACACATTTGCCGGCGACCTGTGGCTGTCTAGCACCCTGCGCCTGTTTGTGTACATTAACGACGTTCTTTTGCCGCTTTTGATCGCTCGGATTTTGCGAGAAATTGGCGATATGCAGGGTGAGATTGAACAGCGCAGTGGGTCGCTAGGCAGAGTGGCTACTGCACTGGCGTGCTACAGTGTGATGTCCCTGATCAGCGCTGTGGTCGAGCAAAACCAGATTGATTTGCGCGACAAGACAACGCTTAAAATCCGAATCACCCTTACTGCTGCTGTACACAGTAAGGCCCTCGATATGCAGCACTCCACCAAGGACACCGCTGATCTGTACTCCTGCGGAATTCACAGCACGCAGCAACTGGCCACCCATATACTTTCTCTAAGCCAGGCCATCTGGCTGCCGTTGCGAGTTACAGCCGGCTTGTACGTATTTTATTGCCAGGTTGGTTGGGCTGTGGGCCCGGGCATAGCCGCCGTGCTCCTCTACCTACCCCTGCGCAACCGCCTTGTAGCTCGCCGACTTAGCGCTCAAAAGAAAGCCGCACAGGCAATGAGGAGTCGCGTGTCTCTGGTTTCCCAGCTGGCCGACAGCATTGTGCCGATGCGTCTGTTGGCGTGGGAGCACCTGTTGGTAGAAAAAATCCAAAACATACGCAGGCAGCTTGAGCTCCCGTGCATGGTTGAGGCAAGCATGGCGTCGTCGCTTCTGTCATTTGCCCGGACTGCGTGTCGGACCGGAGGACCGCTGGCATCGCTATTTATATACACCACGTTGTCCCATGTTATTACCGGGTACTTTAGCCGCAGTGACAGCATGCTTAAGGACAATGGCGAGAGTGGACGCGGAATGTATATGACCACAGAGCAAGTTTTTGTCGTACAGGCTATTCTGCGCGAACTGTTTCCGCTGCTCATCGACGTGCCGCATACATTTGACAGCTGGTGGGATGCAAAGCTGCCTTACAGCCAGATTCGCAATCTGCTCGTTGCACCCGAAAGCAAAGGCCGCAATGATTTTGGCGACGAGAAACTCGACATGGACAGTGGCTCCATCCGAATCTCCGACGGTGTGTTTGATTGGAAGACGCCGGGTGCAACTGGAAGTGCGTTTTCGCTCGAATGCAATTGCCTGGAAATATCTCCAGGCCAGCTAGTGGCTGTGGTGGGTGCTGTTGGATCGGGCAAGTCATCGCTGGTATCGGCCTTACTCGGTGAAATGGACCAGACGCATGGTCAGCAACAAATTAGCGGGCGCGTTGCCTACGTGTCACAGTTACCCTGGTTAATGGGTGGCACGGTCCGCGAAAACATCACATTTGGCTCCACATTCGACTGCGACTGGTACGCGCAAGTCATCGACGCCTGCGAGCTCACCCACGATATTAATTGGTGGTCTGCTGGAGACCAGACCGTTGTTGGTAGCAGTGGTCAGACACTGTCGGGTGGCCAGCGTATGCGCGTGGCCTTGGCGCGAGCAGTTTACGCACGGGCGGACATCTACATATTGGATGACGTGCTGGCCGCTGTGGATCCTGGCGTCAGTCATCGGATTATGGATCGCGTACTGTTGGGAGAATCCGCGCTGCTTTCTCGAGCTACACGCCTGGTGGTTACGCGCGAACCGAGGCTCCTACTTTCTGCCGACGCCATTTGTGTCGTGGGCGACGGTCAAGTCGTGTTTAAGCCACATCCATTGCTTAACATCATTGATGAGCCAGTGGACATAAGCGCCTATGCGCTGGCGGGTATTAATAACAATGGGGAGCTTCTTGCCGAAAGGTCCATGCAGGCCTGTGGTATGGGCATGCCAATTGATCTGCCTATAACGTCGCCCACGCTAGCCGAAGATATTATTTGTGCGATGGCCACGCCGCCGAGTAGCACGCCGCCAAGCAGCACGCTGCCGAGCAATACGCCGCTGAGCAATACGCTACAGCATCTCCCTAGCATCAGCACTATTGCACCGTCCGACCGCCAGCCAAGTCCGATTGATAACCCCGGCTCTTACGCGCAATACCTTGTTCCCGTGAAATACATGCTGCGCTTGTGTGGCGGGTACATGGTAGCAGCACACTGCGTTACGGTTGCCTTGCAGTGCCTGGCGACCAATCAAGCAAAGCTATGGCTCGGCAAGCCAATTCCGTTTGCACACACGTTGCTGGAGGCAACTGACTCCGGCAACAATCACAGCGAGCAATGGGATCCGACGCTGTGGCATTTTGCCATGTCCACAACCTGGTGGGCTGCCGATGTTTTGCTAGAGTTTGCGTCGCAGTGGTGGACCGAGGTTGCCTGGCGCCGAGCCATGTTTGTCAAATCACACGGTGAGCTGCTGCAAAGCATCTCCGCAGCGCCGCTGTCGTTCTTCAACTCAATGCCTACGGGTCGGATTTTGGCTCTATTCACGGACGGCCAGAACGACGTTGACTTGCGCATGCCTCAGAGGCTGGCTAATTTGGCGACATTTACAGTGAAGCTTGGCTTCGAGGCATGGATCATTTTAATGTTCCACCCCGTGCTGGTGGTTTTCGTGGCTGTGGCCATCACTGTTATGTGGGGGATTGCCAGTGTTAGCAGAATCCCACTTGCCACCATTACCACAGCCCAAACCGAGTCGCAGCCGCTTATTGACGCGCAGTTCCAGGACGCTCTTGCCGGAGCCTCGACAATCCGGGCGTTTTCAGTGCGTTCGTTTGTCAAGAGCCGGCTGGACTCCCGCATGTTTTACTATGCTCAAACGCGGCGCATTGGCGACAGCATTGAGACATGGATTGACTTGACCATGTCGTTGCTGCGCGTGGCCGGGACCACTGTTGCGTTTGCAATTGCGCTGATAAGCGTTGCCAATGGGATGGCCGTGGATCCGACGCAATTGTCGCTTGTGCACATGTGCGTGATGTTTATTCTCGCACGGCTGCAGCATCTCATCCGGCACTCGCATGCCATGAGGTCCAACTTGTCCAAGGCTGGGCAATATATCCACTACACCAACTTGCGCTCTGAGCAGGCTTGCGCGCGACAATACGCCTCTACCCCGCTGCAAAAAGTTTCTGAGCAGTGGCCAGAACGCGGATCTGTGACGTTTAACCGTGTGTGCGCGCGGTACAACGGCATTTCAAATAGCCTTGAAAACGCCGCCGGTTTGACCGGCTCGTCGTTGCGCGACATGTCGTTTGAGATCAAGCCCGGCCAGCATGTTGGAATTGTTGGGCGCACGGGTGCAGGAAAAAGCAGCATTGCCATGGCTCTCTTTGGTCTTTTGCACGTAGAGTCCGGCAGCATTTCTATCGATGGCATAGACATACGCTCTGTCGACTTGCCGACGTTGCGTAAACGTCTTGCCATTGTGCCACAGACTCCGCACATATTGCCAGGGTCGATCCGCGACAATCTCGATCCGCTCAACTGCCACTCTGACGCCGAAATTAGCCGCGCGCTGGTCTCTGTTGGTCTCGACAAAAAATACGACATCAACGTCGAGACGCCAAAAGATTGGAGCACAGGACAGCAACAACTGCTCAGTTTGACTCGCGCACTACTCAAGCGCGCCAATATTCTGGTTCTAGACGAGGCCACTGCGGCAGTAGATGCGCTTGCTAGTCATCAGTTGCATGCGCTCATTCGCGCGCATTTTTCTCATTGCACGATCCTCACTATAGCTCACCGTATGGACTCAATTTTGCACTGTAATCTTATACTAGTTGTGAGGGATGGGGCAGTGTGCGAGACCGGGACGCCAGCTGCTTTGCTCAGCGCTGAGGGCTCGTATTTGGCTCAACTGTCGCGCAAGCCGAATTTTCAATCATGGCTGGACGCATTGGCCTCCAGTAAAGCGACAGGAATTGTATCTACACCCGGCACGTCTACGCCCCCATGACTACGTATAATAAAAAGTGTGGATGTATTTAACACATGTTTTATTAAAAATAAATGTTATAAAAATGTGTTGCAAATGGTTTTAATGCCAAAGTTAAAATTGGATGCATATGACAATGCTTTTGCCAAACAACAGCACAGGTGGAATTCTATAAATAGGGGATGTGGACTAGTGACTACAGCATGGGATTTCTTCCTCGAAAATGTTACCCAGCCCGAGGATATGGAGGTAGATGCTGAGAGCGAAAATCATGAGACGGATTCTAGCCAGCTTACAGATGGATCTGATATGGACCAAATCACAAGGGATCAAATTAGGCGACACAATTGACATCCAGACATACTGCCTGTCCCGAAATGGATGTGCTGGGCGCAAGAATACAGACATGCCAATTATGCCATATCAGAGGCCCGGGTTACTTTCATAAGGACCAGTTCTCGTGAACGGAGCACACAACTGCCAGTGAGTGCCACAAAGATAAAGGTACATATATAAGGCGAGGCCGGCGATAATAGCACTTTAGAAACACTAGTAATAAAATCCTTTATAATTTGACACCCATTCTTCTAACACTATCACAGTAGTGCTCCTCACACCCCCTCTTACATAACAAAAATAACAATTTATATTTAAAATGTAACCTCTTTCCTACAAAATTTTATGCTTTTATTATCTTGTATAATAAATAACAAACAATTGGGCGTGCCAAATATGAGAACAAAATATGTTTTTTAACATGAATGGCTAATATTTAATGTAGATAAACAGCTCTGCACCAATTACAACTTTTTTTTGAAGATCCTCAAGCGAGTTGTTATAATTATACGGGATGTCTTTGAGCTCTCCATTGACTCGAACCTGTATTTTTTTAATACGTGCACATCCATTTTGGCCGCTCAGCAAATTACTCTCAATTTCCTTGACACTTTTATTGTCGTCAATTTCCATAGTAAAGGATCCGCATTGCTTTTTTGAAGAATCAATGATTGTACAAATGTTAACTCTCATTGTAATGATGACGGCTAGTTAGCTGGTATTAAAGTGAATGGCAGTCGGTGAATTGGTAAGTGCGATGTGGTTAGAAAATATATTTCTAGTAAAAGTGGATGAGTAAAAATTAAGTGTGTTGTTTTGGATGAACGAATAAAAATATGGATGTGAATTCAGTTTCTTATATATAGTTGGGAATTGTATACTTGCCAATGTCCAGTGCTTGAATGTCTGCTGTTATTCAAAGGTTGAGTATGTAAATGAAATATTTCTCGCAAAACAAATGACAATTTTGTTTGAAGTAAGCATTGTGCGCGTCATTTGGCCCAACAAGTACCCAAAATATTTACAAACTATTCATGTGATGTTAAAAATATTTGTTTGACCGTCATCGGGTTGAATGCAGTCAGTTGTTTTAGGTGCCTCGCAATGTTTACTTTCTCAAAAATACATTTTCTTATGTGCACCGCTTTTTTATGTGTGTACTAGGACTGCTTTTGTGTTTTTAATAAGCGTAATTAATTTAGAATAATTCTTAAAGGCAAATCATAATTGCAACTTTCAAATATTGCAATTAATTCAAATTAAACAAATAATGATTAATTTGATGGGTGTTGTTACACAAAAGATTATTGTTATCGGTACAAATTTCAAATAATATAACCTGCGCTAGAATCTGACTAGCCACCAAATAAAAGGCAAGTTTTTCAGTTTTATATATACATTTATAATGATCAACATAACTAACAAAGAAAAATATTCAGCTGAAAATTATAACCTGACATTGACAACACACCGATTAATAATAGTCTCCCAGGCGTATACTTACAAATATGCTGAGTATCTTAATCAATTTACACTTGAGTAAATAACACAAGCTTAATTGGCTTTGCATTTAGCTAAATCACTTCTCGAGTAATGAGTTCCTCCACAGTTATCACAAGTAAAATTGGGAGCCTCTCCACTACCTTTAACAATATCGGTATTTCCTTTCGATATAGCTTGATTGATGGGTCTTGAGCTGTTGGTTTTGTTTTGAAGACGCATTGTTTAATAATTGGCAATAAAGATGTCTATCGGAATAAAATTCCTGGTGAATGCTATGAACAAGTAAAGTAATAATTTATCATAGAGAGAATAGAGGAGAGGCTCCTTTTATAGTGCATCCAAAATCCAATTTTTCATTTATTTTTCACCCTACACATGATAATTTACTAATAAGTGCTACTTGTTTGTTTTATTTATTCTTTCTCACTGTTCTCTGACTCGGGTTCTCTCTGATTTTCTATACTTTTGCTTAATTCCCCTGCATAAACAAATATTCCTTTTTTATTTTTACATCAACAAGCATATGATTATTATAGACAGTGTGCATTTGCATTTTACTTTCTCATTTCCATACAATTACAACTGGCAGCGAGCAATTTTTAAAGAACAATTATAGGAATTAAACTTGTGAAAGTCCTAGGGGTATTGTATAAATAAATTGTTGATGGTAGAAGGTCTAAAAAGAAATATTTTCTTTGTGCAAGACTGCTTCAATTTAAAGCCCATATTTAGAAACTATCCAATCAAGCAGAGGTAAATACTCTTGTTTTTCGCGTCGATTTTTCTCATTAACATAAATGTTTTGCAAAAAAAAAGCATGCATATTGTTGGTGCACATTAATGTTGTAAGGGTACATTTATTGAACAATTTAAAAACAACAATGTTTATTCCGCCGTTCAATTAATTCTGTACTTATGTAACAGAGCCTGCTTTTGAGGTTGCTATACTTGGCACCTGTACTTTATAGTGTTGATGCTGTAGCTCTTGTCGACCTTTGCTGCTGTTACATTCCGCCAGACAATTTTGTAAAAAAAAAAAAACGAGTAGCAGGAGCGAGAGCGGGAGCGGAAGCATGTGCGGGATTACTATTAATATGGTCTAATGGGATGGTTAAATAGGCCAGAGTACAAGAAAAGTTGGTTAGATTTTACACTTTTTATGTCAAATTTCTTTATTTTTCCCTTTATTTTTCCATTTAATTGGTGCAAATCAGCTTCGCCTGTAAGTTGGTAATTAATTCCAAACCCCGCTTCAACTGCATATCCGCTGTTGACTGTTGACTGTTGACTGTTGATTGGATGTTGACTGTTGACTGTTGGCTGTTGGCTGTTGACTGCAAGTCAATATTTTACTAAAAGAATAAACCTGAAAAAAAAAACTAAAAGGCAAAGCTGCTCTTCAACGCAATTCTACTGGGCGCTTCCTCCACTTTTTGAACAGCCCTCTCAATCTCGTTTTTCGCTGTTTTTGTCGCTCGAGACCTGATAGCTGCCTCCAATTTGCTTTTAGCCAAGGGTTGTGTAGCAGCCAACCTCAGCACAACATTTTTGAACGGCAGGGGCGCACCCGTCGCCAGAGCCAAAATACCATCGGCAATCCGACCGCTCTCATCGTCTTCACACAAGGACAAAAAGAGCATCAATGTGGCTGCCATCACCATGTCGCCGCTGTTGCCACTGCCATCAGGATACCTCTTACTCATTGCCAGCTCGGTGAGAGATCCCAGAGTAAGCTCCAACACGGTGTCGTCAGCAGAGAGGTGCGCGTGAACAAGACGTGCCAGATGGGGGATGGCCTGGCGAGCAAGCACGGGCAAAATGCCCAGTGGCTTGTCGCACTGATTGAGAGCCTTCGGAATAGCAAGTAATGCCGGCAGATCACTATTCTGTGCGCTGTTCCTAGTGAATTCCGACAAACGACGCACGTACGCTGAAACAAATAAGGCCTGCACCTGCGCGGATATGGCCAGGCATGATTCAACGGATAGCAGAGCAGCCACGACGCCGACACTGGCCTCACTGCTGGACTCTGAGACCAACATCTGCGCCAACATGGCATTGACCATGTCGCCAGCCCACACAAGGGCCAACTCACCCCGCGTGATCAGATCGTCGTCCGCCTTGGCAGATACACGGCCGAGCAAATCCATGAGCGCGCGCGCAAGACCATGGGCGTCCTGCGAGGCCACAAGTGATTTGTGCCAGAGCCCCAGCCACATAGACACCATTGCGCGCCCGTCTACTGCGGTGTCGATTTCGGCAGCGGCACAGCCGGAAATTCTGCCCAGAACATTCAAACACGCCAATGCAGTCGCATACGACTCCTTTTGCCCATACGTCCGGCGCCAAGTCGCCAGGAGATCGCGCAGGACCGCACGGCCGCACACAGACAAGCCAAGGAGAGCACCCTCCGCCTCTGAATCGCTGGCGGCAGTATTGTCAAATAGCCAATGTGCCAGCAGATTGCGCCCTGATGGGTCCAACGAGCGGTCGATCTGGCGGACAAGTGCCAAGGCAACCTTCAGCGCCCGGTTGCTGTTGTCTGCGAGCTGCGACGCAACGGCCCTGCGCCAGACTTCGCTTGCCAGCCACATGTGCGCAGACGAGTCTGCGGGACCAAAGGCACCAAGAAGACCGAACTCTAGTCCGCGATCCAGCAACGCGCAGACGCAGTCCAGTAAAGCGTCAACATTCGCGGTCTTGTCATAGGCCACGGCGGCCGAATTGCCGAGATCCAGCGCGCCGACCATCCGGTCAGCAAGCTCCCGCACGGGCGGTACATCGCTGGATATCCGCTTTGGCACTGCCGCCAGATGCTGCAGTGCAAATCCCATTAGAAGAAGCATCGGCCTGTACTTTGCCTTGCCTCGGTTCCGCATCAGCGTGTCGCCCGTGGACAGAGCCACAGTCAAGGCAGAGACAAAGCGCGGCAAGTAGTAGGCATACCACTGGCTCAAAGAGTCGCGCACCAGTCCAACATACGTTGACTCGAGGCCTAGGCAGAGCCCCAAGCCCACGTCCCTCGTGTTGGCAGTGAGCCGGTCGAGCTCGCGATACACGTCGCCCAGGTCCATATCCAGCACCGCCATATCGCGCACGGCATCGAGCCACCCTTGGCACAGGACATCCATGTGTAGCATCACAACGTCTCCCAAGACGTCGCGACGGGCGTATATCGTGGCCCACAGGCCCAGAACAGCCAGCTTTTCGACAACCAAACACTGCTCGGGCATGCCATCTGCCACCCTGGCAAACACCGGCTGCGGTGCAACCAGCCTGAGCATGCGCACGGCTGATGCGCGGTCATTCGAAACCAGCCCGGACAGCACATACGCAGTCACAGTCTCCATCGCAGCCACCCTCACAAGGCCACTCATCTGCAGGGCAGGGAGGAAGGCCGAGCTGATCTGCGCCTGGTAAATGGCCAGCACAGACACGTCCTCGCCGGGCACAGCCGGATCCTCGACGTCCGCAAAGTGCCTGAGCAAACGCTGCAAAAGACTCTGGCCCAAAACACATAGCCCCAGGGAGTGGTCTACGGGCGTGGTGGCGGCCATGTAGGAGACGCGCAGAAGATCGGTGAGCGAGTCTGTCAGCGGGTGTGCCCGCCACTCGGAGCACCCCAGCGGTCGCACAGTGGCTATAGCGTCAAGGATGGAAACCAGAGCGGCCACGCTCAGCTGCCTGGTCAGCGAGTCAAACGGTCTGGTGCCGTCGGTCATCTCGGACTCGATTGCCGCCAGCGTCGGTTGCGCGCCCGACCGCTTAATAAATACAGCGCACAAAGTAGAGACCAGAGCGTGTACCCCGGGAGTATCCGAGCCCAGCTCCATCTGGCGATACTCGCAACAGACGGCCAGGCTGACAGTCGTCCTGACGAGCGCCCTGATGTCGCCGACGAGCAAGCGGGAAACACCACCACCACCGTGCTCGCCCGCCGCGCTGTGCAAGGCCAGGGCCTCCCACAGGATGTCACACAAGGACCACTCACCATTCTGGGTCAAAATAGGGACCAGATCCTCCCCGTACAGCCGCAGCATGCCCTCCAAGGCCAGCACAGCAACCCTCTGCAGTGAATGCAGGCCAGCCATATCGCCCCAGCCGCCAATCCTCCTCCTAGTCTGCATAATCGGCCTGAGAGTCTGCTTCATAACGCTCGGCAGGTACGCAGAATCGTCCCGGGGCGGCGGGAAAAAGAGCAAGCGCTTCTGCACAGCAAAAATATACTCGGCAGCCGTCTGCCACTGTGCATCGGGGTCGGCCACCACGGAGAGATCGCCTAGGGGAACGGGCACACCGAGGGAGGGCAGGGAGCGGCGCAGCTCGCCCATCAGGGTCAAGACAGAGTCGCGCGTCCCTTGGTCCACCTGCAGCTCGGGCCCAAAAACCAGAATCAGAGAGCTCACAAGGTGGCCTAGCGCTGCCCTGGCATCGTGCGCATCGACGTCGGAGCGCGCGCACACAAAGCGGTACTCGCTGCTGCTGCTGGCCCCGCCGCCGCCGCTGCCACTGGCGCCACCACCACTGCCGCTGCCGCCACCGCCTCCTCCGCCGCCATGGCTGTCATCTCGGTGGCCGTCGGGTGCCCTGCCGTGGTGTGTTGTGCTGTTGGGGTGGGTTACAGCGGCGTCCCTCCCAAGGGCAACGCCCCTCTGCGCATCGCTGCCGGATCCGTGAGAAAAGCCAGCAGCGGAAGCAGTAGTGGCAATGGGCAGGACTCGCTCGGAGCCGGCGCAGTCCAAGAAGTTGTTCGGTGGCGTATGGTCCTTGCCGCCTGCCCACAGGGCCGACGCATGCATAGGCACGGCATGCGAGTCGCTGAGGAACAGCTTGAGGGCCAGCTTGAAAGTGTCGCGTGCATAAGGCTCGAACATGTATCCGGCAGACATTGCGGCGTCGGCCAGCGCGGAAATCGCCCAGGTGTGCACCACAGGGTCCTTGTCGCTGGCCAATGAGTGAAGCAAAACAACAACCTGCTTCAGGATGTGACCCCCGGCAACCATGGATCCGGCCCTGGCGTAGAGCGACCCCAGGGCGACAGCCGACCCAGCGCGGGCAAAGCGGTCTCTGGACCGGATGGCCTGCTGTGTCAAATGCTCCAACAGGTACGGCAGGTAGGCGGACGCCGCGTCCCTCGTGCGCGTGGCCAGCAGCCCGATGATCTCTCCAGCTAGCTGCCGGTGGGCGGCCAGCGGCAGGACCAGCGCGGCGCGTGTCATCTCCACCACGGCCCTGGCCACCCTCGGCATGACCTCCGATGTGCCCTGCAGCGCCACATGCAGCGCGCAGATAATGTTTGTCAGCACGGCCAAGTACCTGTGTGAGTTGAAGGGCAGCTGGTTGAGCCGGCCAACCAGGATATCCAGGAGCGAGAGCTGGCCGTCCTCGGCCATAGTCGGGAACACGCAGCCGAACAAGCGGACGCATTCGTCAACCAGCCGCGTGTACGGCGGCCTCGACAGCTCCGACGGTGCCAATGGTTCCAACGGTTCCGATGATGCGGGCTGCACAGTGGCAAATACGGCCTGTGTCCAGTCGAATTCATCAGCGGACATCGCGCAGCATGCAAAATCGAGCCCAAAGTCAGAGTCCATCCGGTTGCTGCTCAGGTCCTTGCCGTCGTTTCCACCGCTGCTCTTCAAGAACACTGGCAGTAGGGAGGTCACACCGGTCTCGATCTCGTACCCCCAGCTGCCGCTGCGGAACCGACAAAGGTGCGCGGCAGTGTCCGCTGAGTGGTGGTCGGGCACCAGCATTGGCAGCGGGTGACAGGCAGCCGAAATACGCTGCGCCATGGACTCGCTCAATACCTCAGAGCCACCAATAACAGTCTCGACAAGTCTCACAGCTGCCGGCACAACGCCACCACTTAGGGCGCCCTCCCAGCGGCTGCCAAGCGCCCGCAGACACTCAACAGCGCGCGCGCGCACAACCACATGGCTGGTCAGCAGCGCCGTCGGCACAGGCAGTGCCCAAACCGGGCTAGTCGGAACCACTGCAGCGATCGACATCCGCAATTGCTGCTGATGCTGTGTGTTCATATGGAGGGGCGCATCCAGCGCGTTGTCAGCGTACATCAGCGTAAAGCGCACGCACGACACCAGCACGCGCACATCGCTGGGAGAATCCACGAGGCCTGCGCGTATGGCAGCCAGCAGGTGAGTTAGCGCCAGGGTGCGCGACTGCAGCTGGTGTGCGCGCTCTGCCCAGGGCGTCAATGAAGTGACAAAAACCTGCTGCTGCTGCTGCGTCGGCATCGCCACAGTCCACAATGGCATCCACTCGGCGCGTACACGCGCCTGGGCGAACCTTGGGCCTAGCTGCGCCAGCGCCGTGAGCAGCACCCAGCCGACCGTCATCCGCATATTGCGCAATGCCACTGGCCCAGAAGCAGCTGCAGCGGAGCGGTTCTCCTTACGATGTTCCAAGCCCAGGATTGCTTGGGTATCTGCCGGGTCACCACTGCTGATTCCGAATCCGCCGCTGCCGCCGCCGCCCTCTGTGTGGTGGTGCACAACCTCGGGCTCGCTGCGGCCATATGCGGACCCGAGCATCCGCAGGGAAATCCCATGCACCCACTCGAGCAGATCCAGCGGCACCTTGGCGCCGCGCATCGCGACAACCGCCGCAATAGCGTACGCGTACCCGATGCACCGCCGCAGCGTATCCGCCGATGCGCACGCGTCTTCGGTTGAGTGCACAACGCAGTGCGCGCAGAAGCTCTGCAGCCGCGAGACCAGCGTGCCCAGACACCGCGCGGCAACATTCTCTTGCGCCTCGGCGCCGGCCGCGTGCTGCAGCAAGGGGCGCAGGGCAGCGGCGGCGGCCACGCGCACGGCCTCGCTCGGATGGCCAAGCAGGTTCTCCAGCGGAACCGTCTCGGGATCCGAAAAGCACCCGATGGCAGAGACGCCCTCGCCCAGGTCCTCGAGCATCAAACGCCATTCGTGCAGGGCGATTAGTAGCGCAACCTCGCCGCCGCCATAGCCTGCGTGGTGGCTGTCGATCTGCGAGGCGCGCCACGGCATAATGACTGCGGTGGCAGCGGCAGCAGCCAAATTAACCATGCTCTCCGACCGACTGCTACCATTACTGCTGTTGCCTTCAATGAGCGACCGCACCTCCACTGGCAGCTCGCTAGCCAGCCAGGCGGACCACAGATAGCGCGCGGCATCCACCCGGCCGCGCTCACCAAGCAGGCTGCGGAGATGCGCAAGCAGCCAAGCGCACATCCCGCGCACAGCCAGCAACTCCGCTTCGACCTTAGTGTCCAGCGCGCCCACGAGCCCAACTAACCCGTCGCGTTGCTGAGCCGACTGAGCCTGCTGCTGCTGTTGTGCAGACCTGGATCTGTGCTGCTGTGACTGCGGATCCACTGAGATCTGTGCCATATTGCCCAGAATATGCGCCACAATGGCTGCGTAGTGCGCCTCAGCCTGCATGCCGAGCTCATCCAGCAGCGCCACGTAGCAGTCAACAATGCCAGCTCGCAGCTCGCGCGACGCTGACGCGCGCGTAAAGGGGATTGAGAGCCAGTGCAGGGCGTGCACAAGCGTCGGGCGCCCGCTGCTGCCACTGTTGCCGGTGCCTGCTGCTGCTGTTGTTGCTGTTGCTGTTGCTGCTGTTGTTGTTGTTGTTGCTGTTGCTGTTGCTGTTGTTGGTGGTGGTCGGCCGGTGGGAAATTCTGGACCGCTATTGGTCGTAGTGTCGATGGACGAGCGTGTAGTGGTTTGGCGGTGCAGGGAGTTCAGTGTGCCGCGTCTCAGCGATGCCTTAGCGGCAGCCGGCGAGCGCGCTACATTGCTGCTGCTCTGTGGGTCCACCGGCGACAAATTAAATGACGATGCCTCGACGCTGCTGCGCACCGACATGCCAACACTCGGTGCCTCGGCGGCCGGCACTAGACCCACAGCAGCGGGAGCACTGGTGGGGCTTGCAGGCTCGGTCATGGACGCTGGCTGGTCCAGCGAAACACTGTTGGCAATCAGCACGGCAACCAGGTGTGCCAATGCCCTGCGCACAGCCAGCACAGGCGTTGCCACCATCGGCACCAGCGCAGCAACCACGGCTTCGACCGGCTCGGCGCCAGTGCCAGAAACAGCGTACAGGATCTCCAACCCCTGCGCAGCAGCCACAACCAACAATGGCGCACGCACACCCAGACAGCCGCGCAGCACCTTTGATACCTCCTTGGCCTGCTGCTCCGTCATGGTTTTTCCGGAGCTGCCCCACACAAGCCTTCCGATCATCCGCACAGCCTCAACACGCACAACCACAGGCTCGGCGGTGTTTTTGACCAGCCTTAGGGCGAGTGCCAGAAAATCGCTGAAGCAGCTCAGTAGACGGAAGCCGGCTTTCCCTGCGAGAGCTTCGAAGAGCACACCGGCGCAAGTGAGTGCTGAAAGCTTGGGGGTTGTGGGTTTACTGGCCATGGATGTGCGGATGGCATGGAGGGATTCGCCCATTAGGTGCATTTGGCCGAGCTCGTATATGCGCGCAAGACATTTTGCTGCGAGATCGCGGACTAGACGACTGGGCTTGGGCACGGTATTATTGCCTAGAATGCTCGGCCGCGCCATGGATGCTTGCTGCGCATTGCTGGTGCTGTTACCGAGCCAGGAGAGCCGTTTGGTCGCCTGCTGCGCTGTGCTTGTGGCTGGTGGAATACACGTGGTTTCGAGCAAAACCAACTCGAGCCGGTCCTGGGCTGGCGTGACGTCTGCCTAAAACAAGGATAATGAAAGTATGTAAAATGGGTGGAGTTTGTGTTAATTCCATTCCATTTGTCCTGTTTTGTTTTGTTTTGCTCTGTTCTGTTCTGTGTTGTAGTTGTGACGCAAGCTGCATTTGCTTTATTGTGAGTTTTTCTAGATTACCTTTGTGGCGGTTGTTTCGAGGTATGCATCTAGGTTGGACAGCCATTTGAAAAGGTGCATTTCACGGTCGCCAGGCGATGTTAGCGCAGCATACCGCGCCTCATCGAAATGCAAGGGAGTGGCGGACATTTGCGCCAAAGAAAAGAAAAAGAAAGTGGGATTATTATAGTAATAGTAAGAATAAGAATAATAAGAACAGAGTGTATAAATTTTATGAAAGAAAAAGATATAGAAAAAAGGAGAGAGAGAGAGAGAGAATTCGGAATTCAAAAAGGCTTATTTTTCGGTTTCCGGTTTTCGGTTTTCGGTTTTCTTCTCACAAGAAGAAATGAAAAACTGGTCATCCTTGATCCTCCAATACGGCTCTCTCCTTAGCGACGCCTTGGCAGCCTCGATATCCACGCGGATATCCTCCACCAGCAGCTCCAAGCTCTCATAGTCCCTCTCCGCGCGCACAAAGCCCAGAATGGCCACGCGAATCTCGGCTCCGTAAAAATCATCCCTAAACTCGTGTATAATATGCACTTCGCCGGACCGCTTCTCGTTCTTAAAGTATGGGTTCCACCCGAGCGACATCACCATTGGCCGCACGCAACGGTCGCCGGCCAGCACTTGCGCCCAGCCAAAGTAGACGCCGATCGGGATGTGAGAGAGCGCTTGGCTGACGGCCGACTCAGGAAGGTTGGCTGTTGGGATGCCCAGCTGCTTGCCGCCGCGCCCAAAGCCTTTGGTTACTTGGCCATGCACAAAAATTGGATATGGCGCCGCTGGCGTGGGCGGGCCGAGGATGAGCGGGCGGGCGTTGGAGGACAGGGGCGGGGGCGAATCCATTTTGGGCTTGGGCTTGGGCTTGGACTTGGACTTGGGCTTGGACTTGGAATGAATTGAATTGAATTGAATTGAATTGAATTGGATTGGGATTGGATTGGATTGGATTGGAATTGGAATGGGATTGGGATTGGGATTGGATTGGAATTGGAATTGGGATTGGGATTGGGATTGGATTGGATTTGGACTTGGACTTGGACTTGGAATTTGAATTGGACTTGGACTTGGACTTTGAACTGAACTGAACTGAATTGAATTGGATTGGATTGGATTGGAATGAATTGAACTGAGCTGAACTGAGCTGGGCTGGACTGGACTGAATTGGCTTGGCTAGGGTAAAAATGAAAAATGGAAGTTTAATCAAGAGCCAGAAAAGGAGAGAGGGGAGCGGGCGGCCATTCGGCATCGGCGCTAATCCCCTTCCCTCTTTTCACAGGTCGCCGTCGTCATCGTCCATCTCCATGGCCACCTCGTCAGGGTTGGCCGCCAGCACGCGCCCCGCGTCGGCCGCGGCCGCAGCGCCCTCCGCAGCGCGCCGCTTGCCCGCACGGGCGACCTCGGCCTTGGCCATGCTGCCCGCGTCGCCGGCGAAGCGCGCCACGGCGACGCGCTTCGCCCTGAGCATCTCCCTGAACGTCTCCTCGTTGCCGCACACGACCTCGAACGCGTGCCACCGGCCCCACGCGTCGGGGCTCGCGCGCGGGTCGGCGAGCTGCGCCGCGTACGCGTACAGCGCGCGCGCGCGGTCGACCTCGCCCAGCTGCCGCTCGGCCTGCGCAAAGTCCAGCGCCAGCGCCAGCGCGTCGGCGTCGGCAAGCTCGGCGATGCCGCGCTCGTACACGGCGCGCACGGCCGGCACGCCCAGCAGCGCGGCGGTGCGCGCCGCGTAGAAGCGGAACATCTCGAGCCGGTCGCCAACGGCACGCGTGGCGCGCGCGTACACGCGCAGCGCGCGCCGCGCCAGCCCGTGCTGCTCCTCCATGCGGCCGTACGCCACGAACAGCGGCCGCGCGTACGCCGCGGGGCACGCGGCGAGCGCCTGCTCGTACAGGTCGCGCGCGCGCTCCAGCTTGGCGCCGCCGTAGCGCGCCGCGAAGCGCCGCAGGTACACGCCCCACAGCTCGACGGCCACCGGGTAGCCGAACAGCGCGATGCCGCGCTCGTACGCGCGGAAGCTGTCCTCGAAGAACCCGTGCGCCTCGAGCAGCGCCGCGTAGTCGACGACCGTCTGCGCCGTGGCCACGCGCAGGTCGAGCATGCGGTCGTACGCCGCGCGCGCCGCCGCCACGCGGCCGCCGGCCTCCTCGATGTCGACCAGCAGCGCCCACAGCCGGCGGCTGCGGTGGACGCGCCGCTGCGGCTGGAGCGCGTCGTGGCCGGCGCGCTCGCCGGGCGCGCACGGCGGCTCGGCCGTGGCGCGCGTGAGCACGCGGCGCGCGCCGTCGCCGCTGGCGTCCCACGCGAGCTCGCGCTCGGCGTAGTGCACGTAGACGCCGGCCAGCGCGTCGGCCGAGCCGAGCGGCGCCGCGACCGCGCGGTCCAGCACCGGCCGCGCGGCCGCGGCGCCGCCCTGGCCCTCGGCCCACGCGGCGTACGCCAGCCACAGCTCGGCGGCGCGCTCCCCGACGCGCTCGCGCGCCATCGCCGCCACGGCGGCCTCGAGCACCGCGCGCGCCTCGGCCCGGGGCACCAGCCGCGCGCGCTGCAGCCACGCGTCGACGTCGCCCGGCCGCTGGCGCAGCACGACGGCGTTGGCCAGCAGCGCGCGGCGGCCGACCAGCCGCTCGAGCCGCGCCAGCGCCAGGCCGGCCGCCGCCTGGCCGCCGCCGCCGCCGCCGCCGCCGCCCGCCGCCTGCCGCTCCAGCGCCGCCGCCGCGCACTCCTGCTCGAACGCCGCGTACGCGTCGAACACCGCGGCAAAGTCCGCCACGCGGCCGACCGCCGCCAGCGCCTCCTCGAAGACGTCGCGCGCGCGCGCCGGCTTGCCCTGCGCCGCCAGGTGCGCGGCCAGCGCCGGCCACGCCGCCGCGCACACCCGCGCGCCGTCGCGCAGCACCGGCTCGGTGCGGCCGCCCAGCACGCCCGGGTGCGCGCGCACCAGCCGCACGAGCTGCGCCCACGCCTCGCCGTTGGCGCTGCGCGCGTGCGCGCCCAGGTCGTCGACCAGCATCTGCGCCGCGCGCGCCCACAGCCCGGCGGCCATGCACGTGCTGGCGAACCGCGCCCTGCCCTGCGGCCACATGCCGACCCACCGCGCCCACACGCGCTCGCACGCCACGCCGCCCACGGCCCTGGCGAACCGCAGGTACGCGTCCCAGACGCGCCCGTGCTGCGTCACCGCCACGGCCCGCAGCGCGCGGTCGTACGCGCGCCGGCACGCGCTGACGTCCGGCTGCACCGCAAGGAACGCGCCGTAGTCCAGCCAGAGCCTGGGCATCCGGTGGAGGAGCAGGAGGGCGCGCTCGTAGCACAGGTTGACTTTGGCGAAGTGCTCTGTGTGGTGCAGGGGGTTTTTGCCGCGCAGGGCGGAGCGGCGCCTGTCGAGGTACTGCTTCCACAGCTTGTACGATCCTGGAAGCCGCTGGAGCGCCCGCTCGTAGAGTATGAATACGGAGCGCTGGGCGGTGGCGGTGGCGGTGGTAGTGGTTTTGGTGGTGGTGGTGGTGGTGGTGGTGGTGGTGGTGGTGGTGCTGCTGCTGCTGGTGCTGCTGCTGCTGCTGCTGCTGCTGCTGCCAGCATTGCTGCTGCTGCCAGCATTGCCGGTGCTGCTCTCTGCCTGCTCGAGCTCCTTGTGCGAAATGTACCGCTGCCAAACCGACAGCTTGTACGGTGTGCGCGACACTTCTTGCTCGAACCGCAAGTCTGAATCAGAGAGATCAATGTCCATTTGAAAAAGAAGAAAAAATAATGAAAAAAAAAAAAAAAAATTATTGAATAAAGCTAGCACAGAACGAAAAAAAAAAATTGATCCCCTTCCCAAATAACATGCTATTATTATTACACACCACAACCCACTCTAAAAACAAAACCCCAAAATAAGGGCTTAGCCGGGAATTGAACCCGGGACCTCTCCGACCCGAACGGAGAATCATACTGCTAGACCACTAAGCCAAGGAATGCAATTGCTTTAACCCAATCACAATCTGTTAGCAGAGCTACCTTTAAAGCACAATATCTAATACGCTAGTTAGCTAAGTTTTGCAGCGTCATATTACGGCTTTATTTTATTTTTGACTCATTTCAACCTACCCCAAAATACCATTATCTTGGGTTTTTAACTGATTGATAGTGCCTCAACTAACAGAGGACATGTTTGCCTAGGCAGGTGGGTGTGGTGGATACATACTACTTTGTGTTGCCTTGTCAGGTGTATTGATAGCTATGCGTCTGTGCATATCACTGCTTTCTTTTTTCTTTTTCTTCTGGGAGTATCACCTATCTGTTTGTTTTTTTGGGTGTAACTAGCTTTACACCTTAACAGCTAAAACACTCTTTTGTTTGCTCAGTGATCAGTTGCTTGGTTAAACTATTGTTTGCGATATGGAACTATTTTCAAGCAATAGAATAGTAGAGAGTATCAAGGAGAACAGTCGGATTCTTTTTTAATAGTACAATCACGTGAATGTAGCATTGATCGATCCCATTTGTAATGGTTCTGGCCGATCGCCCGGCTGGAGTATAAAGCATTTTTTCCAGCGCGCCACTTTCAACAGGATAGCCTCATATCGACTGTACTTTACAGGATCATGTATACAGTTAATTTTCAGTTTCTTTATTCACCGAATAAAGACACACAAACCAAGCTGGAAGATGACAAACAGTGCGCCGTCCGTAAAGGGAGGTGTCGAACCCGCTTTGGGTTTGTCGATGATCTTGCTGGTTGCGCCCTCGTGTTCTGCTATTATTGCTGCCACGGGTTTATGAGTGCGACTCAGCGAGGACGGTCGCACATTCTGACAGCCTACGTTACCACCCACACACAACACACAATCAAAAACAAAAACAAATTTAAATTCGATCATTAAACATAACCTATGTAGCTCTTTGTTTTTGTCACCTGCCGATCGGCCATTATTTTCATTGTCGAATGATGCTTTCATTAATTGTCGGACGTCTTGCTGCTAATCCTCTTTTTTTCTTCTTCTTTTATTACATCTGCATATATTAATTTTTTTGAAAACATGGCTTCGGTTACAACCACACAATGCAATCTCCCAGGCACCAAAGAAGAAGACTGTTTTGCTTGGCCATACAACACCACCGAGGTTCCGTTTTCCGCCCAGTCCTATCTGCAATCACTCCTGCGCACCCACCGCTTCGACCTCCCACAGCTTCTCCGGCCACCCCCACAGCTCGACCCCACCCAATGGCTCTCTGAACACCTTCGGCAGCTCTGCATCGAACTCGGCTTCTACCTCACCCACCTCCACGCCGACTGCACCGAGAAAACCTGCCCGATAATGTGCGCCCAAGAAATGACATACTATTGTGCAGGACATGGCAGCCCCAGACCATGTAGTGCAATGGGTTATAGTGTGCATACCTTGGATTATGCTGTGAGGCAGCTGGCGGTGGGCGCTGGCATGAAACATTTTCAGTCAATGGTTAGGCGGCTGTATCGGATTTTCGCTCATGTTTATTTCCACCATAGGGAGGTTTTTGAGAGCCAGGAGAGTGCTAGGGGTGTTTATGCGTGGTTTGTCGCAGTGGTTAGGAAATATGAGTTGTCACCCGAGTCGCTCATTATTATTCCTGAGATGCCGTCCACTGTGAAAGACACCTAGGACATGTGACTTTTTCTTCTAATAATTGAATCCTTTTTTTGTTCAGTCAATCATTTTTATTTCGGGATTTTTGTTTTAGCAAATGTTGTACAAGAAACAGCAGATTAAGTGTTCACATGTGAATGAATTATTGTCATTTAATGGCCTTATTCAGCCATATATGTCACTTTTATTTTAAAATATATATACATAATAGCAAATGAAATTGTGGGCCGATTTTTTTGTATGCTTGTCTTTATCAAATGTTTTTGCATGAACAAATAAATAAATAATGAATGGCATCTGAAAATATTAAAGTTCTGCTTTTTTCTTCTTTTTTTTCCGCCGTTGGTATTGTGACCAGAAATAATACTGCGATTAAATTGTGGTTTATTTTCTCAACAAAAAAAGCATAGAGATTACGGTTATGTTCCGCACTAAATGTGAACAATCCACTCACTCGTGTATAAATACAGCTTTGACAGCCAGACATTATCACAATTTCTCTTTTTCTTTTCTTTTCTTTTCATCTCATCTCAACTCAACTCATCTCTAATAATAATAATAATAATCATTATTTTGTTTGTGATTAATACTTGTAAATACTATTTACCACCATACTTATTACATATAAGCATATTTTTTCAACATGCAGATTCCCAAAAACCTTCAGCCCATGATACCGTCAACAGCCGGCGCACTTTCGTCCGAGCGCTCCAAGACACAATTTGACATACCCTCAATGCACACCTTCATCGTCGACAGCGAAATGCGACGGATGACCAGCAAAATAGAAAAAGTACTCGATGCCGAGCCAGAAATATTCAACATGCGCAACATATACTTTATGAGTCGACAAGAAAAAATGGACCACGCGATGAAAATCGGGCTCCGACTAATCCAACTGATGCATCAGGGGGTGCTGACAGCCGAGGAGATCCCCATAGCCGACATGATACTGGATCTCAACGGACCATTTGGCCTGCACCGCGCAATGTTTATTCCGACGCTGCAAAACCAAGCAACAGAGGAGCAGAGGCGGGTGTTTCTGGAGCCTGCCTTGCGGTACGAAATCCTAGGCTGCTATGCGCAGACCGAGATTGGCCATGGCAGCAATGTTCAGGGGCTGGAAACAACCTGCACGTTTATTCCAGAGACCGACGAGTTCGACGTGCACACGCCTAGTGTCAGCGCATGCAAGTGGTGGATTGGATCGTTGGGCGTCACGGCGACACACGCTATGGTTATGGCGCAGCTGATTGTCGCGGGCAAGAACCTGGGCCCACATCCCGTTGTAGTCCCCATACGGTCAACAGAGGACCACCGGCCGCTGCCGGGCGTCACTGTGGGCGACCTGGGCCCCAAGTTTGGATTCAATGCCATGGACAACGGCTTTTTGATGCTCAACCATGTGCGGGTGCCCCGGCTTAACCTGATGCAGCGCTACATCACAGTGTCTCGCCAGGGTGAGGTCAGCCGCCCAGCCAACATTGACCCCAAGGTGACCTACGGCACTATGGTCTACGTGCGCGCACAAATCATCCGCACCATGAGCCAGACACTCGCCCGCGCCACCACCATTGCCATCCGGTACACCTCCGTCAGACGCCAGTTTGCCGGCAAATCAGACAAGCCGCTGGCACCCAGCCTAGAATCACCCGTTCTGGACTACGGCATGGTCCAGCACCGACTCATCCCACTGCTCGCGCAAAACTACGCAATGTTTGCCACCTCCCAAGCCTTCCTCCAGCACTACGAGCAGTGCATGCATGAGCTCAACAACGGCAACTATGCGTCGCTAAAGGAACTGCATGCCACAGCGTGTGCGCTGAAACGGTGGACGTCGGACGTGGCTGTGCGCGGCATCGATACTTGCCGACATGTATGTGGTGGCCACGGGTTTTCACAGTTCTCTGGGCTTAATGAGTTCTTTGGCAACGCGTATCCGAATATTATCTGGGAAGGCGATAACTATGTTTTGTCGCAGCAAACCGCCCAATTCCTCATCAACCAGGTGCGCGCTCTCAGGAAGGATGTCCGGGTTGAAGATAATCAGACTACGCGCTACCTGCGCAAGCACCTGGTATCCGGCCACCTGCCACAGCGGCCGACCGCCTGGGGTGCAGCCATAGGATCCCTGGCGGCAGACGCAACCGCACAACTGGATCTGCTAAGTTTCCGCGCCGCAGCCATGGCGGCAGAACTAACCGACAAAATAGACACCAATGGCCGCTCATGGAACCGCTCCCTAGTATCCATGCAGCGACTCAGCGACGCACACTCAGACTACATTGTTGCAGCATATTTCCGCGCCCACATTGCCACACTGCCTGGTACATCCCCGTTGCTTCCAATTCTGAACAAACTGGCGACGCTTTTGTTTCTCTACGTACTTTCGCAGAACTCTTCTGATTTGTTCCGCTTGCCCTCGGCCGCGGCATTCACTGGTGCGCAGGTCAGTAGGGTTGAGGAGCTGCTGGCTGCGGTTATTGAAGAGGTGAGGGAGCAGGCAGTTCCACTGGTAGACGCCTTTGGCATGTCAGATTCGAGGCTTAACTCGGCGCTGGGCCGTAGTGATGGAAAGGTGTACGATAACTACCTACTGTGGGCTATGCAGGACCCGCTCAATACCCAGGATACTGGAGAGGAAGTGCGCAGGGTGTGGTTCGACAAGTATATCAAGCCGGTGTTGCACAGTGCTGAGACATCCAAGAATAATGCAAAGCTATGAGTGTGGTTTTTAAGGGTGGGAAGAAGAGAATACCTGATCTTTTCCACCTCCCCACAACCTTGCTGAAAAGTTATGTGCGTCCATTTAGAAATACTTCATTTCAGCCAGAATCTTTATTTTTTCTTACAGCTATTTTCATTCTCTATATATTCCTAAAAATTTTTTAATTCGTCATCATCAATCCGAAACTGCGCACTTCAATGTCTTCCGCCAACAACCACCAAGATACACAGGAAGAAATACCTGACCACTTGCGGCTGGCAGCCCACTGGGCCAGCACCTCTATTGAAACCGCGCAATCCTCGCTTCTCTCCACAATCGAGGACCGCATCCAAACCACTACCGACCGCACCAATCACCAACAAACCGTGCTAAAATCCATCGAATCGCAATACAAAGCGTACCAACAACTGCAACAATCCGAAACACAAGCATTAGCCAAGGACCTAGAAACATCCTTCGAGCAGATTGACCGCTTGGGTGCTTTGGTAGACGCTGTGGAGAAAAATCTGGACCAGCTGGAGGTGGCCCTGGGGAATGCCGAGAGTGCTGTGGGGTTGACTTTGGGTGGGAGGTTGGAGCAGCTCGCGACAAGGTTTTTCGGCACTGGCGGTGGTGCTACTGCAGGTGCTGCTGAGTCGAATGCGGGCGTGCCGTATTTAAGGCAGTGGGCGCCCAAAGAGCAGGGCATTCCCAAGATCATCAGTACAACCGAGTATCTCTCAAACAAGTGAAAATCTATATATAAAAAAAAGTTATCTCGAAAATTTTTATTGTAAAGCAAAACAAAACAAAACAATTCAATTATTCGTCGTCGCCGTCGTCATCGTTGTCATTCAGCGACACCTGTCCCTTGACCGTTGAAGTTGGCGTCGGTGGAGGAGGATCCATGGCCACAGTAATATTATCAGGCAAATCCGATCTCTTCACAATGACCGCTGGACACTCCGCCTTCTGGGAACACAGCTCCGCCCAGGAATACGCCAAGGAGCTCAACAACGTCGACCTCTCAGGCGCCTGCAAGACCAAAAGCTCCCCTCTATGCCTATGCACATACTCAGGCACCGTATCCTCCATCCCGCCCTTCAACACCTCCATGGAAGCAGACACGCCCACTAGACTAAGCGCGTGAGCCAAACGCCGCAATGCAGCTTCGGCCACTTTGAATTGATCCACATGTGGGTCCTGGTCGCTAAAAAGACTGGTCCACATGGCAGAAATAGTTGTGCTGTCTATGCCACTACTGCTGCTGCTGCCCGCGGGTTCGAGCGATGTTACCAGGAAGACGTGGTCCATGTCCGGTCGGATTAGGTTGGCTTTCACCCATGCGACGGTTTTGAAGCTCAGGAAGCGGTTGATCACTGCCTCGTTGGCTGCTTCGTTGACCGCCTCGAGTGTGTTGTCTGCGGTGGCCGGGACAGTCAGAAGCTCGGGGTCCAGCGCTATGACCAGCTTGCGTCTGAGCGACAGCGGAACGCTTTGTTGATTTTGCTTGGAGCTCATTTTTTTCAGTCGAGTAATACAAAAAAAAGAAGTTTGTTAAAGAGGCAAGAGGATAAAAAAGATATTAAAAACCACCAAACAAAAAAGTCGGATAAAGGAACGCAGATGGAATAAATACAAAATGAAGAAAAAACAAGTTTACAACAGAATAAGAAAAAAGGAAAAAGAGAAGTGAAGGGCAAAATATCCATTTTTGGAAGTTTTGTCTGGCGGAGTTTTCCTCGGGATATAAAATGGACATCATGCCATTTGCTTGGCTAGCCAGCTGGCTTTAATTAAATTACAGTGTGCACAAAAGGAATAAAAAACGCCAAAACAAAATTTTGTATTCACAGCTCGTACAAAATATTACAGCGGCTGCGACCCAGCATTCAGCGCACTCAGCAAAGACACGCTAGTGGCGGCCGCATTGCTACCGCTGCTACTATCACCAGGCAGCGGCGCAGCAACGGCATTCGCGTCAACTACGCTGATGCTGCCGCAGACATTGTTGCCATGGAGTAGTCCAGCAGACATTCCAGCCATGCTGCCCATCTGCGAGCTAGCGGCAAACATCATCAGCGACGCCGCATCGAGGCCACTTGACCCCTGGTGCTGCTGCTGGGCCTGGGCCTGGGCCTGGGCGGCTGCATAAGATGGGCTGCTCATGAACCCACCCGGCAGATTGCCGCCGTTCGCAGTGTTGTTGCCAGCCGAGCCGTGCGACTGGAACAGGCCCGAAAACTGCCCAAACAGGTTGCTGCCGGCTATGCCGGCGCTGTTGTTGACAAACTGCGCGCCCAGTGGTCCAGCGCTAAAGCCCATCGGCATCTGATGCTGATGCTGATGCTGCTGATGCTGCTGCTGACCAAACCTCATCCAGCCTTGCACATCCATTGGCATCGGCATCTGCTGGTGGAGCATCTCGCCCATCATCCACATATTGTTTAAATCACCCCTGCCGTCCATGCTCTTGAGACCCATCGACGTCGGCAGCGCAGCTGAGTTAGTGCTGGCGCTGCCACCAGACGCGGACGCGGAAGGGACCCCGTTAGCCACACTGCTGCGCCGCGTGTCTCCGCCAAGCGCACCGTCCAAATGCCTCTCTGCAGATGCTGATGCCACCTCCGCTGTCTTTTTAGAAAGGCGCAAAACCGCGACCTCGTTCTGCAGCTGCTCGCACTGATCCCGCCAGCCCTGTGCCTCCTGCGCGGCCTGCGCCAGCAACGACGACAGGCGCATGGTCTCGCCATTGTTATCCTCGTAAAGAGACTTGAACGACACCACCTGTGTCTGCAGATCCTCGTAGCTGTCCATCACACTGCTCACCGACTTGTACATCTGTACTGCCTTGTCCTGGATCTTGCGCCGCTCGATCACAGAGCCGGCAGTCAAGGTCACCAGGTTCTCGTACGCTAGCCCGCTGAGCTTCTTCTCCAGCTGGTCCTGCGGAACCGTCATCAGCACGGACTGCAGCGCCGCGAGAGACTCCTTGTCGAGCACTGGAACAGCAGGCCGCTTGTCAGACGCTGCTACAACAGACGCCGAAGTCGATGAAATCACCAGCGGTGACTGCGGCCGAGACGCCGGCGACACCAGCCGGGCGGCGGCATTCATCGGCGACATGTGCCCGTTGGCAGAGCCCCTCACAGACGAAGTCTGGATCCCAAGCGTGCTCGCCGCCGCAGAGCTGCGCAACGCCGCCGTGGCTGGCACCGTCGAGACTGGTGTGCCGTTGGCAGAGCCTCTGAAGCTGCTGTTGATGTTGGACGTGACCATCTGTGGAGATGTCGTGTTGACCCCATCATCAGAGACAAAGCCGACGCCAGGCACGTAGCGGGCGGCGTTGGTGTTGCGCCGCGACCTGGTGGCGGCTGCGGCAGCAGCGGACATGCTCTTCAGGCCAGAGCTCTCGTCGCTGCTAGTGGGCACCTTGGAGGTAAGTGGAACTTGGGGCTTCGGGTGGACTAGCACAGGGTCCTGCTGCTGCTGCTGCTGCGCCAATGGCTGCGGCTGCTCCTCGCTCTTCTTCGCTGGCGCGCTGGTGGCAATATGGCTGGTCGCTGCACTCTCGGACACAGCGTCGGATTTGGCTGGCGCTGGCTCTAGCGGCGCTGCTGCTGCTGCAGAAGCAGAAGCAGAATCAGTGGCCGTAACAGCCGCGGGAGCGGGTACAGCAACAGCAACAGGCGCCGGGGTAGGTTCGGGCGCTTTGGTTGTCTCCGCCAGAGTAGCATTGGTGGCAGCGGCAGAGTTACCGCTGGCCGACCGCTGGTCACCACTACCTTGAGCCTCGTTGTTTGCCGTATCCAGGTTCAAGTACGCAAACTGGTTGTGTGGGTCTTGGATCCCCTGCGCCTCACTCTCCTGGTCGCCGTCATTGTCTTCGTCGTCCTCGCCATCATAGTCGTCGTCGGCAACTGATGCTGCGTCATTAACGCCTTGTGCGGACGATGGATCCGATGCGCCGGCCAAAAGCAAGAGGCTCGACTGCTTGGTCTTCTTCTTCTTGGTCTTCTTCTTCTTGTTCTTCTTGCGCTTCTTCGCCGCCACAGAGTCGGCATCGTCGTTAAACAGGTCGTCGTCGTCGGCCAGCGACAGTTGGTCGCTGGCCAGCTGCGGGGGCAGAGCAGGGATGGTTGAGGTTGCTGAGATAGCTGCAGAGTCAGTCGCCTGCCCATTCTCTGCGGGTGCCATGATTGCGGCCGCGGCCTTCTGCGCTGACTTGTTCTTCTTGCCCTTTCCGCTGCCGTTACCGCCGCCGCCGCCGTCCAAAAGCGCCTTTTGCCGCTGCAGCGAAATGTTGGCCTCAAGAATCCGCCAGGCCTCCTTAAGCATCAGCTTGCCGATGATCCCCGCCAGCTCCTCACGGCCAGTCAGTAGGCCCTCGGTAAAGTCGTCGATGATGTCCTGGCGCTGCTCGCGCAGATCCTCGGTGGTAGGTTCTAGCTTGCGCACAAACACCTGGCCAACAGCACGCTCGAGGATCTCGGCCTCCGTCATCAGCAGCTCCAAGCAGTCAGCGACCACCGCGGCAACATCCGGCGCAGTCAGCAGATGCTCGAGCTCGCGCATCGCCCAGCCAATGACGCCGACCTGCTGCTGGTGCTCAATGCGCTTGAGCTTCTTCTTAAAGTCCTTGTGCGCCGCCTTGGCCAGCTTGGTCTGCACGGTGCTGCCCGAGCCCTCGATCCACATCGCGCGCACGTCCTCAGTGCCGATAAATATGTCAGCGTTACGCTCACGCACGACTTCCTGGATCCGTGCAATGCGCGCCTCGAGGTGCGGAAGCAGGCACGAAATCGCCGACCGCGCCTTCTCGAGCTGGGGCTGCAGCGTCAGCGGCGGCGGGTACTTGAGCCCCTGCGCCCGCCGGTCACACATCGTGATGCACTCGCCCAGGATCGTCTCAAGCTCCCGTGCAAACTCGCGTGCCACACCATAGTACGACTCGAGAAACGTGCGCGACCACGTAGCGCTGACTTCGAGCAGATTATCCAGGTGCGTAAGCACCAGCCCATCGAGCTCGTCGGCCAGCTGCGCCTGAGACTTAACGTTGCTCGAGTGCCCGACACCGCGTTTCGAGCGAACACGCTTCGCAGCAGCAGCGGCAGCGGCAGCGGCAGCAGCAGAGGTGGCAGAGGCAGAGGCACTGTTGGCGCCGTTGGCGCCAGCGCTGGCCGGCTGCTCCAAGCTGCTGCCATCGGCCTGACTGCCCTCGTCGGCGCCACTACCTGCCGGCGGCCCAGTCATCGTCGCCGCTTTTCCTGTGCGGTACGGCTCGCTGACCCGCGTCCAAAACTCGGCGAACGGCTGCGTGCGGTTGCGGATGGTCTGCAGGAACTGCTCTCGGTTGGCGCGGCAGCCGCGCGCAAACAGGCGCACACGCATGGCCTCGATCCGCTGGGCGCTCTTGAGCAGTAGCTGCGTGATCTGCCACACAGGCTCCATCTCGCGCTCAAAGCTGCGCTTGTACTCGCCGCGCCACTTCTGCAGCTGCGAGTTGAAGATCAGCCGCTGCGTCTCGAGCTCCGACGGTGTCGGATGGTCAGCCTTTGTGTGCTGGCACGTCGGGTACGTGTGCGTCGCGATCAGCTCCGAGGTGATGTTGCCCAACAGCGGGAAGTTGGACGCTGGCAGCGAGATAAATGTTTTGGTCACCTGCAGCGCCGGCAGCAGCAACGCCGGGTCCAGCGGGTCCTGGTTGTCGTCATATGGAAATGCGTCTGGCGGAAAATCAAATGTCAGGTCTTCGTATACATCGGCCAGCGGAAACTGGTACCCCTCGTACCACAACGTCACCTCCTCGACAATGTTATCAATAAGCAGGCTGCTAATGCCGCTGCTACTGCTACTGCTGCCAGCCGCAGCCGCAGCAATGGATAGCGCCCCCTTGGCTGCGTCACCGACCACATCATCCGTCTCCTTTGCCCGGGGCGCAGCCGCAGCAGCCGCTGGTGCAGCCGCGGCCTTGCCTCGCGAAGACTTTCCGCCCGCTGCCGCTCCCTTCCCGCCCTGGTGCTCGGGCACATTTGACGACGTTGCCGAGGAGACGCTCGGGGACGGCGACCCTGGGCGGCTGGGAGGAACTATTCCCTCGACATTGCTGGCGTTCAGCAGCCAGTCCCGCTCGCCAGCAACCATTGCGCGCAGATTCTGGCAGAGATCGCCAATTGTGCTGTAGCGCAGCCGCGCCGCCCGCTTGCGCTCGATGCGCTCGCGCTCTGCTGCCGCCTCGTCAGTAGCTGCATTCGATCCGCCCACCGGGCCGCCGCCTGAGCTCCCGGCATGAGCCGAAATGGTAAACGCCTGTTGCTGCTGCTGCTTCTTTTTCTTGCGCCCACCGGCCGCTGATCCCGCTCCCACGCCACCAGCGCCGCCTGCAGTCACGCTGGTGGAGGTTGCCTGGGGCGAGATCTGCTTGCGGTAAACCCACTGCGCCCACTCGCGGCAGTAAAAGCACGACATTGTCTGATCGTCGCAGGCACGGAACCTTGCCAGCTCCTTGAGAACCGCACTGGTCTCGACCTTGAGCGTGGCAATCGCGTGCGGCCCGGCGCCGCTGAAGTGCCCAGCTGCTGTCTTGGGCGACATGCCCGGCAAAAGCTGTTGTTGCTGCTGCGGAGTCAGTCCTGGGGCGCTGGAGGGCGCTGCTACGGGGTACCGCGCAGCGCCTATGCTTTGCTGCGGCGTGGCGGCTTTGCTCACATCTGCTCCTGCCTGGTCGGGTGCGCTGGGCGTGTCGTCTGTCTTGTTGGCGTTCTTCGACGAGTCCTTTTGCTGCTGCTGTTGCTGCTGCTTCTGTCCCCCGAGTGCTGGCGCGGCGCTGGGCGGAAGGAGGTTGTGCTGGTCCAGGTAGACCAGCCCATTGAGAATTGCCTTCGAATCCAAGTCCAAATCAGTCATCATTGTCTGGGCGGAGGAAATGAGAAAATAAAATAGCGAATAAAAAGAAAAGAAAAAGATAGAAACAGAGAAATGGAGGGAAAACTTTTTCTAATAAAAAACCGCTCGAAATGCTGATGGGTGCGACCAATAAAAATAGAAATTTGAAGGAAAAAAGTAGTGAGAGAGAGAGGGCAAGAATAAAAGAGAACAAAAGAGTGAAACGTGCTGGGTTTCTCTAAGCTCTTCTCAAGCTGAAAATATATGCACTGCTTTCCTCACTGTGAACCGCAGGGACGCGCTCTCAAGAGTAAAGGCTGGGAATGTGTAAAAACGTGTGTTAGGCTTGTACCTAGAGAAAACAACAGCTGCCGGTTTGTTCTGCTGCTGTGCCGAATTGGCTAGTGAATATGATATGCGAATAAAAGGTAATTTCTGCCTCAATTTGGTGAGTAGTGCCAGAAGCGAGCGGAGGAATGGAATACGAAAGTGAATAGGTTGTTTGGATTGCAAAGTGAGAGAAAGGTGTTAAAAAATTGCCAGAACATAATATCCACGGGTGCCCGATTTTGGGCGCAAAGCTCACAGCAAAAAAAAACGTCTGATTTGACTGATGTCCTTGAGCAGGTGCTCCCTGCTCTAAAGCGCATCTCCTACCCATGATAATTTATTTAGCGCAATGTCTCGGCCACAAAGGTCACTTACATTCCTTCCAAACCCAAGCCCAACCCCAAGGCTGAAGCAGGGGCAGAGGCAGAGGCAAAGCGTGAAAAGCCAGAACAGTGCGGCACAAAGGTATTCAGACCATAAAGAATGAACGAAGCTTGGCATTGTTCAGCTGAGAATGTTCGGTCGCAACTGTGGATAAAGTTAATTGCTCCCTCCTTTTTTCCACGCTTGACGTTACTGCCGTTCGATTTCTGATTTTTCTATAGCTTGTCAAGATCTGTTGGCCAAACGGACGCCAAAAAGAACACGCACAAGAAGGGAGGAATCGGCTATTCTGGACCATGAAATCAAGGAATCAGTACTTGCATGATCTGATGTGAGTAAAAGTGGCCGGGTCGTGTGTGTAAGCTGGCTTGGGATGGGAATCATGAGCGGGTAATCGTACACCCACTTGTTGGAGTCCCAAAAAGGCACATCTTGTTTGTCGAAATTCCCCTTTTCACCTTTTCCCAATTTCTTTTGTAAAAAAAACTGTTTCTCTATTTTTTCGCTCTCTCATTGACCTCAACTCCCCCTTTTCCTTTGCACACATTATTCCGAAAGGCTTTTATTTTTCGAAAAATACAAATGGCATCTGCAGGCACATCGGGATTCAACAGATTCTTGAACTCACCCGTGGGTCCCAAGACGATTCATTTTTGGGCGCCCGCCATGAAGTGGGGTCTGGTCATCGCCGGCCTCGGTGATCTGGCTCGGCCTGCCAACCAGATCTCTGTTAAGCAGCAGCTGTCGCTGGCCGCAACCGGTCTTATCTGGACCCGCTGGTCCACCATCATTACGCCCAAGAACTACAGCTTGGCCACCGTCAACTTTTTCGTCGGGTGCACGGCTGCCTACCAGTTGGCGCGCGTCGCGTTGAGCAAGGATACTAAGGCTGAGGAGCCCGCAAAGTCGGAATAAACTGCAAAAGAGAGCAAAAGAGAGATCACGCGCTCGGGGGTTTTCTGTATTTCGAATTAAATAGATACTTTCGCATAAACTTTAATGGCGTTAGAGCAGCTATATATGTTACATTTTGAGTTGGGTATTGTGATGGTAACTTTAGCAGTATATTAGTAGAAATATGGATAAGTATGATATTGTGGCAGGCTATAAAGAAAAAGAAGATAAAAGCGTTCCGCTTTTGTGCGCATGTTGGCCAGCACTGGATGCATTGCAAAAGAGGAAGGTGACGGCGGCGGCGGCATCAATAACATTGTCACTAGAGCAAGTTTAAAACTGGAGCACAAGAGCGCTCACAGCAATTGCAGCCAGACTCAGGACGCCAGAGGCCTGGCTACATCCCGAGCCATTGGACTCGTCATCATTGTGACTGTGTTTCTTGTGCGCCGGCTTGACATCGTCGTCATCATTCGACTCGTTGCTAAAGCGGCCAGGGTATGCAGGGTCCGGTCCCTTTCCGCTAGCCGCCGCTTTGAAGCTATCGTAGCCATTGATCTTGTTTTCGATCTTGTTTAGGTCATTCTCCTTGATTTGGCCCTTCCCGACTCCATTCAAAATATTCGCGTCGGGGTTAATGTACGGGGACATTCCGTAGCCTGGCAGCGTGTATCCGTATGCACTCATACCAATCTGAGGGAAACCCTGGCCTGGAACTATGCCCTGGCTCCAGAACGCTGCAAATGGGTTGGCATACCCAGAGTTTGCGCCCATCATCGGCGAAATACCCCCGCCAATACTTCCGCCGATGCCACCATAAAACTGGCGTCTAAACATTGGCCCATGGTGGGTGATTATCTCGCCCGCCGCTAAGGACGAACCCTGAGCAAGGCAGATAGCAACTGCAATGGTTGAATAGACGTTTGACATGTGCATAATAATTGTCGTGAATGTGTTTGTATATTTAAATTTTAAATGTGCTATAATATTGTGCAAATGTTAGTGCTAATGAGTTAGTATGTCAAAGAAGAAAGAAGAAAGAGATGGTGTGGACAACAAAGAAGCAAGCCTAATGCAATTGCCAACATGCTAGCATGTAAATACTCAAAACATTGACCTGTGTTTTTTATTGAATTCTTGGTTTAACATGTACAAAGATATGTGAATAGAACAATTAACCGCTATCCTACTTTTCAATTGTCTGGGCTTAACCTCCTGTTTGCCAATAATGTTTGTTGCACAACGGATAAAAATAATAAAACTGCTTGGCAGTATCACCCAGTCGAGTGTGGGAGCAAACAAATCTTGTCTTTGGTAACGCTTGAATTACTGTGGCTAGCACATCACCGAGGTCTTTATTGTTACTTTTCACCAGAAAATATAGTCAGGCGCATGCATGGCGCTTTTTAGCTGGTTTTACTGCCTCTATGCTGGGGACGAGAAGCGTACTGTGCCAACTGCACTTTGATGACATAGCCCACCCTTTTTGTGCATTTTGTAAAATCAAATCTCGACTGATATAATCAACAAATCATCTGATAGTTTGATTAGCGAAGATTAATTCAATTATCTCGATCGCTAGATGAGTGCAAACTTGAGGCCTTTTTTGGCCTTGCATCAATTTCGAATTTCAATTGGACCTCGTCTCTTTTTCTTTATTTTATTTTATTTCACATTTGGAAACCAGCAAAAATGATGCGTCCAGCATTTACAAAGGGTAAGATTCAGCCCATTCGATAAGCGAGCATTTCGCGGGTTCGCTCTATCTTGCCCGCTTGTTTTGAATTCCCACTCGAAAAACATCAGCAGCAGCAGCTTGCTAAACCCTACATGGTATCGCTGTGAATACTTTACACTTGTAGTTGCCAAGCAGCTCGGCAGCCGCAAAGCTGCTGCAGTAACAGCCACACGCACATACACGACCGAAGCGAGCACCGCCTCGCGGCAGTACGGCGGGCTGAAGGACCAGGACCGCATCTTCACCAACTTGTACGGACAGCACGACTTTGGACTTAAGGGAGCGTTGAAGCGTGGCGACTGGCACAAGACAAAGGAGATTGTCCTCAAGGGCGAGGACTGGATCATCAATGAGATGAAGGCCAGCGGCATGCGCGGTCGCGGTGGAGCTGGGTTCCCGTCGGGACTCAAGTGGAGCTTTATGGGAAAGTCGTCGCCTGGCCGCCCGCGGTACCTGGTTATCAACGCTGATGAGGGCGAGCCCGGCACTTGCAAGGACCGTGAGATCCTGCGCCATGACCCGCACAAGCTGATCGAGGGCTGCCTGATTGCCGGCCGCGCAATGTTTGCCAACGCGGCGTACATCTACATCCGCGGCGAGTTCTACAACGAGGCGTCCAACCTGCAGCAGGCCATCGACGAGGCATACAAGGCTGGTCTGATCGGCAAGAACGCCTGCGGCTCTGGCTATGACTTTGATGTCTACGTGCACCGCGGTGCCGGTGCGTACATTTGCGGCGAGGAGACGGCGCTGATCGAGTCGCTGGAGGGCAAGCAGGGCAAGCCGCGCCTGAAGCCGCCATTCCCCGCTGACACTGGGCTGTTTGGCTGCCCGACCACTGTTACCAACGTCGAGACTGTGGCCGCTGCGCCCACCATTCTGCGCCGCGGCGGCTCGTGGTTCGCCGGCTTTGGCGCACCGCGTAACTCAGGCACCAAGCTGTTTGCCATTTCGGGCCACGTCAACAACCCGTGCACTGTCGAGGAGGAGATGTCGATTCCTCTGCGCGAGCTGATCGAGCGGCACTGCGGCGGCGTGCGTGGCGGGTGGGACAACCTGCTGGCCATTATCCCGGGCGGGTCATCCGTGCCTCTTTTGCCCAAGAGCCTGTGCGACACAGCGCTGATGGACTTTGACAGCCTGCGCGATCTGCAGTCGGGCTTGGGCACGGCCGCGGTCATTGTCATGGACAAGAGCACCGATGTCGTACAGGCCATCGCCCGCCTGGCCTCGTTCTACCGCCACGAGTCCTGCGGCCAGTGTACGCCCTGCCGCGAGGGATCCAGGTGGCTGGATCTGATGATGGCGCGCTTCGTGAGAGGTGACGCCACTTGCGCTGAGATTGACCAGATCCTCGAGATCACAAAGGAGATGGAAGGCCACACCATTTGTGCTCTGGCTGATGCCGCCGCATGGCCTGTGCAGGGCCTTATGCGCCACTTCCGCCCAGAGGTCGAGCGGCGCATGAGGGACTATGTCGTTGGGTCGCAGATCAAGTCCAACGCGAGCTACCGCCCTGATCAGACCATTGCCACGGCATAGTGGTCTTCTCGGTTTTAAGCCAAATGAAATGATGCTGCTTGAAAAATATTGACAAGTGTCTTGTTTTTTTTACTTGCATCCTATTACCTTTAGTTGTTCTATTTTTCTCTTCTTTCGTTTCTTCCATATACACTTGTTTTTTCTCCTTTGGCTGTTTGAGCAACGTAAACCCAATTGTCAATACAAACCTAAACACAAATTGGTATGTGACTTTAAACATATACATTTGGTTCATTTATATGTATCTTGTGCCTATTCCCGTAATGCAATTATTTTCATCTCTTTTCTCTGCACACACGCATCGCACGGCGGTAGTAAAGTTGCTTTGTGCAAAAATCTTGGCGATACTTCACCTCCTGACTATTCATATTATCATTTTCTTCATTCTCTCATAGTTATTTTATTGTCCAGACATGAGCAAGCAGTCGCAGAGCAATAAACATGAGCGCAAGCACCAACACGACAATTCCGATTACGACGATGACGATGAGCGTGTGGACTACATTTACATAGGGACGGAGTTTCCGACAGAGCAGCAGCAAAGGAGCATTGACCGCCGGCAGAACACATGGGACGGCAAGCCCAAGGGCTACTCGCGCGACGCATTCAAGGGCGGATTTTCAGCTGGCTACCATGGCACAGTTGGATCCAAGGACGGGTGGAAGCCATCAGCCTCGTTTGTGTCGTCTCGTGGTAGCCGCGCTGAGCGCCGAGAGATGCGCCCCGAGGACTTTATGGATGAGGAGGATCTTGCGGATCGCCACGCAGCACAAACGATATCGGTCAAGCCACAATACCTCAACGCCAGCGAAACCCAAGAATCGGATAGCATTACAGCAAGCGATATGGCGACGGAGAAGCAAAGCGATTATAAAGAGGGGGGCGGAATTGTTGGCGCAATGGCAGAGCGGGTATCTGCTGAGTTCAATGCGCTCGAGCAGTCCAGCATCAAGGTCAGCAGCAAGATCGGCAATCAGATCATGTCGCTGATGGGCTGGAAGCCCGGCCAGGGTATCGGTCCGCTGACAACAGTCGTCCAGCAACAGCAACATTCCGTTGGTGGCGATGGTGATGACCAGGACAAGCAACAGCGACTTCCCCCTAGACCAGTTGCACTTGTGGATTGCGAACCACCCACGCAAAATAGACATGGCTTGGGTTATGGTGTAGACCTGGATGCGCTCCCAGTAAACTCAGACAATACTGCAGAGGATTTGGGCACACCAGCACTGCCGGCATTGGGGGCTATATTCAAAAGCAAACCAAAAACCGAGGATTCCAAGCCCAAGTTGGCAAGCAAGGCCAAGAAGAAAAGACAGCAAAAGACAGACATGCTCCGCCTCAGCTTTGGATCATTCGGTGAAGACGAAGACGAAGACAACGGGCAAGGTAGCGGCATTGCGGGCGGAATGGGCCGATCAAAAACACAGTTGGAGCGATTGGTAGACGAAAGGGCCAAGCCTGTGCCAAAAAGAACCATGCCGCAAACGCAGCTCGACCAAATGGCTTCACTTTGCCATGATGGGAGGCCGCCGTTGTCAGGGTTCGAGCTTGTTAGACTTGCTGAAGATTCGGACGCACTTTACTACGAAGGCCCAGAATTACCGAGCACCTACGACGGTATGCGCGATCAAGCTAAGTCGTTCAGATGGGGCTCGGCGCCAGCAACAGGCTCGCAATTAAATCTTAAAGACGCCAACAACAGTGGTGGGAGCAGGTTTACCATGGCAGAAAACAGGACCAAGTTGAGTGTCATGACGGATGCTCCCAAACCACCACCAGCGCACGAGGCTGTCAATGCAGCCACAGCCACCGCAGCGCTTGCTGGGTTTATGCCGTTTGCAGACAACCTAGAAAAGCAATCTCGCTACCGCCAGTACCTGGAGACCTGCGCAAAATTTGGCGATAAAAACCCAAGTGTATCTGCGACAGTGCTCAGCAAGCTGTCTTCTGAAAAGGAGTCACAGGAGTTTACCCGTCTGGCGCAATTGTTTCGGCCAAACACAACTATGCTATCCCGGTTTACTAGGGCCACTAGTGATTTGGATACAGCGCCCGAGGAGACTGCCAAAGTTACTGAGGACAAATCCGTTGGTTCGGCCAAGAACAAGACAATTGTGCGGGCGGTACTCGACTGGGTACCCTCGCAGCTACTTTGCAAGCGAATGGGCATTGCGCCGCCAGCGCACTCGATTGTGAACCAACCGAAACAGAGAAACTCAGACTCAGTTAAATGTGTCGATGAGCAGCAGCAGAAGACGCGCGGGCGCCGGCAGCAGGCCTCGGACTTTATTCAATGGCGCAATGCTGACTTTGATAATCCAAGCAAGGCAACTGAAATGGTAGATTCGGGTTTGGTTTCCGACGATATAACGAGTTCTTTACACACAGATGCTGCTATTATTCCAGAGAAGCACCCCAATATGGCGCTATTCGAGTCAATATTTGGCGATGATGCTGATAGCTGAATTTAATATGAGTAGTTTACAAATTTCTTATTTTGACGTTAAATTGTTTCCCGATAAAGCATTTGTTATCAACCAAATGTTGGCCATATTGCACAATTGCATTTTTTTACAAGAAAGTAACCACATGTCTTGAAGATTATGTAACACTATTGTGAAATAAAAAAATTAAAAACACTATAATCATTGACATGCAATTACCAATTATCAATTATAATGTTTTTTGCGGCTAGTCACTGCAAACTAGTCAGCAGGCGCACAAGGCCAGCTATTGACAAATAAGCACGCCATACACGCCATCCATATGACAAAGGTGAGTAACTTAAAAAAGTAGTCACTTTGAATAGTGATAAGGGGGCCACAATGCCAACTCATATATGCATATGGTCACAGATGACAAGTCAATACGTTAGAATAAAGTGAGTAGTTATTTTAGCGCATGTAGGAGTGTATGTTATTTTGTATTTAAATAATTCAAGAAGAGCGTTTACCAAAGTTTGCTGGCAACAACTTTATTCTATATTCTATAAATCAATAATTAGAAACACCGCAATGAAGCTGTCTACCGTCTGTGCCTTTGCAATTTTCTCATTTACTGTTGTCTCTGCCAGCGACCTGTACGCGACCAACCGCTTGATTCAGTTGAGCGAAGACAAGCAAGAGTGGCTTTCCGAGTCTCAAATCAACAAGTTAATCTCAAGCGACGCCAGATTCCGTGACATCACTGATATTCGCGATGTTCCAGAGAACGCTAATCAAGCTGCGCTTTTGGATATCCCAACGTCTCTAACCCATCAGAAACTGGTATCCGGGTTGCTGCCCAGGGTCACAAAAGATGTGCCCCAATCCGTGCTGGCAAACCTGACCTCATTCACTAACCGCTACTATAACAGCGAGAACGGCAGAAAGTCAAGTGCCTGGTTGCTGAGCACCATCCAGTCGTTGGTACCGGGAATCAACGCAAATAGCTTTCCCCATCGTTTCCCCCAGCCAAGCATCATTGCACGTATCGAGGGCACACAAAATCCAAACGAGATTGTCATTATCTCAGCACACCAAGACAGCATCAACGAGGAAGATCCCGTTGCAGGGCGCGCGCCGGGCGCTGATGACGATGGATCAGGCACGGTGACTATTCTCGAGGCGCTGCGGGTGTTTGCTCACAGCGGATTGAAGCCCAAGCGCTCAGTTGAGTTTCACTGGTATGCTGGCGAGGAGGGTGGGCTGCTGGGCTCAGCGGATGTATCCAAGGCCTATGAGGGCAAAAAAGTGGCAGCCGTTTTGCACTTTGACATGACCGGGTATCCGATGAGCTCGCCAGCTGTTGGCATTGTCACAGACTACACGGACTCGAACACTAATGACCTGCTGCGCAAAATTGTCGCTGCGTACACAGACTTGCCGACCAATGATATTGTCTGCGGATATGCATGTAGCGACCATGCAAGCTGGAATGCCAGGGGTGTGCGCGCCGCAGTGCCATTTGAGTGCCAGAAAGTCGAGGGCAACACTAACATCCACTCGCCCAAAGACTCGATAGACACGATTGATTTCGACCATCTGGTAAAGTTTGTCAAAATTGCGCTAGGATTTATCGCTGAGGTAGCTGATGCGGACTGAGAAGCCAGAGTTTTTTCTTTATTTCTAGTAAGACACACCCTAGTTCATCCTTCCAGAGAACAAGAGTATTAGGAAAATATTCAATTGTCGTTATTGAATAATAATACAAAGTGCGAAATAAAAAGACGATTAGGCAAAAAATACTTATGCGGTGCTTTTGCAAATTATATTAAAATATTGAAACACCCGTTTATCGATTTAGAACAGAGATACCATCAGAACAAAGGCGGCACCAAAGAACGAGGCGCCGATAGTGGATGCTGAGCTGCTGTAGCTGTCATCGACGCTGCTGTTCTTCTTGCTGGTAGTGGTAGATTTCTTCTTATCATCCTTCTTGTCATCCTTCTTGTCGCCATTATCGTCTTCAGAGACATCAGAGAGCTCCTCATCATCGTCGCTCTCCTCACTGCTGTTGGCAGGTTTAGTGGACTTATCGGCGTTGCTCATTGACTTGTCAGTGGCCTTTGCTCCCGAAGATGTGCCGCTGCTGCTGCTCGTGGTTTCACCCTTCTTGTCGTCATTACCTTCATCCTTCTTGTTGTCATTGCCTTCATCCTCCTTGTCCTTATCTTCGCCTTCCTCCTTGTCTTCATCTTTGTCTTCATCTTTGTCTTCCTCCTTGTCCTCATCATCATCCTTCTTGTCATCAGTTTTTGAATCATCCTTCTTGTCAGAAGTGCTCGAGCTGCTCTTGCCACTGCTGCTATCAGCAGTGCTGCTGCTGACGTCCTTGTCGCCATCGGAGCTGCTGTCGCCATTGCTGTGGGTCAAGGGCGAGCCCATGCCCAACAAGGTCTTGTCAGAAATACCAGTGGTAGATGAAATGAACGACAAATACGACGACACACGCGTAAAATAGCTAACATTACCATCCTGGGCGCACCTAGTGTTCGACGAGTCCTTAGTATTGACGTCAAAGCTCACAAGACCCAGAAGAGTATATCCGCTGCCACTGTTCATGAGCAGGGGACCTCCAGAGTCACCGAAGCAAGTGCCGATGTTGGGTGCGGTGGAGTAACTGGTGCACACGTAGCGTCCGTTTTGCCCGTTCCAATCGGATGCACCGACCTTGCATGTGTCTTCGTCTCCGGTCACAAGTCCGGCGTACATCAGCTGGCTGGACTGAGCTGGGCTGCTGTTGGAGAACTGACCCCATCCTGCAGTAATAACAGTCTGGCCGGCGCTGACGTTGGCGTTCGAAATGGCGATGATTTTGGTCTTCTGAACCAGATCGTTGCTCGACTTGATCTTCAGCAGCGCAATATCCGACTATAATCAATTTAATAAAAATTATACTTAGTGATTTATTGAATGTTTCGATTGCCAAGTTAAAAGTTACTCATGATGACTGCGAGTCACTGGTGGCAGAAAGGTTACTAGTAAGCACGATAGATGGAAAGGAACGAGGCTTTCGAATGATAATGGTGGCGGAGCAAAAGAGACAATGAGTCTTATTGATAAATCCCAATAAAGGAACAATCGCATGGAGCGGAGCAAATCAGCCGCTGGGATTGCAAAATAAAAACGAAACAGGCCATGGCATGCCAACAATGGAAAGTGAAAAGGGAGTGGGGAGGGAAGGGAAGACAAGAAAGGCAAAAAAACCCCTTTGTGAGAAATTCAAAAATACGGCGCACATCGCGCTAACATGCATAAGTTTTATTTTTTATTTTTGGCCCGCGGTCCTTGTAATTTACACCAATACTAAGTGTAAAAAATGGTGATGCAAGGAGGAAAAGAGAGAGAAAGGAGATGGGGCGATCATTTTCAACAATGCTTTTTGATTTTGCTTTTGCTTTCACTTTCGCAACCTGTTTTTGAGCAAAAAAATAAAGGAGGCATCACGGGAAGAAAGAAAAAAGGAACAGGGCGAGGATATTCCGCACCACCAAAACACATTTCTATAGGTTTTACTTACAGTGTACCACACGGGGTCAAAACCAGCATTAACGGTGATGGACTCGACGCTGACAGAGTTGGACAGGCTGCCGCCATTGGTTCCGTATCCAATCTTGAAGCTCGACGGGTCGCTCGTCGTGAAGGCACCAGCACCAATATCTCTGTTGCCCTCGGCCACGCAATGAGCTGCGGTGATAACCCACTCGCTGTCAATAAGCGTGCCTCCGCAGAAGGCGTTGCCGTCCTTGAACAGGTGCACTATGAAGGGGAACATGTCCGTGGATGCAGCAGTACCGCCAATAATACGGTCGACATCAGCCGATACGGTGCCGATGGAAGCCAGTGCACAGAGCAGCAGGCTGCCAAAACCAATACGTCTGCCCATTATTGCTGCAAGGGTTGGGTTGAAGGCTGGAGCTAGCAGGGCAAGGTAATGGAAAAAGGGTTTAGTTTGTTTGGTTGTTTGTGTGGCCGGCACAAAACAAAAGTGGACAGGATATTTGTATGTGTGCTAAGGTGTAGATGAAAGAGTAATGAAAGGAGTTGTGTAATGTAAAGAGTCTAAGAGGCTTGGATTAAGAAGAGAGCGTTCGTATAATGACAATAAGGTGTAAAAATGATGTTTGGCGGGTGTGTCCAGTATGTTGGAGCTATACCAGGTACACGTTGACAATAAGGGGTATATAGGGCGGAGAAAAAGAGAATATGTAAAAGAAATAAAACAAAAAAAGCTCTTTTTTCCTTAACAAAAAAATAGCTAGAAGTGGAAGCAAAAAGTGGAAGCGCATCATATACATACCCGAGTCCAAGTGTCCCAGTATCCTTTTCATCTTGGAATAATTGCCCGCTCGCTTTGAAAAAATAATTCCATTTTGGTGCCTTCAGCGCATAGAAAAACACAAAAGCGCCAATTAGCAACAAAATAATTGGGCGGAGAAAAGGTAAGGCCAAAATGTAGCCGAAAGCAAAAATGGGCGATCTGTATTTTTTGGTGTTGCATGCATGCTGTTAAATTTAGATTGTGAGTTTCCAAATGGCGCATCAGGCTGATAATAAGGCCAAGCCCACTTTCCCCTCTATCGCACGCATTGTTTTTGGATTCTTGAGCCGCGAAAAAGAAAGACAAACAGGCTTGACCAAGAAATAAAAAATAAACGGGTGCGCGTTGCTACGTCAGTAATAGACATGCAAAATACCTAAAGCAGGATCAGGATAGGACCAGTGTTGCGGATACACAACAAATCAAATCGGCTCCGCCAGGAGATGGAGGATTCCGTTCTGTGTGCGATCGGGAATACTATAGCAGTGGCCAATGCCAACGAGCCTAATATTCTAAAAAAAATATTTTATTGCGGATTTAATGGCGGTGGTGGTGGCAGCCAGGGCCAGCGTAAAAATTAATTAATGCATTGTGAGCGGCGACAACAGCAACGACGACAATGGTCCATATTTTCGAAAGTGAAGAAAATACTTTTTTTTATATAAAAACGATTCAAATCGAACTGAATAAAAATAAGAGAAAATTGGTACGAGAAAACAAAAAAATATACATTTTAGCCGCGAGTGTAGCTGGTCGAGCTCAGCGTGGGGATGCCCGAGTTCACCTCGACAAAGCGCAGCTTTTGCTCGTAGTCAAAGTCCTGGCGGGTTGGCTCGCCGAGGCTGCCAGCGCGGTAGTCGTAGCTCAGTGCATGGAGGTTGCCGCCATCATGGTCCTCAATAACCAATCCCTCGTTAGTCGGGGTAGGGCGGGCCATCTCAGCGGCATCCTTGATCTTCTGCGATGCGCGCGTGCTAGCATCGCTAGCCATGGTCTTGAGCTCATCGCTAGTGTTGCGCAGCGCAGAGCGCGCCTCGTTGAACTTGTCATCGAGCGCATGCAGCACCGAGTTGTCTGAGCTCACGCCCGACATCATCGAGTCGCGGCGCTGCTTGAACCCGTCCTTGGAAGAGTCCAGGGAGCGGCGAGCAGAGTCGCCAGCATCGCGCATATTGTCCCGACCACTGTCAATGTGGTCATTGGTCCAGCGGCGGGCAGAGTCGGCAGCATCATTGGCATAATGGCGCACAGAATCAACAGTGTCGTTGGCAGAGCGGCGGACAGAGTCGGCGGTCGTGGCGCTTCTCACATCAGGGTGATTAGCGTCATACGATCTCTGCCAGTATGAGCGATCGGCAAACTCTGCTCTGCGCAGAGCATTGTCACGTGCATCCTCGGCACTCTCCTTGACTGTTTCGGCGGCATTGGCAATGGACTGGTCGGCCTTGCTCTTCTGGTCCCACATCCACTGGCTCGAGGCATCAACAGTGCGCCCGACGGTGTTGGCCGTGCGGTTAGCAACGTTGTTGGCAGAGTCGGCGGCGCGAGCGGCGGAATCCTGGGCCTGATCCCTCTTGTACGCAAGCCAATCGCGGGTGTTGTCAGCTGCCTGGCTGGCAGACTCCTCAACGTATTGCGCATTAGACTTTAGCGCCTCGCGGGCTTCCAGGGACTTATCAACGACCGCATCCTTGGCGTAGCGCGCGTTTTCCTTGGCAGCGTCAAGAGTGTTGGCGGCGGCCTCATTGACATCTTGCTTTTTGTTCCAGAACCAACCGCGAGTGTCGTCAGCGGCCTGCTTGACAGTATCTGTAGCCGCATAAGTCTTGTCGACGACGGCATCCTTGGCATCCTGGGCCTTGTCGGCAACAACATCTTTAGCGTAGCGTGCGTTGTCCTTGGCAGCGTCAAGAGTGTTGGCGGCGGCCTCATTGACATCTTGCTTTTTGTTCCAGAACCAACCGCGAGTGTCGTCAGCGGCCTGCTTGACAGTATCCGTAGCCGCATAAGTCTTGTCGACGACAGCATCCGTAGCCGCATAAGTCTTGTCGACGACAGCATCCTTGGCATCCTGGGCCTTGTCGCCAACAACATCTTTAGCGTAGCGCGCGTTGTCCTTGGCAGCATCAATAGTGCTGATGGCGGCCTCATCAACCCCTTGCTTCTTGTCCCGGATCCAGCTGCCCGTATCCTCAGCAACGTTCTTTACGCTGTCCGAGGCATTGCTCACAGTGCGCTTGATGGTATTGGTGGCATTCGAGACTGCGTCCTCGGCGTCCTGAGCTTTGTTCCAGAACCAGCCGCGGGTCTCGTCGGTAGCCTGTTTGGCACTGTCAGCGACATCGCTGGCACGGCGGCTGGCAGCGCGGGACGTCTCCGATGCGGCATCATCCAGATCCTGTTTCTTGTTCCACAGCCAGCCACGCGCCTCGTCGGCGGTCTGCTTGGCACTGTCAGCGACATCACTGGCACGGCGGCTGGCAGTGCGCGACGTCTCCGACGCTGCATCGTCCAGATCCTGTTTCTTGTTCCAGAACCAGCCACGGGTCTCCTGAGCAGCATGTCTGGCATTGTCAGCGACATCGCTAGCACGACGACTGGCAGTGCGCGACGTCTCCGACGCGGCATCATCCAGATCCTGTTTCTTGTTCCACAGCCAGCCACGCGCCTCGTCGGCGGTCTGCTTGGCACTGTCAGCGACATCACTGGCACGGCGGCTGGCAGTGCGCGACGTCTCCGACGCGGCATCGTCCAGGTCCTGTTTCTTGTTCCAGAACCAGCCACGGGTCTCCTGAGCAGCATGTCTGGCGTCATCAGAAACACCGCTGGCGCGGCGTCTGGCAGACCTGGCAGCGTCTGATACAGAATCATTGGCGTCGCGGGCGTTCCAGCCCCAGCCGTCGGACGTTCTATTGGTGGATCCATTGATGGCCTCGGCAGCCGCTGTATGGGCATCGCGGGTGCCGCGGACACCGTTATTTGTGACATCCTCGGCAGCGCGCGACGCCTTGTGGATGTCGCTGGTGCCGTTGTCCTTGGCTGACTTGCTGATAGAGTTGAGCGTGGTGGGCGAGTCAGACTCGAGGCCTTTGGCCTTGGTCCAGCCCTTTGAGCGTAGCAGCTGATCCTGGTTATCGGGGGCGATGGAGTTGAACACAGTGCCCTGCATTATGTTGGCGCTGTCCGCAGAAGGTTGCTGCTGTTGCAGCGATCCGCTGTAATCCTCCATGTGCTCAATGGGGCCGAGATCACCGGTGATACCATGGAAGGTGCGGTACCACCAAGACTTGCGCTTGATACCCTGCGTGGTGTTTGGATAGCCCTGCGTCGAATCGCTTTTCTCGGTGACCATGTTGTTGGAGAGGATCTGCTTCCACGGCGAGGACTTGGTGTTGAGGTTTCTACCATTGCTGGTACCAGTGTTGGTATCAGTGTTGGTGGTTGTCCCAATCGTGTGCTGCTCTGTGCTGAGCATACTGGTGGGTACAAAGGCGTCGGCGCGGTGAAGGTCGAGGGGGACCTTGGGTTGGAAATCCTGCTCAAATTTGGCTCCCATTGGGTGAGGGCCCTCAATATTGGTCACCGTGCGTTGCTGGTGGATGTCGGCGACAGTACCAGTATTGTTGCTGCTAGTCATTTCGCCGGCACTGCTGAAGCGCCTGGTGCGCATGCCGGCGGTGTTGACAAACCGGTTGTCATCGCGACCGCCAGAGTACTTGTAGGCAATTCCGGCGGCCAGGATGGCGGGAGCGACGATAAGAGTGGGAATAGTTGACATTTTTTCTGGGATGGTGTTTGTATAAAATAATTGATAATGTTGATGGTGAACAAGGTGATAAAAAGGCAATAATCGAGCGAATGTGTAAATTTATACTCGAAACAATGACCGTTGGCGAACATGAAATATAGAATATGAAGTGTCGTTTTTTTTGTGCGACATTTTATTTTGTTTTTGCATGAACGATCTGGACACGTCAATCGGAGCGTTGACAAACAATCTTTGATACGAAATAAAGAATATGATAATAAAGATGATGCAATATGCGAGTCACCGGATTGTGTATGAAAAAAGGAGTCACTGTTCGGTACTTTCTGTCATTTTATTTTTGTTTATTAAAGTTAGGTTTAGGGTAAAACGTTTGTTTATGCGTTATGAAATAATTGACAAACAAAAACCAATTTTTGATATAAGTGTGGCAGCCGCACGTTGCACACAAACAGAACGGAATAATAAAAATAAAGCATTATGTGAAGAGCTTGATTATGACGAACAAAGCATTGGGCCGTCAGCCAAGTATTCCTGGCATGTCAGCTTTTTAAAGATTTGCAACTGGAGAGAAAACAGATACATTGATCGAGATATAAAACAAGTAAGCAACAAAAACTAAAGTTGATGAATAAGACCGAGTATCTGCTGTATCACCTTTCCCGTCATGGTCTCTATTGCAGAATCTGGTTGCGTGCTTCTGTAACGAAAATTATTCTAAGGGCGGAATGAAGATTTGCAATTGGAGTGACGAAAAATATGTAAACCATTAGTATTTGCGTATTTAATTTTCCATAAACACTAAATACATCCGTATGAAAGGCGTATAATAATGTTTAAATGTGTTGTTCCCTCAAAACAACTTGTATATTTCCCATTTCAATAATTAGCAGATAAAAATGATTTTTGTGGACACATCATGGTTTGCGTTTGTATATGCAATTATTATACTGAGCAATAGTTTGTTACGCAGCCCGAGGATATGGAGGCAGACGCTGAGGACGAAAATCATGAGACAGCTTCTCGTCAGCTAACAGATGGATCTGATATGGGCCAAATTACAGGGGATCAAATTAGGCGCCATAATTGACATCCGGACATACTGCCTGTCCCGAAATGGAGGTGCCGGACGCAAGAATACAGACATGCCAATTATGCCATATCAGAGACCCGGGTTACTCTCATAAGGACCAGTTCGCGCAAACGGAGCACACGACTGCCAGTGAGTGCCACAAAGACAAGGAGATATATATAAGGCGAGGCCGGCGATAATAGCACTTTAGAAACACTAGTAATAAAAACCTTTATAATTTCACACCCATTCTTCTAACACTATTACAGTAGTGCTCCCCACCCCCTCTTACATAACAAGTGCATCATTACACACCAGCACATTACCAAAATACACGAATGTGAATGAAACATAAAAATATGTACTCAAAAATATTTAAATACAAAATCAACAGCGACATCACTATTTTCTTCAATTTTACATCAGTACCATCATTAGTATAATTGTATTTTCTATTGATTTACCATAAAGCTTGGCTCTCTTTTTGTTCTCGCCGCCATCACATCCATTTTCTTTGTCGCAGCCATGTCAGATGGGCAGTGCAAAGCTCTTGAATACATTGGCAAACTCAATATAGAGAAGCAATAGTTTTGCAAAGCAAATCCGTGTGCTTATAATATACACTCATAAAGCCCAAATGCTAGGAGTTAAATGTTATTTTTTGAAAAAGCAATTAATATGAATTCATTGCAAGGTGATATAAATATGTGAATAATAATTAGATAATTAGAGAAGGTAATAGTGAATATGATTAATATTTCATAATATACTCCAAGTTTATCCTAGATAAGTAGCTATGGTGGTGGGGACAGTATTTGGTTTTTTATACTTAGTATCGCATTACTTTCAGCATTGGTAAAACGCAATGAATGCCATTTACCAACAATATGCACAGAGCTGCATAAGTTATGTTTAACGACCAAATTTAAATTTGTTTTGTTTTTGATTGTGTGTGTTGTGTTGTGTGTGTGGGTGGTAACGTAGGCTGTCAGAATGTGCGACCGTCCTCGCTGAGTCGCACTCATAAACCCGTGGCAGCAATAATAGCAGAACACGAGGGCGCAACCAGCAAGATCATCGACAAACCCAAAGCGGGTTCGACACCTCCCTTTACGGACGGCGCACTGTTTGTCATCTTCCAGCTTGGTTTGTGTGTCTTTATTCGGTGAATAAAGAAACTGAAAATTAACTGTATACATGATCCTGTAAAGTACAGTCGATATGAGGCTATCCTGTTGAAAGTGGCGCGCTGGAAAAAATGCTTTATACTCCAGCCGGGCGATCGGCCAGAACCATTACAAATGGGATCAATCAATGCTACATTCACGTGATTGTACTATCAAAAAAGAATCCGACTGTTCTCCTTGATACTCTCTACTATTCTATTGCTTGAAAATAGTTCCATATCGCAAACAATAGTTTAACCAAGCAACTGATAACTGAGCAAACAAAAGAGTGTTTTAGCTGTTAAGGTGTAAAGCTAGTTACACCCAAAAAAACAAACAGATGGGTGATACTCCCGGAAGAAAAAGAAAAAAGAAAGCAATGATATGCACAGACGCATAGCTATCAATACACCTGACAAGGCAACACAAAGTAGTATGTATCCACCACACCCACCTGCCTAGGCAAACATGTCCTCTGTTAGTTGAGGCACTATCAATCAGTTAAAAACCCAAGATAATGGTATTTTGGGGTAGGTTGAAATGAGTCAAAAATAAAATAAAGCCGTAATATGACGCTGCAAAACTTAGCTAACTAGCGTATTAGATATAGTGCTTTAAAGGTAGCTCTGCTAACAGATTGTGATTGGGTTAAAGCAATTGCATTCCTTGGCTTAGTGGTCTAGCAGTATGATTCTCCGTTCGGGTCGGAGAGGTCCCGGGTTCAATTCCCGGCTAAGCCCTTATTTTGGGGTTTTGTTTTTAGAGTAGGCTTGTTTTGATTAAAGAGAGCACAATTTATGCACGCCGCAGCTCACATGTCCTGCCATTGTCAAGCTTTACTTCCATTTTACGCACTTAAAATGAAAGCTCAAAAATTGAATATGATGCGTTATGTTTTCCATGTTTCTGTTAAGCTTCATTTTTCTTGTACTTGTATTATTAACTTTCTAATTTATTTTTCTGCATTTCGTCATTTTAAAAAGAATGGTTTTGGACATCGACAAGTGCATAGCGCAGCTCTACAACGGTGAGCTACTGGCCGAAAGTCAAGTTCAGTCATTATGCTTGCAAGTACGGCCCATCCTCGCCAACGAGTCCAACGTTGTCCCACTGTCCGCTCCTGTCACAGTGGTCGGCGACGTGCACGGGCAATATCACGACGTCCTGGAGATATTCGCCATTGGTGGGCAGTGCCCAGATACCAACTACTTGTTTCTCGGCGACTACGTCGACCGCGGCAACCACAGCGTGGAGACAATCAGCCTTCTGTGCTGCCTGAAGCTGCGGTACCCGCAGAGAATCCACCTTTTGCGCGGCAACCATGAATCGCGCAACATTACGAAAACCTACGGGTTTTACACCGAGTGCACGACCAAGTACGGCGGATCGGCGGTAGTATGGCGAGAGTTCACGGATCTGTTCGACTACCTTGCACTGGCTGTGGTGATCGAGGACAGCGTGTTCTGTGTGCACGGCGGGCTGTCCCCGTCTGTCTCGCATATCGACCAGCTGCGCGTGCTGGACCGGTTCGGCGAGATCCCGCACGAGGGCCCGCTGGCGGACATCCTGTGGTCTGACCCGGACCCGGATATCCAGGGCTTTGGCAGGTCGCAGCGCGGCGCCGGGTACACTTTTGGCGCCCAGGTCGTCGACCGCTTCCTGCACAACAACGGAATGTCGCATATTCTGCGCGCTCACCAGCTATGCATGGACGGCTTCCTGGTGCAGTTCAACGATCGGCTATCCACTGTGTGGTCGGCGCCCAATTACTGCTACCGCTGCGGCAACATTGCCAGCGTTCTGCAGGTCGACCCGTACCTGAAGCGCGATTTTATCACGTTCACCGCCGCGCCCACGTCTCCGCACAAGCCGGCGCCGCTGCAAAGCACTGATCCTTCATCATATTTTATTTAAACATTCTCCAAATGCCCCTTGATCGCCGCGCCGACGTTGACCTTGTCAATGAGGAACGTGTCATGGCCGTACATGGCGTCCAACTCATAGTATGTGACGTTCGTGTTTCCGGCGCGCCGCAGGATGTCCGCAATCTCCTTCTGCTGCTTGACCGGGAACAGGATGTCGGACTGCACGCCGAGCACAAGTGTCGGTTGCATGACGTTCTTGACTCCAGCAACCAAGTCGGCCATGATCTCATCGCCGGTCTCGACACTGGAATGGCCCACGTGGCTCTCGGGGCTCTCAGCCTCACTCAGGCAAACCGACCCTGCGCCACACACCGTGCGCCCGCCGCCACTGCCCTTCGCCGCCAGGCCCTGCTCAGCCTCCTCCCTCTGCGCGCGCAGTCGCTCGGTCACCGAGCGGCTGATATCAAACATGTCCATGGCTTTGGACACATACAGCAGCGAGTTCGCATCGTACTGCAGGCAGAAGCCCTCGCTCTGGTGGTCCAGGTAGGTTTCGATCAAGAAGTCGGCGCAAAACATCGGCGGCTGGTCTGCCGCGCGCCGCCGCCGCCCGAACCGCAGCTCCCACTCGGGGCCAGACCGATACGTCACCGTGGCAATCGCCCGCGCCAGCTTCATCCCGACATGCGGCATGACGCCATCGTAGTAGAACCCGCGGTTGAAGTTCGGGTCGCTCATCAGCGCCTGCCTCTGTGCAAAGCGCAGTGCGATCGAGTACGGGTGCGACCGAGCGCACGCCGAGATGCTGACCAGGCGGCCGACGCGCTGCGGAAACAGCGCCGCCGCGCACAAGGACTGCATCCCGCCCATGCTCGAGCCAACGCTGGCGTACAGCCGGTCGACACCCAGGTGGTCCATCAGAAGGAACTGCGCCCGCACCATGTCGTTGACAGTCAGTACCGGGAACGTTGTCGCGTACCGCTGGCCGGTCAGGGGATCCACTGACCCAGGCCCCGTCGACCCATAACATCCGCCGAGCACGTTCGTGCAGACAACAAAGAACTTGTCCGTGTCAATTGCCTTCCCTGGCCCAATGAATGCCTCCCACCATCCGGCGCGCGTGTTCCGTTCGTGGCTGTGCGCGTGTGAGCTGCCGGAAAGCCCCGTGTGGATCAGAATGACGTTGGACCGGTCCTTGTTCAGCCGGCCCCAGGTCTCGTAAGCCAGCTGGATCTGGCTCAGAACGCCGCCGTGGTCGCAGACAAACGGCTGCGCGTGGTGGAAAAGATTGTATCCTGTGACGACTTTTTCGTACAGCGGCTCGGGTCCGTTGGAGAGATCGCGTTGGCGGGTTTCCAGCTTGTCAATGCAGGGGAAGCTCATTGGCGGGTTGGTGCTGCTGCCTCCGGAGCGCACGGGTCGGCTGGTTGATAGGCTACGCTGGAGAAACGCGCCGGTGGCTGCTGCTGCTGCGCTGGAAGCTGGGCGTACCTTGGACGCGAGACTGCGAGAAGCTAGGGTACGAAGCATTTTTCTTATCAGTGCGAATAAAATAAAAGTAAAAGTGGAGGTAGGACTAATTGTGATGATAACGGAACAGTAAGGAAAAGAAAAAGATTGAGATCTGTCTATCTATATTTTATTTATTCCACTACCACCAGAAAAAGAAGAAAAACGCACAAGATAACGCTATCCTTTGGACCCACCAATCAGGAACAAAATTAATTAGCCGATGACAAATTCACAGGCGCCAATTGCCCATGTGAGAAAAAAAGATGGTATTTAGAATGCTTTAAGCGTCTGAGAAGAACAAAAAGCAAGCAGGAAGCAGAAATGCGAATTACGATAAGCTTTGGCTTTGTTTTAACCAAGAAACAGCATCAATATGTTGATTTACTTTGTGTGTGCCCAGTTCCTTGAATAATAAATTCAGTTACAGTTAACCCACACGGCAGCTAGGCCAAGTCTCTTGCAAAAATAAAGCAGTATTTGGAATATTCCTCTTGTTGTCATTTGGGGGCTCCATCCATCCATGCAAAAGTAATTGGTAAGGCTTAGGCACATTTCTATAAAAGTGAAAGATGTGTTCTGTTTGTTTGTCTGTTTGCCAGGAGTTTTCTCTTGTGACATGCACATTAATGCTTGTCCCCCCTATCTTTTTTGTTGCTGAACCACAGTCATGTTACTGTCAATAAAAAATACTTCAGAGACAATACAAAAAACAAGAAGGATGATGTGCCGTTTAACTGGTTTATACAAGAAACAAAAGAAAAAGAAAAAAGAAATAAAAGAAGGCACGCGTTCCAAAACAATTCCTTTTCTTTTTTTGTTTCTCTTTTCATTGAGGGGGGGGAGAAGGGAGGTCTTGGACTCTGTTTTATATACATTGTTCCCATGATTCTCCACTACTCTTAAGTTCAGGTGGAAAAAATATCCGTTTCGACTTTGTCTCTTGTAACAATTTCTATTATATTTTTGTTTCTAAATTTCGTTTTTCGTTTTTTTCTCTTCTTTTTTCTTGTTAATTTGTAATTAAAAAACTTAGTACCGTAAACACACTTTTCATTTTTTAATTCCTTAAACTTTTTTATTTTTGTTTTATTTTTTTGCATGCGCCTTTAATAACCGCTTTTTACATTATGCCATTCAGAAGTCACGACACAATGAGCAGTAGTGGCGAGACTCTAAACATTGAGTTATCGCCATTAATCATATCCAACTCCTTTATTGCCAGCGACAATAATAACGACACTAATGAAGCAAACAACTTTCTCCACCCACAGCTGCAACATCAAAGCAGCACGCACAGCAAATCCAATATTTCACTCCTGACGACCTCAGACCACCCTAGCGAAAGCAGGTACAGCTCAGACATCGCTCTAACACCTATGCGCCACAGCATCAGCAGCAGCAGCAGCATCAGCAGCAATATTGATAATACCATTGACAACTCAAACCACGACTCTGACATAGCAAGCACATTCACCACACTGGAGTCCGCCATCACCGAGGAAAGATACAAGTCGCCACGCCAAATAATCAAAGAGCTCACAATCGAAGTGCTCCCAGCGCTGCTGGTTTCTGTTGCCGGATCGATTCTCGCCGGGTACATTCTAGGCACTATCCAAACCAATCCAGCATTCGACCGCATCCCGGCGCTCTTCATCATGGTTCCCATTATGCTCAACCTCAAGAGCAACACAGAGCTCAACATGTCCACACGGCTCTCGACCTTGGCAAACTGCGGCGTCTTTGATAATAAAAAGGAGGGCATCCGGGCGATGCGATCAAATATGGAACTTTTACTGCTACAATCTACTGTCGTCGGTGTCTGCATCGGTTTCATCTCTACGGTGCTCTCCCTGGTGTCCCGAGACAGAGTCGACGGAGGCAGTAGCGAGAGTGCTGTGTTTAATTTCTTTCTCGAAGCCACTATCCTTATGGCCTCCGGTATTGGCTGCGCGGTCATCGGCAGCGCGGTTATCGGAATACTCATCGCCCTCACAGTCCGCATCAGCCACGCATATGGCGTCGACCCGGATAACATTGGCACGCCGATAGCGTCGAGCTTTGGCGATATGACCACGCTGCTGATCCTCGGGCTCCTCACCAGCTTCCTTATCCCGCTGATGCACACCCCCTGGCCGCTGCTCATCACCCTGGGCTTCGTCGCCCTCGGCTTTGTACTATTCCAGGTCGTGCGCGCGAACGAGCAAATGTCCCATCATATTTCTAAAGGCTGGCTCCCGCTCCTCTACGCCGCCATAACCTCCAGTGTTGCTGGTCTGATTGTTGAAAAATGCGCCGACAAGTATCCCGGAATGCCCGCCCTGGTCCCCGTACTCAACGGCATCGGCGGCAATATTGGCACGGTTTTCGCCTCCCGGCTATCCACAGGCTTGCATCTCCACAGTAGGCAGAACGGAAGGGATTCGTCGGCCGAGCATGATCTCGTTATGCTTATCCTCTTGCTGATCAATATCCCGGTGCAGGTTGGCTTTTTGGCCATGCACCAGTTCGTTGACCCGTCACTAAATGTTAACCTGTGGTTTATCCTCGTTTACACTTCGGCTACGGTGGTCCATGGAATTGCTATTTTAGCTCTGGTGCGCGTTGCTTGCAACTACTTGTGGACCAGAGGGTATGATCCTGATGACTGCGTTAACCCGTTCATTACTGGTTCTGGCGATATGCTCGGTACCACTTTGCTCGCGCTTGTTTTTTTTGCCATCGCTTAAAATCATATACGTATTATTTTTTCTCCCGCCGTTATTTATTTATATTTCATGTTTAATTGTATATTTCAATGCTTCTCTCAAATCAATGAACAAAAAAACAAGAAATGAAATTGATTGATTGAAAGGGGTAAGAAACTATAATATAAAAGGCTACTGAAATATTTGAAAAAATATAAAAACTCAGCCCGAACTACACCCCTACTGTTGCTGCTCCGAATTATTTTGCAGTTCCTCAATCTCCGCCTGCTGAATCATCATCTTCACCGTACTGACCGCTGCAAACCGCCTATTCTCACTCAATCTCTGGTCAACTTTAACCTCCGCCAACCGCCTATACAAAACTCCCAAATTAGACCGCTCCAAGCACCGCGGCGTCGCATGCTCATCCGAAAAACAAATCATACACACGTCCTCCGTCAACATTCTATCGTCCCCAACACTGCCAACAGCGCTGGGAATTTGGCCGCTGCCCACAACAGGCCAAGTCACTGCAGCCATAACAGTAGGAGATGCAGATGCAGAAGTAGATACGTATGCTAAGGTTTCTGTTGCTAATGCTGCTGCTGTTGTGGTTGGTGTGAATCCCATGCCCGCTTGACTGACAGAGGGCATCATCATACCAATTTGCTGAGCCGGCTGCTGCTGCTGTTGCTTCTGCTGCTGCTGTTGCTTCTGCTGCTGCTGCCATTGCCACATTTGCATTTGATTATTTTGCAAGCGTTGCTGTTGTTGGAGTATATGAGCATGCTGCTGCGCTTGCTGGTATGCCCGCTGTTTTGCCTGTTGTGCCTGTTGCCTCTGAATCTGCAATATATTCTGGGCACTCTGTTGTTGCTGCAGTGGAGACAGTGGCTGCTGCGTCTGTAAACTCTGCTGCTGCTGCTGAAGCCGGCGCTGACGCTCATGTATAAAGTTTTTGGCCAGTTCGGAAAACGCGTTCATCTGTTGTTGACTAATCTTGCCAGCTGAACACTTTGCGCCAATATTCACCAGTGATTCCTTGATCTTAATGTCTGACATATGATTCATCGCCAATATCCACGACTGGAGTGAAGGCTGATGTCCAAGAGGCGGCCTGGACACTGACTCCTGCGTACTATTACCACCACCATCATCACCATCGATATTACCATTAGTTGGACCATGCGACTGGTGGTTGATATTCTGCCCAATAAAGTGAACTAAATGGTTGAGGTGCTGGGAGCCTTGCTGGATAGACATCTGTGGACGCCCTGCAGCTGATGGTTGCTGGACTACTTGTGCTGGTGACTGATTAATCTGCAGAACTGTAGGGGAGTGTTGTTTAGACGAATTCGAGAATTTAGAGCAAACAGGCTGAGTGGGCTGAGTGGGTTGTGCTGAATGAATGGACTTGGCAGATTGGATGGACTGGTGAAATTTCGTTGAATGGTGGGACTGGGCCGACTGCGTGCGATAAGAAGGCCCAACCATCTGGCTCGACTGAATGACGGAATGATTTGGCTGTGTTGGCAGAGAAAACTGTGCTGATGATGGACTGGCAGAAACAATCTGCTGCTGCTGCTGGTGTGGGGTACCTGGAGAGACTGACAACAATTCACCAAAATGCTGTGCTGATGCCTGCTCATCACTGCAATCAGTCTGCGGCATGCCCCATGCTGAATAGTCCTCCGAAAGACTAACTGCTGATGATGCCTGTGTAGAGCTATGAGTCTGGTTCCTAGCTGAAAACTGCCGATCCAAAATCATTAGCCACAACTTCTCGTTCTGACTAGGAGATTCCTGTTGCTTGAGTAGCCAGTAAAACGACACACGAAGGTCCTCCGGAAACCTCAGAATAACTGCATGGAGGTGTTGCTGAAGCATATTGTAATAGTACATCTTGATCTGCTGGTCTGGGTTTGGTAGAAACTGATGTGCCTTGGAAAACTGGACCATCTCTGACATAAGCTGCTGCCGGATACCAATGCAACTATTGGCAATGTATGAGAGAAGGTCACCACCAAGAGCAGGCTGGATTGCAATCTGCATCTGATTGTGTATTTGAGCAGGGACTGAGGTGTGTGCAGGAGGAGTCGTCACCTGTGTAGGTGTTGGCAATTGCACCAGAGTCTGTGACAGCTCACCCAGACACTGCTGTATATACTGATCAACTACTCGTGGAGTCAAGCCCTGACAAGACAACACTGGATTCTGGGTGCTCTGTCCAGGAGAAGCAAAAGGAGCACTAATGCCTCCATGCAAATAACCAATACTGCTCTGTGATGCCCTCATTGCAGGAGGCACACCATGTGTGGCTTGCAGATTCCCTGGGCCACCCTGGGAAGTTGGTGCTGACATAGGGCTTGGGAAGCTTAAAGCAAACACAGCAGACTGTGTGTCAAAAGAAGTGAAGGGCATGCTCTGGCCAGAAGGCATAGCCAAAGTCGGAGTCGCCCTTGAAGCCAACATGGTAGATGGCTTGGCTGAGGTTGCTGTCACTGGGGTGGGAAGCATGGTTGAGCTGAATGATGCAGGTGGACAACTGGAACCAGGTGGCTGCACACCTACATGAGCCTCAGTGATCAGAACACTATCAGAGATTGGTGTCTCTGTTAGTTGATACTGCTTGGGCTGTGAACTTGTAGTCAAATTCAGCAATTGCACTGGATGCAATGCATGAGGCTGGAGGCTGGAGGCTGGGCTAAGAGGATCATCGGGAAGATCCTCACTGCAGGTTCTTGAGTGGCTAGGAGTACTGCGAATAGTACTGTTGGCCTTTGCCATACAGGCTCTAGTGACAGGTGATGAAAAATCAGACTGGCTGGGCTTCTCCACTGTTAGTTGCATGCTACCAAAAGTGGTCTGGAGCTCAATGTTAAGCTCCAGTAGCAACTGGTGGATAGTAGAGCCTGAGTACAGACTGCCAAATGGACCCTGCTTGCCTGTGCCTATATGTGTGCTGTCTAAAATCCGACTGGTGATTAGGTGTGCACCCACATTGCCCTGCACAGAACCATGCAGAGCATTGGCCAACTGATTGCAAATCTCAGACAAGACAGTAATCAACTCAGCTTCCAGTGCTGGATCTCTATCCAAATCCATAGCACCCTCATCCACAGTTTGAGTCAGGGTCATTGCTAGCAAGATGCTGTCAATCCCAGGCTGGATTGTCTGCCAGCTCTGCACAAGTGGCCCATTGTCAGAATCAACATCCATCAGTATGCCAGCCTTTCTATCAAGCACTGTGGCTGACACAGAAGGGGCCATAATGCTGGAAGTAGATGGCTGGACAGTCTCTGGCATGATGGGGCCAGCTACTGGGGCATTAACAGCAGGAACTGCAAAGGCAGTCATATCAACTAGTGCATCAGCAGCAGCTTGAGTGGGATCTACAATCTGCACATCAATAGCTGGGGCAGGGACTAAGGCAGGAGCTGAGGCAGGAGCTGAGGCAGGAGCTGAGGCAGGAGCTGAGGCAGGAGCTGAGGCAGAAGAAAGTTCCTTGATCCTCTGGTGGGTCAGCTTCATGAGCATGGCCATATCTTGAACTGTGGTAGTAAGCATCCTATGGACAGAGATGCTGTTGTGTACAGCACTGTTGTGTATCTCTTTCTGGATCTCTGTGCGGGCAAGGTTGCATACTTTGATCCAGAGATAGGATAGCATACTGATAAACCTTCTCAGGTTAGCAATGTCTGTCACTTGCAGAGGGTCCATGAAACCCATTCCATTCTTCGCAAACATTATCTTGGTTAGATAATGTCGGGAGGTGCTGGCAATTGCATGTGGAAAAAAATCACTGATTGGCTTGGCTGGGGCTGTGGGGGAGTGGTATATGACTGAACAGAGTGGTGGCCTTGAAGCATTGCTATTAAGTTGCTGAACGTCATGATGTGTCAATGCCGAAATGGATTTAGAGATGTGTCTTGGAACTTGATCTGAAACTGGAGCTGGAGCCGAAACACGATCTGAAACTGGAGCTGTAGCTGGATCTAGAACTAGACGGATATGATTGACTTGCTGCTGTTGGGGCGCATAAACCACCTGTCCCCACCTCCTTTTGGACATATTAGAGCGAATAGACATGACCATGTCAAATGCATCAACAATGGGAACATATCCCCCAGGAATAGGAGTAGTATCAAACTGGGCTCTGCCTGGATGTGCTACAGCATACCACATAATTTGGACAGTGTACCACTGGACAAACCTCCAGTATGCCTCCTGATGCCAATATAATTCATAGGATCTGACTCGGACAACAAGGTCCCTGAAGTTGAGAGTGCAGATAAATGGGCAATACTCATCACCATGGGGATAGTGACATATGATGCATGGGAATGCCAGTGGCTGTCGTGGTGGCTTTACCCCTTGTGTAAGCTGGATATTGGTAGGGATCCTAAAAAACAGGCATGGGCTTGTGCTAATCACTCTGGCTGGTGGAATATGACAATTGCGGATATCATCACCAACCTTGTGGAAAGCATTCACAATGTCTGTATCAAGTCTGGGGTTTGGCTGGGAAGATATGCTGGAGGAGCCATTGATGTACATTTGGATCACCTCATCGGCATGGGCAGATGCCAGCTCACACAGCTCACTCGGGGTAATCAGGACGACACTCAATCCTGGGGGTGGAGCCACCCTTGCCTGGGATTTGGCACGATTTGCCATAGAACCAGCTCTGATGACAGGCAAGGTGGCATTGCTCTGGACCTTCAGCTCATAAGCAGCCACATCACTGAGATCACCATCCTCATCGACGTCCATTCCAGGAGTATCAACAAAGTCGCTGTCATCATAGTTAAGTGTGTGACTGGTTTTCTGCGCCTTGATGTCATCTGTAGCCTCATGGATGTCGTCAACCATGTAGTCAACCTTGCGTTTGCGAATGCGAAGCCGATTCTTGTCGTTGGACTCATTAGACACACCCACAGCTTTGTCTGAATTGCTCATGTTGAGCAAGCGGCTCCAGACGTCAGCATCTGGGACAGCATCATCCAGATTGGTTGCCACTGAGAGGTCGTTGATGATTGGCCTGGAATTCCCATTTGGGTCTATGGTACAGACACGCGAAAAGCTAACAAGCATTGGTGCACTTTGCCTGTTCGCCAATTCCACTTTCCTGCGCCGCATCTCCTCTTCCAATGCTGCCTCACACTGGTCAAGCAGCTCCTTTGCCCACTCACTGTTGTAGTGAGCAGCACTAGCTTGGGCGGCGGCTTCAGCAGAATCCTCAAAAAGAAGCGAAACATCACACCGCAGAGCCTGCTCAACCAGGCTGTCAGGGAGCTCACTCTCAAGGCCACTCTTCTCCCTGCCAATATTCTGAATAATTAAGTGATCCAGTGCGAGCTTTTTCGTTGCAGCCATGACAATACGCTCCTCGACTGAGTTTGCTGTGACAAACTTGAATATTGTCACTGGCTTCTGCTGCCCAATGCGATGTGCCCGTGCCATGGCCTGTGTGTCGACATGCGGGTTAAAGTCGCTGTCAAAAATGATCACCACATCTGCTGTAGTCAGGTTGACACCCAGGCCACCAGTGCGTGTTGTCGAGAGGAACACCATTGCAGTGGATCCAGGTGCATTGAACATGTTGATCCTGGTCTGCCGCTGCTGCTGAGGTGTGTCGCCGTCAATGTGACAGTATGTGATCCCCTGTGCATCGAAGTAGTCCTGGAGAATTATCAGCGTGTCCTTGAACTGCGAGAATATCAGCATCCTGTGGCCACGTGTGCGCAGCTCTGGCATCATTGCATGGAGCACTTGAAGCTTGCCACATGAACTGATTAGATGCCTGGTCGCCTCATCTGTGGTCTCAAAGGTGGGCTCGATGCCTGAGATCAGGTATGGGTGGCTGACGATCTTGCGCACCTCCATCAGCACATTTTGCAGTGATGCTACTCCACGCAGCTTGGCACCCAGTGCTGTGGTGCCCTGGCTGGCAGCCATTGCTGGTGGTAGCAGTGTGCTAGTGGAAGCACGAGGGCCCCCAAAGCCGACACTGGATCCAGCGCCAGTGCCCATGTTCTTGTCGTTCTTCCGCAGTGCCCTGGCAATGTCATACAGAAGCTTAGTATTCTTCGTCAGCGTCGCTCGGTACAACTTGCGCTGCAGCTCGGACATTGGAACTGGCAGAATGAGCTCATACTTTGGCGGCACCAGGTCTGGGATCTTATCCCTGGTACGCCGCAAAATATATGGATTGATCATATCGCGCACTAGGCCAACCGACCTCTCATCAGTCACATCAAAGCTGGCCCCAATATTCACCATCTCATTGCTCTTGTCTGGATCAATGAATCCGAGCAAGTTGAACAGCTCACGCAAATCGTTCTGCAGCGGCGTTCCTGTGAGGACCACACGCTGGTGCGCATTAAACTTCTTCAGCTCCTGGTACGTTTTGGACTGGTTGTTCTTGAGCCGGTGGCCCTCGTCAAATACAATCGCCTGCCATATGAAACTCGGATTCGTGAACTGCGGAATTCCTCGTTTAATGATCGACTCATAGCTGGCCAGTACAACATGGCAGCAGAGGTCGAGCTTGCCTTGAGCTTGTTTGCGGAAAAGCGTGGTCTCCAGCTGGATCTCACGGCTGGCGGCCTGACCAGACAACTTGCACACAACCAAAAATGGTGCCCATGCCCTGAACTCGGCCATCCAGTTGTCGATTAGCGTTGATGGCACAACGATCAGGAATGGGAAAGTGCCACAGTTGCTCTTGGTTGCCTCAATGCCGCGCAGAGAATCAGGGATCGTTGAGTGATAGACCATCGACAGGAAAGCGATAGTCTGTATGGTCTTGCCCAGCCCGGGGTCATCGGCAAGGATGGCCGGCTCTCTGTGCTTCCATTTGTAGTTCAAAAAGTTTGCACCCTCGAGCTGGTAGTCGTACATAACGCCGCCCTGGAGATACTCGGGCTGCCTCTCAGCTGCGGCAAAGTCATCAGTCGCAACCGCTTTGGACTTTAGCTGCAGGCGCTTGTTCAAGCTGACCAACTCGGCCCTTTGCCAGGCCTCACATACGGGAAGCCACGCGCCGTAATCCTGCGGATTGTCAATCGGACTGGGCAGCGCCTCCCAGGTTGCCTCAGCAAAACTCTGGCCCTTCCACACGACCCGCACGGATTTGTAGTTGATGTAAAAGACCCACGCGCCCTTGCTGCTGGACAGCCCAGCGGCAGCGACATGTGTCTTGCGCTGCTTCTTCTCAGATGAATTGCAGCTCAGCGCCTGGATGATTACGTCGGGCTCCAAGTAGATCCTGTCGAACGCATCTTCAAGCGCGGGCGGGCACAAGCCTGACTTTGCTTGTACCATAAGCGTCCCCAGCATCAGACTAGGACCTACTGCTTGCTGCCAAACTCGCGGAACCCAGCTCAGATGACGGTACGACTTGTTCTTCCACTTGACGGCAATGTCCACGTTTGCTGGAGTGTATTTGCCGCCGGGCATGTTGTCACGCAGCGTCAGCACCTTCTCTATGGCGCACTCCTCAAATGTGGCGCACAGCGCGCACTTCACGGCCGAGTCCGACGACGGCAGGGCAATGCCAACTCGGTCAAGGACTCTATCGTAACATTGGAGATGGTAGCTCAAGCCGCAGCAGTTGCAGGATATACCCTCGCTGCCAGAGGGTAGTAGCGACGGACAATGGCTGCATTTGGCGTCATCCGTTTGGATCTTAGTAAGAATCGAGTTGTTGCTGCGTTGACGGCCGACCGCGGCCCCGGACTCGTCAACAGAACTGAGCGGTGTTTGATTGCCGGAAGAACTGACCCGCCCTGAAAGCATCTCATCGCTGTCAATCAAGAATCGGGACGATATGCCACTCACAGTCTGATTCTGTGTCTCGGCTGGCTGCTGGCGAAAAGCCCGCTTGCCAAAATTGATCTCTCGCAGCGCCCTCCTGCGTTCAGAACTGATGCGCTTCAAAGTCAATTCCGACAGTCCGCGCGACTGCAACTTGCTTCCAGCGAAGTGATCGATCTCAACAAATGGATAAGTGCCAGCCTGCGACAGTGACGGGAGGCCGGAAGCGCTGCGCCGGCGGGATTCATCGCTATGCAGCCGCTTCTGCGACACAGAAACATTACCTGCGGAAAAGGAAGAAGCGGTGGCGCGTGCAGGTACGCGTGCAAAGGTGATGATGGATGCAGGTGCGCTCTTCGCAATATTCCCCGAAACCATTATTGCGTCGTCCACATCGCCGTCTTCAAAATCCACATCCCTCATCTCGCCATCCTTGAGTGCGTCCATGGAGGAACCACTATCGATAGTAGACTCGCTCGATGAGGGCCAGCCCCCAACATCCAAGTTGTCCTCGGCCTCTTCCTCTGAATCAGACAGCATATTCCGCTTTTGCCCAAAAGCGATGCTGTGTGAGGACACAGCGCTGTTCATGGGCCTGCTGCTCTCTGGAGTTATCAATTTAGACCCAGGCGCGTTGGATTCCACGACGCCCTTGCTGGGAAAAATATTGCTTGTGCCCAGATCAAACCAGAGGCGCCCTGACCGAATTGTCAACCCCGTAATGTCTGCCACATCGCTGGGCGCCAGGACGGCCGGCGTTTTGTTGCCAGGAACGGAGTTGCGCACTGGCTTGCGCTCGAGATTGCTCTTGCCCTGTGGCGACTGCATAATGGACGAGTCACCTTCGTGCTTCGCTCTCTGAAACTGCGCCACAAGATCCTTGCGCTTGTTGGCCGAGCGCGTGCCCTCGTACAGCATAAGGGGGCCCATGACACCGTCGAAAGCACTCGGCTTCTCCCAGGTAAGCTCCTTGTCGCTCCACTCGGACAGGTAATACACGCGTCCAGAGTTGTCCCTGATGGAGTTGACGATCTTTATTATGGTGGGTCGCGTCCACAGCGAGTCACTAGCGTTGATTGTTGCCATGCCGTTTGCATCATCAAGCTTTGGCGCAACAATGCATCGATTCCAGCCAAGCGTGGCCAACTGCCGCCGCGAATACGGTGATGTCTTCTTGACAGTCGACCGATCCGTCACCAAAGGGCTCAAGTCGTCAACCTCCCCGGTGACAAACACAAAATCTCTCACTCTGTCGTGAAAGGCAGACTCGCCGTGTGGAATGACCTCCATGGCGACGTCAATCAGAGTCGCCAAACCTTCGTTTTCAAATCTGTCGATTTCCGGGAGTCTGCTGTTGGCTATTCGCTCAAAGCGCAGGTTTGTGCACCGCTTCTCAAAGTCAATCAGGGCATCTTCACAGTTAGTTTCAGATGCGATCGGCTCCCAGGTGCAGTCCTCGACATTGTACCCCTTCCAGAAGATAAAATATTCGGTTTTAGTGGTGGTAATTCGCCTGCCGATAATACGATCAATTTCATACTCGTTGCTATTCTCCGAAGAGGGCGAGGGACTGGCAGGCATTATTGTGCGAGAATGATATAAAAATAGGTGTGAATAAAAAGTTGAATATAAGAAGGAAAATGTGGGATAAAAAAGAAAAGAATAGCAGTAATAGAATAATAAACGGAAATTATAAAGATGAAAGCAGAAAGCAGAAAGAATAATAAAGAGAGGCGACAATGGCACGCGAAAAGTGTACAATTGAAATCTGCTGGATATTTGGCCTGCTACAAACGGACAAGTGTTGCACAATGTGTTTATATACGTTTAGTTCACTGGTAAGTATTTAATAAATTCAGAAATATTGGTCACGAGGCCAAGAAATTACACGAATAAAGTGGCATGAATTGCATATGGTCACTAATTAAGAAAAAATAACCTTTTTCCCAAGCCACCCAAACCAAAACACAATAAATGCAAAAACGCAATTTACTTGATAGCAGCAGAAGCTGTTGGAAACAAATGTTGCTGGAGAGAGAAAATAAAGACTATATTGTGGAAACATATTCCTCAACTTTATAGAAACGCAAAAAAGTGAGTTTGAGCTGCTTATATATTCTGACTAGGACTGTGTATTTATAAAACCAGTATGCCTATTCAACTACGTACCCAAAAAATTGGCTTGGCTACTTGTTTAGGAAAGAACTCAAAAGCTATTTTCGCAAAATTAAAGAAAATGAAAAAGTGAGAAATCTCAAAACAAAGTTAGGAAGCAAAATAATGATTTGCAATTAATAAGAATGCTAAGAGTATTTTATAGGCCGATGTGGCTATTGGCAACCTAGGCAGCAGTATGGGTTGCTCATATGCTATTGGCGAAATCAGTTATATGCTACAATGGATTCCAATTTACAAGGCCATTTTAGAGACGAAAAAGTTTGTTGGAAATTAATCACTGACCAATCACATTTGAACTCAAGGATGTCCATGATGTCTATGATGGACATAACACCAACTATCATGACACCACTTTTCTTACCAGACAATCCTCAAGAAATGCTTTAGACAATGGTGAAATACCACCAACAATCAAGAAAGTAGCTGTTGGTGACAATATAATAAAATACTCAGCATGGCAATTGTATTGGTGTATGTGTGTGTGATACACATATTTGCCAAGAGTATTTTACTGACTATAAATACTTATTCTAATGCAAGACTACAAAAAATCCAAGCTTACATTATGACATTGCTGCTTGCATACAATACCACAACATTGAAATAGTATGTGGTTATGCTGTCACATGACTCAGCCCAATTCTGGTGTCACAATATTTGTAAGGGAGTATGTGAGTGAGTGAGCACAGAGAGAGCCCCAAGGCTGCTGACATCTGGAGACGCAGGGCCACATGATGTTATGTGAGAGCAGGTCTACAGTCCTCCCACCACTGATATTAATGAGTGTATTTAATAAATAGATTAAATTTCTATTCTATAAAAACAAAGAAGAAAGAGAACAAACGTTGTGTTAAAAAGTATATGTATTCGAAAAATGAACTAAAAGAAAGCTAATGGATGAACAGCCTCCACTGTTCATATTCATTAGTATTTATATGTGCATATGAATTCCCGCATATCCAAGTAGGAAATTAACTATGGCAATTGATTAATGAATCAATCGCGAGACAAGCCGCAATTCCTTGTATCACACAGAGGGTCTGTTGGTCATTATGCTCCTTGTTGAGCACACATTTACTTTGTATCCCAATGCCTATCAGTTGCCCTTTTATTTATGAGCACTAAGACTCACAGTCATAAAAAGGGCAAAATAATAATATTAATTAGTTGTGATACAAGAAAATCCGGCGTCCCCAGTGAAGTAATTCATTAATCAATCGCCATAGTTAATTCCCTACTTGGATATGCGGGAATTCATATGCACATATAAATACTAATGAATATGAACAGTGGAGGCTACTCATCCCTTAGCTTTCTTTTAGTTGATTCTTAATAAATACTTTTTATCGTAACACTGTAGGTTCCACATCTGGCATTGGTGTCACTCCTAGGTCCTCTGTCTTCATTGAGACGCTTTTATTGCTTATCACAAAGACCTTCATTTAATGACCAGAAAAGCCACTTAAATTGGCTGACCCACAGTAAAAAAATGTTTGCGTTAAACCTCCATACCATAATCAGTATTGGGGCCCATTTAGAGTTAGATGTCATTAATTTTCTATCAAAATAATATTGCACACTTGGTATAAACATGTAGTCTTTTATTTTCATAGGATGGGTGGTTTGACAATGTAGAGTTGTTTATAAGGGCTTCTCTTTTCCTTTTTAAAATTATAATTATTCTTAAAATACCGAAAGAAAAAGAAAATAGAAAGGCCACGTTTATTCACTTTTTTAAAATACTTAATACAAAGAGTATGTGCATCTGCTCACCCAGCAAGCTACATGTTATTTTTTTTTATAGAATCCCTCAACCACGAAAAATAGTATGGCAATATTTCCTAGCTTTTTCTCCAACTTTTTTTTATTTATTTATTATTACTATATTTTCTTTGACGAAATATTCTCCATGAAACTGCAACTTTTTACTAGGGGTACATTTATTGCGCTGGGTTCGCTTCTATCAATGTGTGGTCTGGCTTCCGCAGGCTTGAGTGAGTGCCAGAAAAACCTCGCCATTCAACAGACAAATCTATTTCAGCTTGACAGTATTCAGTTTGACTATGGCCACTGTGAAAAGGACGATACAGGAAATGGCTACAGCGCAGGTATTGCTAATTTCTGCACAGGAATAGGAGACCTGTGGGAGGTGATAAAAATCTACCACATAGCGACCAATGGCGACGACGAGTTTACAATTTTTGACGAAACTCTCCAAAAGTATGCCAACGAATTGAATGGTACGACTGCTGGCTTGAAGGATTTCTGCAAGGTGTGGAATAAGGCAGCTGCTGTGCAAGAGTTCATGGATGCACAAGATGAAATATTGGATAGTCTTTACTTTAAGCCCTCTCAAGAGTATTCTGACAAGTTGGGATTAAACCTCAGTATTAGCCAGGCTCAATTATATGACACATCTATTTCACATGGTGCTAGCAATAACAGTCATAGCCTTGGGGGCATGATTGAACTGACAAACAGCAGGATTGGCAGGGATATCGGAGGAAACTCCACCAGCACTCTGCAAATTGGCGAATTTATGGTGGACGAAATCGAGTGGCTCAAGGAGTTCCTCAATGTCAGAGCCGGGTACTCGAGCGAGGGTGATGCTACTAACAGCATTCAGTCATATCTGTACATGCTACAAAATGGGGATTATGCGTGGGGAGACTCTGTTTACACTTTGGACAATGAGAACAAGCAGATTCAGCTTTTATGCACCAATTCATACACGCCGAATAAGGACAGTGAATTGGATTATGTATCGCCATCATTGCCGCTATCGTCGTCATCACTACCGGTCACTATAACACAAAGTGAGGCAGATGGCCTTGATGGCCTGGATACAGCATCTCCCACTGTAGTAAATTTGTAGCAGCTACCGACATGTCAATTTTCATTTTTTAAAATTGGTGAATACAATACAATACTTGCACCTCCGCTTTGAAACATGCGAGTAAAGTCCAGTCGTTTTCCAATGCTAAAACCAATCTTTGTATAAAAGAAAAATGTGAGCTCATTTGTCTTACAATTGTAAATAATTTTTGCATTGTGTGTGTGAGAGAGTGATGGCTCAAGTAAAATTGAGGATATAAAGTAAGGAAAACCTACCCACAGTGCTTTCCTGCGAACTACTTTTTTGTCTATTTTATTTTTAGTAGCTCTATCTACAATATATTTTTTATTAAATTAATAATCGTGTTCATGACTTACTTTCAGTCGTTGCCGGCCCACATAATTGAACATATAGTTGGTTATACCATCGATGGTACTTATGCTTCAAAAGGGTTGTTCGACAAACCTGGCCAGCACCCAAACAAACTGTACAGGGAATTACTGCATACTTGTAAGTGCTTGCGTATATGCGTTCTTGCTCGGCAACACAAATGCCTTTCGCTTGAAATCGACCTGAAGTTAAAAAGCGTTCAAGCTGTCGACATGTTTTTAGTACCAGGCATCTTCACACCTCAAGCCGAATCCAACCAGCTGGCCAAGGTTGTAACGATGTATGTTGATTATATGAGTATCACTGATGGGAGCGCACATATGATTTTGGTTAACTCAGAGTATATAAACACACCACTATTTTCTGTGTATAAACTAAGAATACAGCTGAGTGATGGCTTTGGCAATATCCCCGAAAGATCCAATACTGAGAGCAATGTGCTACAGTTTGCCAACCTCATCAAGCAATTAATGCCCAATATATGTGATATTGAAATCGAGTACTGCATACCATGTGCTGTCGAAGCATCACGTCATCAGCATCTATTCAGCCAAATGGCAATGTCGCTTTACAAAGGTTTGCACACATCGCGTTTAATATTGCAAAAAACAGACTCACTCACTGCTTTCAAGCCTTACACAATAACGGGTCTCACACATTTATTTATATTGGTTGATAAGCATTTTGCAGCCAACATCGGCCTGATTCACAGGAGTGCGGGCACTTTGGTCGGGTTAAAACTGATTAGCAAGGATGATGCTGAGCAATTTCAAAATTTCTTGGTGAACAATGAAAATGGTGAGGCAATTGTATATCCGTGCATACAGTTTTTGGAGCTCGGAGACTGTGTCTTGGGACCACATGAGTCACGGCCGCTCACCAAGGGCACAATATTATTCCCTAGATTGCGCCAACTACTGATTGGTTCGGTGTATCCATTCGGTGATGACGTGCTTTTCCGAGGAAATAACGAGACGCTGGAATATCTTGAGCTGGCTCTGGACAACAAGGCAATTCAAATTCTCAGTAAGCACCGTATTTTTAGCAGTGGAAAGTACCCCAAGTTGCACACTGTTTATGTCAGCAACTCAAATGACGAAATAGAAATGTCATCTGTACTGAGCGATCGCGCTTATGCAAACTGTGCGCTTAAAATGGGCTCAAGCGCGCAGAAACTGAGCATCCGTGGTGATTATAAATACGCTGGGATAATTACACAAATTTCAAACAGCACTCTCATCAATATCCAGAGGCTGCAACTGATCAATACTGACTTAAAATTGTACAATGTCATTACCTTGCTCAAGGCAATACCGTGGCTGACCAGCCTGCATTGCCGCTCACTCATGATGGACGCGAATTTGAGCGAAATGGAGCCAGCCACATTGGTAGAGCACATGCGCGCAGTTTATTATCTACTTGGAAGCAATTTAGGTGAATGTTATGTTTGGCGCCAAGGTTTCCAATCGGCAAATGCAGTTGCTCTGTGTGCGTTTGCGCTGGCAGCAATTTGCCCGCAGTTTTATTTATTTGCCACGAATCATGCTCTAAAAGAAAAGGATATCCCGGGTATCAGAAACATAACCACACAATTGTTGGAACAGTCTGGCAATAATCCGACATACTCTCGCATCGCTTCATGTTTAAAACTGTAGTTGATTAACTGGTAGTGTTTTTATTAAACTCTTGTTTTGGGTGGGTGGTTGTTTTAAAAAATTGAAATGAAAATGAAAGTTTTCAATTGTTGGAAAATTATAAAATAGATCTATAGACCAAAGTCTGTTTTCTAAATTAGAAATTCAGCTCCTTGTTTTATTTACGCGCAAATCTTGGACCGACATTACGCGTAGCACGATCCCCAAAAACTGTCTATTTCAATTATAAGCATTTATTTTTCCACTGCACTTGTTTTTTGTTTGAATATTTGATTGGTGGTGTTAAAAATGTATGTGGCAGATGAGTTTTTTTCCGCCAGATTGACTCACAGATGGGTCGAGCAAAAAAGTTTTAAACATACACCTTTTTTATTTAGTCAGAATCAAATTACACAAGTCAACGTCATTCTTATTGGCACTTGTCTCTGTTATCTCGGCCCTCTTTCCTCTCAGAATAATACTCGGACGTAATAAAAGGAGCACGGTCCATTCCCTTTTTGGATATATTATTATTCTGATTGTTAGTTTGTTTGAACACAATAGCAGTAAGTGATGCGTCTATTTTATCGCAGTAAAAACTTTGAGTATCCATTTTTTTGGTATCCAGAGCTTTTTTTCGTTACTTTTTTGTCAAAAGTTAGAACTGTGTTTGTTACTCATTGATGGAGGACCAACAGAAAATATCACGCGTAGCGTATATGTTTTGTTTTGGCGTACACATGTAGAAATAAAAACATGGATGGCAGATGGAAAGAAAAAGAAAAGGAAAATATTAATGATCAACGAAATATCTTTTTTTAGACTTTGGATGTTGAGCGCATATCCGCTCTCTTTCCTTGTCGGATTTTGCCCGCTGCTGCTGCTGATGTTCTTTTTCTACTGTCAGCACAAAAATAAAAAAGGGAAACGATATAAAAAGGATATGAAAGGCTGCACACAGCAGACCATTTCCCTCTTCTTTTTTTGTGTTGGCATTCACAAGCGTAATTATTTTATTCTTGCAGTCGACAATCTAAAATATTATATTGTTTGTTTTCGTTTTTTTTACTCGTTTTCTTTTTTATTCTCCCTTTTTCATCTATTATTTCTATTACCCGTATAATTAAGGCGTATTAAAATAAGACCGTTTGTATCCGACGCCTCTTTATCCCCCTCCCCCTTTTTTTACCCTCGTCTTATTTCCCTGTATACCAGTCTCTACAACAAAAATTTTTTATTCAAACTTTTTGTTCACCTTTTTCACTTCTCTAAACATTTATTTATCTGCAACTTTTTGTTTTTCTTCCCCTTCCTTTTTACTCGCACTATCCTTTTTTGTATTAACCTCTCCATCATCCCCACTCACATCCACTCTCTCACTAACGTATTCGCAACAGTACATCCATAGACCTCCCGATACAAAAAAAGCAAGACCATTTAAATAAGAAAAAATGGGACTCATGAAAAAGATCAAGGGCTCGTACATGTTTACGCACATGGAGGTCGGCAAGTACACAAAGCGCCGAGGAGCCAGCACCTCGCGCGAAAGCATTGACGCGCACGCCACCACCGCCGGCCATGGAACCATCCGCGCAGCCACCACCGAGTTCATCAGTGAGTTCGACCGAGCAGCCGAGGAAGCGCAGAGGGAGGAACAATGGCAAGCAGAGGAGCAGAAATGGCGCCAGCACAGACACGAGCAAAAGCTACGCCACGCTCGTGCAAACAGCATCGAAACCCTATCAGCCGACCACCTCGAAGAGGCGCACTCTGCAGAAATCCACCAGAAGCAGAAGCAGCCGGCGTTGAGCCGGTATAAATCATCCATGGAGCTGTCCGCCTCCCAGCGCTACCAGCAGATTCCGCCGGGCGCCAGCAGCGGCTCTCTTCCGTATGCCTCAGTGCAGTCGCCGCAGTCCGGCTCCTCCCGCACCACCGCTGTGTCGACCCCGCAGGCGTCGCCGTTCGAGGGAGACGCGGGCGCCTTTGACGCTGAGCCTGTGCCGCGGTCCCGGCCCAGGGGCGCGCGCACAGCGCGGTCCAACATGGACATGCAGTCTGTGTACTTTGCGCCCGGCCGTAACGTTACAATGACCAACCAGCAGAAACAGCGCGTGTCCGTCTACCCAATGGCTGATGAAAAGCCGCAGTTCAATAAGAATTCGGCGTCATCCATGGACTACTACGTGTTTACGCCGACGCGCCGCGATCTGTCTGCGATGCCGCTGGACTCGAAGCGCAGGACTAGGGGGGTTATTGCTCCCGAGGAGATGATGGCGCCGGAACTGCATCAGAATGAGGTTGATGCGGAGGCTGAGAAGGCGTCGAAGAATCCGTTTGTTGAGCGGAGGATGAAGGCTAGAGTGCTGGTTAATGAGGGCTGGGATAGTGCATCGCCGTTTACTGATCCGCTTATTGGGTCTGGCCGCGGCGGTGTTGATCCAAATGACCCTCGCAAGTACCTCAATACCCCTATGTATGCCAACCAGGCAGGCACTGGCGGAGTGGATCTGCTGGCATAACCTTTTTTCTTTTTCTTTTTTCTTTTCTTTTTCTTTTTATTTCGTTTGTTTGTTATTCTTTTTCTTTTTTCATTTCATCTATTGTTTTTATGTCGTTAATTAGACGCCTAAACCCTATTATATTTTACTCTGGCGCTAAAACAATTTTATACACACAAATGAACAACGGTACCTGCAAAAAAATAATTTCAGATATTTATTTTCCGTATGACATTTTTATATTGACTTCGACAATTTTGCGATTAATCGCCGCTTATTTCTTGCATTTGGGAATGTTGAATGAAGACGACGAAATTCCGCATTGAAAATCATTCGATCATGGTTTCGGTTTTCGCATTTCAGTTTTTCAGTCAGCTAACTGGGCATGGGTGGCCAGCCACAAAGCCCCTTTTTGAATCATTTCATTTATTGTTTATTTTTGTGCATAGTCTCGCCGGATATTCCGAGATGAAATGGTTAAAGCTGTAAAGTATATTTTACCCTGCCTTCTTCATTTTCTCTGCTTTACGCCGGCTATCTGTATCAGGAAACATGAACTGAGCTGAAAAAGCCAAGTGTTTTGTGCAGAGCAATGCTTGTGACAAGAAAAATTGAAAGAGCCTACCTAGGCTTTAAGAAAGTAAAACATCATGCCAGCCCCAAGCCATTTTTTCTGCTCAAATAAAAAATACGAAATATTTGCGGATCTTCCGAGAAAAAGGAAGAAAAAACATGTGGGAGATTTGCCATGCTAAAAAAGAAAAAACCCGCATAAAAACGAATTAATGCAAAATAAAAATCGACCCTGCAATGATTGGATGCTCTGAGAGTAAGCAAAAAAAATAAGCAGGTGATGTTATTTTAGAAGCACATAAATATTTTATGCCAAACATGAAAGCAAGAACAAAAAATAACCGCAACGACGAATGCTTTAAATAACGATAAAAGTGGCTCCTTGCATGGATGTAAAGAACTAATAACCCAGAAAACATCCTCATCCTCTTTTCTCTCTCTCTCTCGTCCTTATCACCCGCAGTTGCTGGCCATTGTTCTTTTTTATTTTCTTCGCTCGACGCCTACTGTTACCATTATCGATTGTTTGCATATCAACACACACACGGGTACTATACAGGTGCGCTCACAGAAGGTAACACCATCCCAAATAAGGGTTCATTTTGCATTCAGAAGCAGTAACATCCGCATCCGCATCAGCGTCAGCATTAGCACGCATCTTTCCAAACCCCCACCTTCCGTCTCTTTATTCTTTTTCAAAAGAGGCCCAATCTTCCGGTTGTACACCGAAAAAAAGGCCTCTCCTTCCCCTCCCTTCCCTTTACAAAAAAGGGGGAGAGGAGTGACTGACTGGACTTGAGCCTGACCTTGAGTTGACTTGGCTGTGTAATTAATCGTGGGAGTTCGTTGTATGTGCTGAATTAATGGGCTGTGGCCATTCACTACCGTGTAGGTTTTCTATTCGACTTTCATCCTGCTCATTTTTTTCCACCTCTTTTTCTTATCCTCCCCAAATTGTTCTTACTATTTCGCTTGTCAGCTCTTGGTAAAGTGAAATAAAGTAAACAATAATCAACTCAAAATTAACACCAGGAGGAGAACAGGAATCTATCTTATGGTGTGGATTGGATTGTCTTCCTTTTTTCCTATCCACCAGTGCTTTTCCTCTTTCCACTCCACCTTGTTCACTGTACATCTTGTTTGGCTTTTTTGGGAATAGGAAGAAGCGCTTTCCCTTTTCTTTCACTTTTCTCTTTTTCTTTTCTCTGTACTAACTTTACGCTTTTACTTTTTTATTTGTTTGGTATTTTTCGAGTTACTTGAGCTAGTCGCGTCGTAGATAACCAATACGCGTACTGATATTTACTCCAGCCATTAGTGGCAGTATCAACACCACTACTACTTTGCGTCTTTTTTTGTAAACAGATAAGCACACACCGACAGCACTAAAAAATCAGCAGCAGCAGTAATAGCAAGTCCAATCAGCACAGAGGGTTGCTGTAGATAACAAAATCATGGACGTCGTAATGCAGTACCTGGACACCTACGTGTTCGACAGCGTCTACAACAAAGCAGCGCTCCTCACATCGACCTCACCACTGCCGCGCGATAGCCTTGTTCGGCAGTCCCTGTCCCTCTTTGTATTCATCTACACGTACATTATCTCGTTCTACTTTGGCACAGCCGGACTATCGTACAGATTCCTCTACGATAAGAAACAGGAGCAGCACCCAAAGTTCCTCCCCCGGCAGCGATTCATGGAAATGGCATGCGCGTCGCGCGCCCTGCCGCAGATCACAGTAATGACGATTCCGTGGATTCTTGGGGAGATCCACGGAAAGTCTCTGGTATACAAGGAGTGGGATAAGTACGGGTACCCGTATCTGTTCTTTTCTGCAGCAATGTTTATTTTATTCACGGATTTCTGCATTTACTGGGTCCACCGGCTGGAACACCACCCGTCGGTGTACGCAAAGTGCCATAAGCTGCACCACAAGTGGATCGTCTGCACACCTTACGCGTCGCACGCATTCCACCCAATGGACGGATACTTGCAGTCCATACCGTATCACCTAGCGGTATTCGTGTTCCCAATGCACGAATACGTTTACTTGGGCCTTTTCGCCTTTGTAAATGTCTGGAGCGTAATGATTCATGATGGCGAGTATGTGTCGGATAACCCAATTGTCAATGGCGCAGCGCACCATACGATTCATCATTTGTACTTTAACTACAACTACGGACAGTTCACGACACTGTTTGATCGCCTGTTTGGAACTTATCGGAAGCCCTCAGCGGAGATTTATGATCGGTCAAGGAGAAACTCCAAGCTGGTGCAGAATGCCCAGGCTACATTTATTGACAATGCGCTCCCGTCGCTCGAAATTGTCGGCAACAATAATAACAAAAAGACCCAATAAATTAAGGGGTGTTTTTTCTTCTTTCTCATTTTTTTACACTTTAACTAAATTCAATTAATATTTTCATAATTTTAAAACAATCCCAAAAAAAAGTGTGCAGCAAATAAAAAAACCTCCACACACCATTAATTATTTTTCAAGGTGCTCTGAACGCTTAGCGCCGACGCCGGGTTGCGGATCATGTGGTGCAGAATATGGTATACAATATCCTTGTTTGTCCAGTAGCTAAAGTGCGCGTGGAATCCCAGCCAGTACTCGTTGTGTAAATGGCGCTTATTAAAAGACACTATGTAGTCCATGCGTTCCAGATACGGCAGTGGATGCTGGTCCTCACCGTCCTCACCATGGGCTGTGTCAACAGCGCTCGGCAATAGGGGGTCGGAGATAACAGGACAAGAGTGCTGTTGCGCGAGTTGATCTGACGCCTGGGTGTGCGCAGGTGCTGGAGTTAGGGCTGGGGCTGGGCTTGGATCCGTGGTGTTGCGACGCGAGGGCAGCGATGAACCCGGCAATGATGAATTAGCACGGGTGTTGGGCTCGCCTTTATGCGCTTGCTGAGCTTCTTGATCTTCCGCCAAGTAATGCAATAGTGCTGACGGCAATGATATGGTCCTATGCACAAGAACACCAACCGGATTGCCACCATCTCCACTGCCATCACTATCAACCATTGACGAACTATGCCCCGGCTCCACTTTCCCATCAAGAACACCATGTGCAGGACAAACTGCTGCTGCCGCTGGTACCAGCATGCCGTTAGTATTAATAGGTACTGTGTTAGTTACCCTGATGGGCGCACCGGCCCTGGTGCCACCCAGCTCCCTGGCAGCCATCAGCCTAGACGACAACGGCAATCCTTGCGACTCGGCCATCTGCTGATCACGGTCCGGCGGTCTCGAAGGCCCAAAAAGATGCATAAGCTGGTCCAGCATATCATCTGGCGTCATACTGCCGTTACGTCGGCTGCTCTGCCGCCGAGCATCTGGCTCGGCCGATCCTGTCGTCAGTCGCTCGTTTTGCTTCCCCTCCTGTGTCTGCTGCGGCGACAGTTTCTTCGCGCCAATTATAGTGTGCGCGGAATCGCCGGTTACCATTTGGCTGGGCGGTTTGACCACTGATTGCCGCGCTCTCGTATGACTAATACTTGCGCGCTCACCCGATGGCCGCAGTGCCGGTGGCGATGGTGATTCGGCGGCCGATGTAGATGCTGCCATGGCACCCATGGTGGCCGCCAAATGCGATTTCATGGAAATCGACACGATGGAAGAGGAGGACGCTGATCTGGATACCCCAGCGCCGCCGCTATCGTTATCATCGCTCGAGTCAATCTCTTGACGCACGCGCTCTTCGAAAAACGTCTTTGTCAACGCATTTTTATCATCCGATGACATATTTGCGCTATTACTCGGTAAACTGCAGCGACGATGGCTGCTGCCGTGGCTATGTCGACGCCCGAACGTAAATGATTTTAAACCAGGCAGCAGCCTGGAAATCCCTTTCTGCTTCTCCAAAGCATCCTCATGTTGCCCAGTATCGCCATCTTCCAGTGCGCCCAAGGAAGAATCACCATGCGCCGGTTTATTTCCAGCAGAGGCACCAGCAGGTGCAGTATGGGTGTCTGAAAATATGGGTCCAAAGAGTGATAGGCGACGATGACGTGGCGGTTTCTCCTGATCCACGGAGCTCCTCCGCTGTGCTGTCGTGACTTTGCTCGCCACAGCATGTATCGGCAAAGCAACTGATGATTTCGCCGCCCACCGCATGGCATCCACGACGTTCTTGCCAAAATCCGCCATACTCTCGCCCAACAACGATGAAATCCGCCTCCCATTTTTCGCCGAACCCGCCGCTGCCGTTGCCGCCGAACCCTGCGCATCACCGGTCCCCCGCCCAAGGAGAGCCCCCACCATCGATTGTGTTTCCATCTGGCCGACAGTGATGGGAACAGCGGGGGAATTCGCGTAGTATTCGTCGCATAGTGGCTCTGTCCTGTACCCGAACGGATCGAATGGGTGGAAGATATTGTGATACCCGACTGCGCCCATATGGTATTCCGTCATGCATTGGTTTCGGAAAACCATACCGCCGCCCATCGGTGATCCTAAAGTAAATAGCCTATCGGGACTGAACCTAAGACTAGGCAAACCCATGTATCTCTGCGCCTCGTGCGCTCCAAAATTCCCTGGTTCTTCTGAATTAAGCTTGTCCATGTAGTACAGGATCTCGTAGCATATTAGGCCGCCCAGGGAGTGCGCCACGAGGCTGATGGAACCAGAGAATGCCGGATTACTGGTCATGAAGGTGTCGTAGGCGGCGTTTAGCTTGTTGATGACGGTTTTGAGCATAATACGGCCGTGGAAGGTTGAGAAGTAGTAGAGGATGTCGCCGATAACCTCGTTGTCCATTGTTCTAATCCACGGTATCGATGGCAGCGTAGCCTTGATCATGCGCCTACACAAATAAAGATAAACCCCAACAAAAATAAGTTAGTTTACATGCAGCAACAACCCAACAAAACTAAGTGAATTTTTTATATAAACCATTATCATGACTTACTGATTGGTAGTCTCCAAGGCCTGTATGTCTGCGTGGTAGTCAATCGGCATCATCTCCACATACGCATCGGTATCGGCGAACTCGCGCTTACAGGTTTCTTGGAAAATTTCACGGAATCTCTTTGCTTTTTTTAAAAACGATCCCTTGGGTCGCTCGTCTTCGCGATGGGGTCCGGTGCCGGGAACCAGAATGATAAAGTGCGTTACTGTCCGGCTCTCATCCGTGATATTATTGTTGCTGGTGTTGCTTTGGCTGTTACTACTGTTGAGCATGGATCCGGTCCCGAATGCCCCAAAAGAACTTGGCAATAGGTCGCGGGAAAACAAACCTGACCCTCTTCGCATAGTCAATGTATTGATGAAATTTTTAAAAATAACAATAAATAGAATTAACAAAAAAAATGAAAGAAAAGATATTTTTGACGTTACAATTAAAAAGGCTTGACTGGAAAGTAAAAAAATAGTTTTATTTGTGGTACAATTAATAAAATAGAATAAGTATGCTTATGCGCAGCAAAAAAAAGCAAAAAAACGAAAAGAGAACAAAGAAATTAAGAGAAACATGTGGACCACACGAATGGAGCATAGAATACTATAGAATTAGCGGATAAGGGTGAGTGTCTACTTAATAGTACAAAATAAAAAGGGTTTCCACCTTAATATTCATTTCCTTGATTTATTTTTTGTTTTTTTTCCACCATTTACAAATCTATAAAGATTGAAACAATAATGAGTAAACCAGAAACATGGAGACCGTAAACCCTGTGGAAAAAATCAATCCTCCAAGTTTAAAATCAACTGTGCACTATAAATTTTATTTGAAAAGTCTTTTTTTCAGAGAGTACTTGATACTTGCACGATTCCATTTTGAGAAACAAAACTAAAATTGCAAGGTGGAAGCGGAACTTGAATTTTTTTGCTTTTTTCCCACACGATTCAAGCTTTTTTATTGTAGATATTATACTATTGTTTTTTGCTCGTGACAATGCATAAGAATGCACATTAACTGGACTCACGGAAAATGGAAGAAAAACGTCGCATAAGCGTTAAACAACCGATTTTACGAATAAATCAGCTTTTTTATTTTACCCCTTAATAATAATATTTGCGCAATATTCCTCTCGTCACTTTGATAAAAAAACATTATATTCGATCTGTACGCATAATGACCACCACAGCCATAAACACAGAGCCCAATACTCCAGACAACCAGCAGCAGCAGCTCGCCCGTATCAAGTTTCGAGTCAGTGACGGGCGCACAAGCACAGGCGAGTTTGATACAAACACAACCCTATCCGAACTGCGCACGTTCATCGAGTCCAATCTGAACATGTCCCGCAACAATACCGAGATATCACAAAGAATCCCTGCACAAGTGTTTGACAAAGAATCAGACGCAAGGACATTAAAAGATCTTGGACTGACTCCCACCGCAACCCTGCTTTTGTGTAATTGGGAGCAGAGACGCCAGGAAGCAGTGAAGGAAAAAGAAATCCCTAAACCAAAGCCAAAGGCCTTGGATGACGACGATTTGGTGATAGAGGACTATTGGAATGTTGTTAATAGTAAAACGTATCTTTACGTTTATGCAGCCGTTATTGTTGCTCTGGGAATTGCGTTGACGTTGTTCTTGACTCCGAGCAAAAAGGATTCACCATAAAAATGTTTTATTGTGGTGACTGTCGGAGAAAATATTTGTTGAAGGGCAGTAGCTAACAGCTGCTGGTTCAAATCTCGAACATTGTGTTTTTTGGTCAACCCCACAACCTAGAAGAATCCAATGCCGATAATCTCGCATTTTACATTTGTCTTGTCTGGATATTTCTAAGACCTAAGAAAGGCGTCATCATTGTCCTTTTCCCCTCTTTTTGCATTTTTTTATTTTTCAATTGAAAGTTTTATTTAATTTCACTTTGCTTTTATAAGCCTGCGGACCGCAATTCGAAAACCACGGCGACAACGACAACGACAACGACAAAACAAGGCGACAGTGCTGCCCAATATATTTTTGACGACAATTCTGGCTGCATTGAACAGGCACACACTCGCTCATTTACTCACTCACAAGCGGAGAAATAACGACCGGCTAAATATTAACTGAAATGACCTTTGGGTCTGAGCTCAAGGTACGCGCGCAGACGGAAACATGGGTGCTATTAAAGCAGAGTCGTGCGCATTCGGATTTGCATTCGAATTGGCATTAACCCTTGCATTTACATTTACATGTCTTTTTAATTGTCTGTCACCGCATTAATCGCCTCCTTTCTTGTACTACTGTTATTATCATCATCATCATCATTCTTCTTCTTTAGCCAAACGAGTTTGGCGCCATCAACGGACACATAGAGAAGCAGCTCGAGGTGTATGGCGGGCTGTCCAAGCTGCTAGCCGAGAAGGCAGCGGCCGAGAAGGAGTACGGGCGCAAAGTGCTGGAGCTCGCTCGCGTGTTCCAGGGCCAGCTGGCCACCATCTACGAGGCCAAGGACGGCGCAGGCATCGGCAGCCTGGCGCTGACCGAGGCCGAGATAGCCGCCACGACGCCCCTCGAGCTGCTGCCCGCAGCGCACTCATGGGCGGTGCACCTGGAGGAGGAGGGGCGCCTGCACGTGCAGCTGGCGTCCAAGCTCAGCGGCGACGTGGCCGATGAGCTGCGCCAGGCATTCGACAGTCTAGGCGACATGCGCAAGCGCACCCTGGACTTTTACCAGCGGCTGCTCGCCGAGCGCGACCGCGCGTTCGACCAAAAGGACAAAGCGCGTGCGCAGTACGAGGCATGCGCCAAGGCCCTGGCTGCGTCGCGGCAGAAGCAAGAGCGCGCGACAACGGAGAAGGAGCAGGAGAGGCACCGGCAGAAGGCCGATCGCGACGCCAGCGCGCGCAACCAGACAAAAAACGAGTACATTTTGCAAGTGCACGTCGCCAACCACGTCAAGCAGGCGGTCAACTGCTCGTTCACGCCGCGCATCATGGACAGCATGCAGGCCATTGGCGAGCAGCGCGTCGCCACTGTCAAGCGCCTGGTCGCGCAGATGCTCGATATGCAAGAGGCCGCTGGCAGCGAGATGGTCGCTGGCACGCAGCGCGCAGCGCACATTGTTGGCCGCATTGCGCCCGACGTTGACTCGGCGCAGTTTGTTCGCCGGCGCGTTGAGGCCGGCGCCAGCAGCTGGGAGGAGCCGCCGGACTTCCGCGTTGTCGTCGATGTGGCCAGCGGCGAGAGCGACGGCATGGTGCTTGACGGCGAGAGCCAAGTGGTGCTGCGCAACATGTCTCTGCAGGCGCAGCGCGAGAGCGCGCGTGCCGAGCAAGAGGCGCAAGAGAAGGGCCGGGATGCTGAGCAAGCCCGGCAGCGCGCGCTGGCCGGCGGCAAGGGCAGCGAGCGCGAGCTGGAAAAGGCGACGGACGCCGAGAGAGAGGCCACACTGGCTGAGCTCCAGGTTGTGCAGCACCAGGCGCTGCGCATGGCCGTCGAGCAGCAGCTGGGCCACATTGACAGCGGCAGCCCGCATGAGTTCAAGGCGTTCACCGTGGCCATATCCAAGATATGCGACTACTGCGGCGAGTCCATTGGCGGGCTTAACCGTAAGGCCGGCAAGTGCGCGCAGTGCGAGTACACGTGCCATGCCAAGTGCCAGATCAAGGTCCAGCCGAACTGCCCGGGCCGCGACCCCGAGGCCAAGAGCGGGTTCTTGGGGATGTTTGGCACAAGGCGCGGCACTAAGAAGGGCAAGGGCGAGCGGCAGCGGTCGCATTCGACAGCATCGTCTGACGGGTCAAGGCCATCGACCGATGCAAACGCAGCAATGGCACTGGGAGCCGCACAGCCGAACCTGCCAAGCCTGCCGCCACGCCAAATCCAATCGCAATCGCAATCGCAACCACAGGCCCAAAACCAAACCCAACCCCAAAATCATTTGGGGATGCTCTTCAACGCTTCGTCGGCAGGGCCCAGCACGGCCAGTAACAGCGCCTCGCAGATGTCGCTGGGCCCGCGAAACTCGCTATCGTACGGCGCTGCAGCCATGCCACGTGCGTCGATATCGCTGCTGGCCGACAGCGGCAACGGTAGCGGCAGCGGCAACGGCAGCGGCAACGGCAACGGCAACGGCAACGGCAACGGCAGCGGCAGCGGCAACGGCAACGGCAGCGGCAGCGGCATGGGCAGCGGGCCCGTATCTCGCAGCAGCACAGTCAATAGAACCACAGGCATGGCCGCCCTGGTGCCCACAACAAGTAATACTGATAGCGCGCTCGTCCCAATGCTCTATGGCTTTGAGGGCGACAACTCGACGACATTGACGGTGTGTGCGGGCGACCGAGTGCGTGTGACAGAGGCCGACAGCGACGGCAGCGGGTGGACAGAAGTTGTGCTCGGCAGCGGGCAGCAGGGCCTGGTGCCCACATCATATATCGACATGAGCGCGTACCGGCCGACACCGCAGACTGTTCCTGCCGGGCGAGCGCTGATGCCGCCACCGATACTCGCCCAAAACCACTCGCCCAGTGCTGGTCCGAATAACTTGAGTCTAGTCCCAGCTACAGCGAGCAGCGCCGAGCATGTGGTTGCGCTGTATGATTTTGCAGGCCGCGACACTGATGAGCTGTCGTTCAATGCTGGTGACCGCATCCGCGTGGTATCGAGGGACATTGGCGAGGGGTGGCTTCAGGGCGCGCTTGGCGGTCGCGAGGGCCGGCTGCCTGTCAGCTACGTCGAGAATGAGTAGAGAGAAAATATATAATATTATGTGGTTACAATTAAAGGCATCATCAAATTCATCATCGCAAGTCTGCACTCATCGTTTAATACATGTATTTACACTTGTAATTTGGAATTGAAATTTAGACTATACTAAATTATGCTGTCAAGGTCGGGCGTGCACATGAACTGCTGGTCAACATTGCCCAGCATAAAGGCAGTGTGGGTGGCGCTCGTATCCAGCGCAAACAGCCCGCGCATGAACTGGCAGTTGGCGCCTCGCGAGACGTCAAGCAAGATATCGCCGATCTTCATTCTGACAGCGCCCGACTTTAGCACAACCAACGTGCCGATGCGCCCGTCGGCCAAATCACCATTGGCTTCGCCTTCATCCAGCTCACCATTGTCGTCAGCGTCGGGTGTGTCGTCGCTGATGTCCAGCTTGGACAAGTCGGGCTTAATGTCCACGCCCAACTCGAGCTTAGCAATGTCAGGCTTGACGTCGGCATCGAGGTCGACAACCGAGGGCTTGGCCTCTGCCGACCGCCCCGCTGCCCTTGCAATCTTGCGCTGCTTGGCAGTGAGCCGCCGCTGCAAGACTTCAGGAGCCAGCTCAAAAATGGGAAGCTCGGGAACCTGGAACACCATCATCTTGTCTTCCAGACCCTCTGCCAGCTCGCCACTGCAATCGCCATTCTCAGCCTTGGCCTGTGCTGTGAAAAAGGAGGCAGCACCAAAGTCCAGCTTCAACCTGCCCATTTCTTCCGCCGCGCTGATGGCCATCTCCTCTGTCTGCACCTCCAGGGCATCTACTGCCGTCGCGTCGTTGTGATCCGTCACCATGACGACCTGCGAGTCCGAGTTGCCGCCCCTCGAGTCATCGACGCCAAACCCAGACTCTGGCTTGGCGCCGGCTGCCGACGTCATATCGACACCAGACACGCCAGGCGGCAACAGTGCGCTGCCGCTGCCGCCGCCGCCGCCGCCCATACCGCGCCTAGAGGATCCGCCGCTAGACAATGACGCTGGACCCTGGGCAAACGGCCCAGTGATTGCCTGTATGAGCTCGACCCTACCCCTGCCCCTGCCTCTTCCCCTGCCCCCTCCTCTCCCGCGATCCATGTACATGTCCCCGCGCTGCTCTCTTTTCACCTCGACGACAGGCTTGGCTAGAAGCAGGGCTGAGGGCTCTTTTTTGTTCCTTCTGGCTGGCACGTTAGGCGTGAATACCATCTTGCCTCTTCCTGACACTGAGGCTCCGGGCACTCCCGCTGCTGCTGTTGTGCGCTCGCGTATGGAGTGCAGTCGCTCGTTGGGGATCGACCCGCTGGCCGAGGGCAGGCCACCACCACGACCTCGCCCGCGCCCACGGAGCGAGCTTCCTCCGCGCATGGATCCTAGCTGTGGCTTCTGGTCTGCTGCTGCTTCTGATGGTGGTGGAATGTCAGGCATTTTGTGTTGAATTTGTCCTGATTTGTGAATGAGAAATTAAAGCTGATTGAAAACAGCCAGGCAGAAGAAGAAAAGAAGAAAAGAAAATGAACGGAGAAAAAAATGTGGGTTTTGTTGCTTTTTCAAAACTTGATTGGGCTGAATCACTAATAATTTTTCAAACCGAAAATTTTCGAGATGGCTATTTGCGCTGTGTTTAACAAACCATTGAAATCAAGAGTTGCCTGCTAAAGAAAGTATTTAAAACGTTTGCCCATTTGGCTACTCTGTCCACAAAAACTAATTGATACCACATGTATTTGTTCATTTTTGTTTTTTTTTACACAGACACTTGTCAAAGTGAGCGCTGCTTGATGCAAACAAGTTGCATTGGTATGCAATGTGACATACGCGAAATACCAAACAGAAGCAATGCGTTTTGGCAATGGCAAGACACCCAGTATCATACATGGCTACCTCGGTTATACATGACAATGATGTGTGGATTATTGACAATATGGGTATGTGCTCAAGAGTTTTACAAATTGTACAATAATGATATGTTTATAATCATGATGAGAATAAAATGAAATAGGATGACATAAAATACTATAAAACGTCCACAGCTTGTATATTAAGCAAGAAAAAAACACAACCTGGCCTGTTGTTGTCTTTTTAGCAATTAATATCTTCGTGTAATGTTATGAACAAATTGGCCAATATTGAGAACGTGCTGTCTGCAGTGCTGGTTTTATTTATGCCGGATTTTCTGGTGCTTTGGCTACCTAGTTCATATTCGATCCGTCAGCATTATTTTGAGGTATAAAATTAATGTGTACCGCAAAACAGAGTTGCTGCTATGTATAGTGCTGTAGTGGCGCCCGCAAAACCAAATACATATAGCGCTGGCTTTGTCAAATAAAAGGTATAACGATTGGTAATAACAAGTTGTGTAATCAGGTCATTAATGAAAACAAGGTATACTGTAGCTGCAAAAGTGGAATGGACGAGTGCTTTGTAAAATAAATATTTCCTATTAGTCAAGGTTTTTTAAACTATTACTGTATCTATAAGAAGTAGGCCCAAAATTAAACCCCGAGCAAACGAGGTTAGACCCTTAACAAGGCTCGGCTCGGCAAGATCTCCCCTAAAGTGGCTTCAATGGTGTACAAAGCACCCATGGCTGTTGTCAGCCCGTAAAACTGACACGCAGCACCATCATGATCAATTTTTTGTTTTTATGTGGGTCCAACGATGATTGCATGGCTATCGATACTGGATTGTAAAAGTTGGATTGAGTGTAATCACAATTATGAATAAAAAACTAAAGTTACAATGACAAAATATACAGTGTACTAATATAATAAATGAGGAGGAAATAAAAAAGAAAGCGGTTTCTAGATTATCTAATTTTTTTGCCTTATTTTGAAATGCTGTCTACATTATTTTGTTTCGTTTCTATTTTTTTCTTTCATTTTTAGTTTCATTGTTTGGATTGTATATTCTCATAATGCGTCAAGATGACAAAGATATCCATAAAGGCCAAGATGCAAGACTGCCTTCTTTACTTGTTTTTTGTGGGCACCCTTTTTTTGCTGTATATCTATATTCAATGTAATGGTTATCGATTTTGGTGCAAATGTCAGCATGTAGTGTTGTTTTTCTGCACTTGTGTCATTCTTATATTTGGAATTGGAAGCGGCTGCAAGGACACCCAGTTGACTGCATCAATAACACTGGCATGAAGGTCTTCAAGAATCCAGTAAAAAGGTACACTGAAGGCTTTGTTAAAATGCGTGCCTTGGCGCACATTTAAACAAAGAGATAAATAGGGGGGCGAGCATTGGGATTGCTCATTATCATACGTACAGGTCTGCCAAAACAGCAATGCATGCCAATATTAAATTATATTGCTAGTATGTCTTTAAGTGTGGGAGTTATGTATTGATATGCGTGTTAATAGACTAATAATAAAAATAAGAAACAATTTAAACATGCACACGTTTCCTTTGATGGTGCATACACCCTACTGGCTGACTGAGTGAGCATGTTGCTTGCTTTTGGATACTGTTATACAGGCACACATATTAATACCTACAATACCGCTGACATGTCGGTGAATTTCAAATTAGCTTGGCCATGTATTATCCACCTGTTTATTATCAATATCATTAGCATTATTATAATACATATCCATTGTTCTTCCTTCGGATTCATTTTTTCTTTATAAAACCCCCCAAAATATGGCAATGCATGTATAGAGTATGGCCACAGACATTGTTAGGCACACATTTCCTTTGTAGCCCAACACCCATCAGTTGCCCTTTTCTTTGTGGGCACTAAGACTCACAGTTATAAAAGGGGCAAAACAAAAACATTTATGTTATCTTTCTTCTCTTTTCCTAGTTTTTAGATAATATAAAATCTGTCTAGCTATTCAATTCACATGTTAATAGCATATATATACTACTGGTACCATTTTGTGGACATACAATGCCATTTTGATATGTCTCGAATAAAATAGCTCAATTTATAGGGCTATATGAGCACACAGCTCCATGCATTAAGATATTTTATTTGAGGATGATTAAAAAGGGCAACTTACATCCACACAATAGCAACAGTAGCATATATGAGCTGAGGTTCTACAAGTTCCCAAATTACAAGCAAAAAAGTTGCCTCTCACAGTTTGTAACTAGATACACCGACAAAACCTAAAGGTTGTTTGTACTCTGCATATGACATGCGCGATTATTACCAATTTCAGCTGTATTTGATTGTTTACAGATTTGGTTATTTAAGGCATGAAATCACAACAAATATTCCTGTGATTCCTTCTTCCCCTTGCGTTTGCTTTTGAAATTAATTAAATAATATACTCGACTACCCCCTTTATCAGATGCAAAAGCAATTGAACATTGTTGGGTTTTTTGTATTATTGATGAGCCATCAAATAACGGGCCTGAATATACAATTACTTCTGGTGTATCAAGGCAATTAACTTGTCCACTGCCTAATTTGCATAAATCATTGTAGGTCGATTTGGCACAGTAAATATTTTAACCAGACTCTCGTTGGCATCAGTGTTTAGTGGTATTAAAGTAAAATTACAAGATAAAAATATATGACAAATAAATAAACAAAATGGTCTGACAAGGCACATGTGCACATGAGCAGTGACAAAATGGCAAAATGGCAAAATAAAGAAAAATAGACTCATGTTCTGGGCTTTTCTTTTGCTCAGCATTATTTGCTCATCTGGGCACTGCTACTTTGATTGATCATTCAAAATGGCAGAGCACACACTGCCAAAGAATTTGGAGACGGGTGTTAGAAAATAGCCTGTTATTTTGTTTCTTTTTAAACAATGTTTTTTGCTGCCAATCCCTGTGCTTGCTGGCTCCCGAATGAGATGCATAAATTACTAACACATTTAACAGAAAAAGTGAGCGATTAGTTCACTAAATAGTCTTAAAAATGACCTTGGCCGGGTTAGCTCAATCGGTAGAGCGTAAGACTCTTAATCTTAAGGCTGCGGGTTCGACCCCCGCATTCGGCTTTTTTGGAGTTTTGTTAAAACCCGAGCAATTTTTTTAGCTGGTGCAAATAAAAACGGCTGTGGCTGCTGTGGAGTGTGGTGGTTGTATTCAAACAAACAAACCTAAAAAATACGGCCTCTCTCCTAACTTCAATTTATTTTTTATTATTTTATTTGAATTAGCATGTCGCGCCCAGTGCTCTCGCTGAATCTTCCTGCTCATTTAAAGACTCTGCTCGTGCAGAACGGGTACCTGGCCGCCGCCGATTTTGATGAAGGGCGGGGGGCAGAGGACCTGCTGCAGTTTCTCTCAGAGGCCGAGGTGCAAGCGGTTGCCGATCTTGCGCGCAAGCAGCCGGTGGCGGTGTCGGCGTGGGCGCTCGGACAGAATACGCGCAGACAAAGGAGCTTTTTGACGCAGTTGTGTGGGCTCGATTCGCTGCTTGGCGGCAAGGGCATTGCGCTTGGTGGCGGCAGTGTAAATGAGGTTGTGGGCCAGCCAGGGAGTGGCCAGACCGAGCTGTGTCTGTGGCTGTGCGTGGCTGTGCAGCTGCCTGAGTCGTTGGGTGGTGCGGGGATGCGGGCGGTGTATGTGGACACAACGGGGTCATTTTACCACGTGGGTGCAGAGCGGGCGGCAACAGGGTTGCGGGAGCAGCTGGTAGCGGCGCGCAAAAACGATTTACAACTGCAGCTGCCTGAGCCAGGCATGCTGCTCGATGGGATTGGTGTTTTCCGCGTGTACGAGGCGCATGAACTGGTTGCGTTGCTAGAGTCGTTTGATGATGTTTGCCGTGAGCTCTCTAATGTAAGCCGCTGCGTATCGGGTGAAGGTTTCCAAAAAAATTTAAAAAAAAAATTATTTTGTGCTCAAAGGTATTTTACAGACCATGTGTTTTTATTAAATTTTTATTATGTAGGTCGGATTGCTGGTCGTCAACACCGTGAGCTGGCCGTTTTTGGCGTCATTTCCAGAGAACCTCTCGCGGCGGCAAACATTGCAGGCAGAGGTTGCGCGCACATTATCACAGATCGCTGCCAAACACCAGATAGCGGCAAGTATTATATTTAATTATTATATTTGTAACTTTCGGGCTGTATATCAGAGTCATTACAAGGCTTTGTTCTGAATTTCTATTGTTGCTTGCAATTAATTATTATTTTTCTTTCATTTTTTATGTAGGTAATTTTGGTCAGCCAGGCAAAGTCGTCGGATACTGGCCATGCCGCAGCGCCACATTCCAAGTGTCTGCCGATAGATGGCGATGTCTGGAGCCGCATATCGTCCAACCACTTGTCAATCAGCAACTCTGGAAGCGGGCGCTGCATTGAGCTACACAAGTCATCTTTGTATCCGACTGGCAGAGTAAATGTTAATGGTATTTAAGATTATAACATGTAAAATTAAGTACAATAAATTGTATTTGAAAAAACTCTAGTATTTACTCTCTATTCTAGTTGATTATTTGTTGAAGTGCAAAAACACCTGTTTTTTTAATTAAAATTTTTATTAAAAGAATGCACATGCGCTATTCAAAAAAACAAATAGGCCGCTTATAAAGCTGCTTTATAGAAACAAAAGATTGTTGTGCAGCCCGAGGATATGGAAGTGGACGTCGAGGTTGAGAATCGTGAAATGAGTCTCCGTCCGCATACTGATTGATAGGGTACTAATTGGATTATGCAGGCGTAAATTAGGGAGGCATAATAATGATGGCCAGATATGCTCTCCATTTTGCAATGCACATGCATGAGTGCACACACACGAAAACCACAACATTGACTTGCCGAGATACCAGTCTGCTCGCAGAAGAACCAGTTCTCGCCAACGGAGAGCAGAATTGGCGAGGTGCACAACAAAGGCAACGGGATACATATATAAGATGAGACTGGCTCCAGTTCTACTTTTGCTTCCCTTAATAATAAAAATTATAACAAAACCCAAACATACTTTTAACACTCACTAGGCGACTAATGCTCCACTCAAATCACAACACCTTTAACACTATACGACTAGTGTTATCCTCAAATCAGAACAAAGTCAAAGACGACTTTGTTTTTCTCTCTTTTAATATATTTTTCTTTTGCTATTGATTAAAAACATCGCTCTATTCACCCTTTTTTACTTTCTCTATTTCCAAACCCCCTCGTTCATTTATTTATTTATACTTTGAAACATATTACTAATGCACTAGCTAACATATAAAACTTTTTTTGAACAATGGGTCTACAGTACATAGTAAAAACCAAAATAAACATCATGTACTACGAAGCGTACACTTCTATGCACAATATTGGACCGTACAAAGTAAATCCAATTGTCGCTTGGATAGGTCAATTAAATATGTAATAAAAATGATAAGCAAGAAACATAAACCAACGGAAGGATACAAGTATATAATTAAAAGGGTGACTAATTTAAAACAACCCTTGGATAAATCAATGAATATAATTGAATGTGAGAAAAACGACATAGACCTTATTTTGTATGAGGTGCCTGTTGCGCAGCAGAATTGACCATTGATGTCAATGATTCTTATTGAATGCGGATTGGGATCAAAGGCTGTTTATACTGTATGTCGCCTTCTCACGTTGGTGTTTACAACCAAAACCACGTCCACGCTCACTTGTCTTGAAATGGTATAAATACCAAGCCGACAGACCAGAAATCGAGAAGAAACAGGGTATTCAGTTTTAGCTTTAATCATATTAATAATAAATAATCAATAGTACCATTCATAACAAAATCAACCATATACCGTTTTAGTGCCCCCAAAATGAATCCTGAAAAAAAATATTAAAGCAAGTGTCGAAAGTCAATTAAAACACTGCAGCATTGTATATGTCTATATTATTTGCACTGGATATTTAAATAAAAATATTGTCTGGAGTTTGTGTCCAAAAGTTAAAGTTATTTTTATACTTGCTGGGTATGAACACAATCAAAATATCATTGCGCAATAACACGCCATATTCAATTCTTTTTTGCCACACTGTATCACTTGAATGCTTTCAATTTCACACTTCAAAAAACGGTTCACAATATATTAAAAATAAAATAACATAAAGAAAGAAAAAGCCACCTTTATTGATTCCTAAATCAATTCAGCACAAAATTATACTGACTATCATACTCCGAATTATGCACAAACCACAGTACCACAGACGCCAACAATACACCAAAAGCCTGTAAAACACCGGTAGCCCCCACATACATAGTTGCGGAATCCACCTGTGGAACAATATACTTTATAACCAAAATCGTCAATGACCCAGCGACACCACCGGCCAAAAGTGCAATTCCGATAAACAAGGTCAACTTGGCCTTGCCCGCCAATGAACTACCACCACCGTAGCCGAAACTGTCGTCGCGCAGGAGGGAGAGGTCAATGGAGTTGGTTACTATCATACCCAATGTGCACAGAATACCAGGGATCCAGTCCTCGAACCCAAAGGTTACGCTGGAGGACTCTGCGCGAGAAAGTATTAGCCCGTCGATAAAGAACCACCAACCGATAGTAAACTACAAACCAAAGAGAAAAATTAAAGAAAAGGTTTAGTTTAATGTAAAAAAAAAGAAAAAAAAAGTTGGTTTATGTTTTTTTTAAATAAAATTCAAATTGAATTGAGCAATCTGCTTTCTTCTCATTTTTCTCCCCTCCCCTTTTTTGGGATTTGGGGTTACGTACGAGTGCTCCAGAGGCGTATGTGCCGAAATCGCGCAGACGTTCTCTCCAGGCACTGGGAATTCGCGGAAGCTGACAATTCCAAATGAAAAAGCGAGTCATAGTTTTATAATAGAAATTAATACAAAAAACAACAAAAAACGACTTAATAATAAAATGAGGTGAGAAATTGAGATTGACGTAGAAGAAAAATAAGGGGAAAAGAAAAAGAAAAAGAATCTATTACATCACATGCGTTTTGCACTCTTTCTTTTTTTTTTTTTTTTTTTTGGTGAGCGACAGAAAATAAAAAAAATAAAACGCAATGCGCATAAATACACGTGACATTCCTATATCCATTATAATAATAAAATATAGTATATATATCAAAAAATAGGCAACAAATTCTTTTATTTAAAAAAGAATAACCCAATACAACACACACACGTTCATCCATTTTGCTTTTTTGCTTTTTACTTTTTCAAAAAAATTCATACAAATGAGTTTAACAAGGAGAGAGCTATTCGGAGGCAACATGTCCATGCTGGTTCCGTCTACTTTTATAGACGTCAGCCAATTCCGCACAGTCCCCGACCACCAAGAAGTGTTCGCAGACCAGCAGCCAACAGACCAAAACCTCATAGTTGAAATCCTCGAATCCGCGCCTTACGAGAAGCACGAAGCCCTTCGGTATCATTTCGCACAAGTCAATGAAATAAACGAGCCAAACAAAGCCCCGGATCCCACACAGAAACAGCGGGAGATTCACGAGTTGGAAGCGAAGGACATGGGTTGCGTGGAGAGTGTTTATTTGCTGGAGGATGTGCAGGAGTTGGCAAAGTTTGATGAAGGAAGGAAGGGTGTGTTCAATGTTGTGCGGGTGATGATGGCCCTGATGAGAGTGCCAAAGCATGAGTGCGATGTGCTGATCACGTTCAACGTGCCCGAGGCAGTGCACCCCGAAAGCAGCAGCAGCATGTGCGACAGTGGTGATACGGGCTGTGCAAAGGATGCGTGGGCAGTGTTCAAGCAGATGGCTGCGAGTTTCCGGATCGACAGCGAGCAAATATTCGGCTAAAATAATGCTTTTATTGCTCTAGTTTCTCAATATCAGACTTTATCGATTCTATATTACCCGTCTGCGTTTTCCTTGCAAACTCCAGCGCCAGCCGGTACATGGTCAGGGCGTCCTGCTCGTCGCCATTCTTCATTGCGATTTGGCCAAGAAGGTGGATCAGATGCGCCTGGCAATTGTCGCACGCCCGGACGCCCTCGTCCTTGCGTGCCACGCGCAGCGAGTCCGAAGCCCAGCTCCTCGCCTCTGCGAGCTCCCCCAAGCCCAATGCAACCTGCGCCAAATCCAGCATCACCACAGCATCCAGGCACGTCCACTTATCCGCCTTTTTCTTGACCTTCCCCGTCAAAGCAGCAGCCGCCGCAGCGGTGTCATTGCGTGTGCGGATCTCGGACAAGAGCCCTTTGAGCAGAAGCTGCGCCGACTGCGTGTCTCCGCTGAGCGCAAAGGCCTCGCCAAGGGACGCCACCAGGGAGGCCTGGCGCACATGCAGGTTGTCCCGCCTCTGCAGCTCCGCCGCATGCGTGCCCAGATCACCCGGCTCATCCAGCTCATCCAGGCCTTCCAGCTCAGCGAGCTCCTTGGCAGCACGCAGTGCGCGGCCATACAGGTCAACGGCCTTGCGTGCGTCCCTGGCCACGACCAACGGGCCAAGCACCTCGGCCACGCGCACAGTCTGCTCCCTCCACCACACCGCCTCCTCACCCTCCTTCCCACAACCGCCGCTGGCCTCCTGCGCCTGGCATTTCTCCCACAGCGCCCACAGCATCTTCTCCGCCGGGTCCCGCTCGCCCATCAGCGCCGCAGCCCTCGCCAGCCGCACGACAATTTCCTGCACCGCCGGGTGGTCCTCAGACAACCTGCCCTCTGCGTAAATCAGCTCCAGCGCGCGCAGCAAAAACAAATACGCAACGTGTGGGCTCGGCGCTATATGTTCGCGCAAAGCAGCGCCGCGCAGAAGCTTGCGTGTTTGGCGGTCGGTTATTTCAGAGGAGATCGGGTATTCTGCCGAAAGGTGGTGGTTGAGTGCCAAGTAGAGGGCGCCGATGCCCAGGACGACGAGCCCGGAGACTGTTGAGATCAGTTTGAGTGTGCCCAGGTATGGCTGCAGTTTGCCGCGCGGCGTTGGGTCCATGTGGAACGTGGAGATGGGCCGGCGCGGTGGCGATGGGCGGGCGATTGCGAGCCGGCTGAGAGGAGGGCGGGCGAGAGCGATGCTGGGCGCCGTATTGAGGGCGCGCTGTAGTGCGCGGCGCGACAGAGCAAACATATTTGTTGCTGTGCTGCTGTGCTTGTTACTGCGCGGCAGAGTATTTTTTTATAGATAGCACAAAGTCGAAACAATAAATAAACGAAAAGACAGAACGTAAAAAGAAAAATATTAAAAGATGGAAAAGGAAAAAGAGGAAGAAAGAAGGGGGATTAGGCGAGAGTCGGAAGAAAAAAATCAAGAAACAAAAAATTATTTTTTATCGGCTAAACTTGCGCTCTAAAAACTCGAGCAGCCTGATGACACTAAGATGCACGTACTCGAGATCTAGAATCTCGACCTTGTTGTGTTTCCGCTCAAGCAGGTCCTCCAGCAGCAGGTCCATGTTGACCACAGGCTTCTCCCTGCCCTTATAGAACAGCCGGATGACATACGATGCGGCCGACGGGCTGCTGAACGTAAAGTACACCTTGTCCTGGCGGTTCTCCGGAATGTTGCTCTTGCAAACGACACCCAGTCGCTCCAACGCATCCAGCCGGTAGTCTAGCGTGACGCTGGGCTTGTCCTCCTTCTTGACATTCATCTTGCGGCTCTGCAGCGGCCTCGGGTCCATCACCGTGACGCCCACCGGCACCGCGCCCTTCTTGCGCTGGTTCTTGGGCGTCGCAGACTGCAGCCGCACGTTGCCCAGGTACGCCTTGTATGTCTCGATCTGCGATGACAGGTACCCGTTGTAGTCGCAGATCGTCTTGTAGACGTCCGTCAGCCCGCGGATCTCCTCCTCCACCTTGTCGCGCAGGCTGCCGAGGTGCGCCAGCTCGTGCAGGATCTCCTCCGTCAGGTACCGGTACCCGTCGTTGGCGTCGATCGCGCCCTGCTTCTCCAGCTCAAGCAGCATCTCGCGCACCTTGATGCCCTTGCGCACCAGCATGGAGTCCTTGGACGTCGCCGCCTGCTCGGCCACAAAGAGCAGGTCCATCTTTGCCGCCGCGTTGCTCTCGGGCTTGTAGCGGCTGTATTTGAGATGCGGCATGCTGCGAATGATCTGCACCAGGATAGACTTTGTCTCGACGTACATGATATCGTGCTGTGTCAGCGCGTTGTCCGAGGCCAATGTCGAGAGGTCTGAGAGAATCGGCGTCTCCCATTTGCTGAACAAGGACAGTTCCATGGTGGCGTTGAGGTTGCGCGGTACTAGCCCGGGTGCGTCGCCCAGCTCGTCCAGCAGCGCGCGCAGGTGCGAGTCCTGCGCCGGCGCCAGCACGTGCAGGTGCTGGCGCAGCAGCGCGTGCGTGTTGTACAGCTCATTAAGCGAGATGTTGAGCGAGATGTTGTGCTTCGTCAGCGCCACATACTGGTCCATCTCCATGTTGTCGTAAAAATCGCTGACCTCGCATAGTTCATTGAGGAACTTGTTGATGCGCCCGCGGTTGCTCTCGACAAACGGGGACAGGTCCTCCATGTATTTCTCCTTGGCGTACGTCGGCTTGTTCGCCAGGTTCTGCAGCAGCTTAGCCACCAGCGTCAGCACGCGCCGCGGGTGCAGCGTCGGCGCGTTCTCGATCAGCATGTGCGCCTGCGGTGTGACAATTGCCGGGTTGATGTAGCGCAGGAAGAAGAACCCGCCGATCAGCGAGCATACTGCAGAGTTGGGCGCCTCTGGGTACCGCCGCTTGGTCAGCGACCGGATCTGCTTGCAGATCCACCGGATTCCGTACGGCGTGTCCTCGATGTGCCCGATGATCGTGTCCAGAAACCGGTTGGCGATCCGCGTCAGCTCATCCAGTCGCGGCTGCACAGCTGCGCGCACCAGCGGGTTGCTCGTGGCCTCCTCCGTCGTCACGCCATGCGGGAAGTCCTCGGTCGGCAGATTGCGGTCGATGCGCTCCTGCCGCAGCTCCTCGTACACCTTGAGCGGGTTAATCTCCAGATTCAAGTCGCGGTTCTCAATGACCTGAACGATCTCTCCCGAAATCACATTCTTCAGATACACCTGCCCAGGACCCCTGCTCGTATACGTGTTCATCATCCGGGACACTGGCGTGTTCTGCCGCAGCAGGTTGGAGAACTCAGGTGTTGTCTCGAACTGCGCTGCCAGGACGAGTTGGAACATTGTCAGCAAGAGATGCTCCTCGCGGCTCTCGTACTGGTTACCGTACAGGGTAAACATCACTGTTTGCAGGAGCGTGTCGATTTCGCTGAGCGTCACTAAGCGAGTGAGCGTGGCGATATGCCGGGGCTCGGTTTGGAGGAGGAAGAAAAGGTTGCCGTAGAGCTGCGTGTGCTCGGCGTCTGGGTAGTAGTCGTTGCTGCCCTGGTTGATGTCCTCGAGGTGCGACGAGAGCTCCTTGACCTCGTCTGCCGCCATGCGGTTTTGGATGAGCAGCGCGATGCGGCTGTCCAGGTACCGCACGTCGCGCTCTAGGAGGAAGTTTTTCTTTGACTGTGCTGAGATGTGGCCCTTGAGCTCGCGCAGTTTCCGCTGGGCTATATAATAAGTAGTCAACGGATGAATGATTGTGTGCATATATGCCGTTATTTTTTATTAGCGACAATCTCAATTTGCACATTATTTAGTTAATGATGATGGTGTATTGGTATTGGTGGTTGTAGTGGTGATGCCACAGTGCATTTTGATGACAAAAATAAGAAATAGACAGACAGACAGACATGCAGATTGGCTGGCTGGCTGCGCGTGAACGATCATGTGTGAAGCGACAATCACTGCCACACAGCACAGTACATCACAGCGCATAACATCACAGCGCATATGTATCGTTGTTGACAAATAAAAAACAAATAAAAAACTCAGCAGATGCTTGCACCTCCCTCCTCATCTCTCTAAGCATCATTACACAAACAATTGAAATGCACCATTTTCAGGTCTGTCCATCCGAGAAAGAAAGAGAGAGAGAGAGGAAGTCCAAACAAAACAATAAAAAATTAATTAGCAATAAGACGTGTGCATCTCCCCATCCGACCGGTCCATCCAGGCGGTCTTCCTTTCACAAGGATTTGCTTTGGCAACAAGAAAAAAATGAGTAAATATAGAATAAAAATAGGAAAGGGGGATTATCCAAATAAAAAAGGTTTTCTTTTGCAAAGAAATTTCTATGACAGCAATTAGATACAACCACATAAAGTCCAAAAAAAATTGGTTGGGTTGGGTCGGGTCAGGTCGAATAAAAAATAAAGGGAATTTCAACAATCAATAATTGAAAGTAAATAGTCACAAGTTCCAATAGCTCAAAATAAATTTTTAACATGGAAAAAAGGACAATTGAACATGAGGAATCCCAAATATAACCGCCAATTTTTTTCTAGCTGTCAAAGTAAAAAAAATGCAGTGACAATAGAGGGATGGTAGGGACAAGAGGGAGAAGATACAAGAAACACAAGAAAAACGAAACCAATTAAAATAAAAAAGCCAAACAAAAACAATAAAATAAAATAAGCCTAGCAATAAAAGCATTATCAATTTTTTTGGGTTCTTACCTTCAGACAGCTCATCAGAAACTTCCTCGTCGCGTTCGGCAACAATCGAATACAGCGCCGTTACAGAGTACCTCCGGCTACTACGGTCGGTATCACTACTATTATGAAAACTAGACTTGTTGCTCGTCCTATCGCTCGTATTGCTGTGAACGCTGCGGACAACTTTGACCGGAATAGCGGAGCCGAGAGACGCCTCGTTTGAGCTTCGATTACCGGAAAGTCGCGAGGAATCAAGCATTGGATTGAGAAATAAAGAAATGGATAATAATAATTAGAAAATTTTCGAGTAAACGTAGGAAAAAAAGAGAAGAGAAGAGAAAGGAAGAGTAGAAGAAAAGGGAAGGAAAGAAAAGGCTATAAAATTCAAGAGATTTTTTTGTGTTTTGATATTAAGAAATGTGAAGAAAGGAGAACAAGGAAAAGAAAAAAGAAGAGGTTTGTGGCGGCGATGGCGATGGCGTCGGCGTCGCAAAATAGAAGAAAGAAAACCAGTACTTCTGAAAAAGTAATAATGACGATAAAAGAAACAAGAATAAAGAAGAATAAAGGGAGGGATTAAATAAGAAAGGTGTATGCGTATTGCGTATTGCGTATTGCGTATTGCGTTATGGCGTTGTTTTCTGGTTTTGGTTTCCAGACTATAGAGACGTTTTTGCTGCCAAAGAGAGAGAGGGGGAGAGCGTCTGTGTGTATATGCGTGGGTGCGTGTGTGGGATATAGAGCGAGAAAGAAGAAAGCCGTAGTCGTCAATAAAGTAAAAATGGAATGCGAATAGAAAAGAAAAGAAATGAATTAGTTAAATAAGAATTATGCGATTTTGTCTTTCTTTTTAAAAATGTAAATGTAAATGTAAATGTCAACAAGTGACAAAAATAATAAGAATAAAGGAGAAAAATAATAAACCGAAAACTGGACAAATAGAAGATAGAATGTAAAAAGGCAAAGAAAAACCTCCCGTTGACTTTTTATTCTTGGAAAAAAAAGAAGCGTCGGTCCGAAACCAAAACAAATAAAAATGGATTATTCTTTTCTTCCCCCAGGTATTTTTTCTTGCTGCAGTTACTAAAAATAAAAAAGCTCACAAAGAAAAGGAATCGGCACTGGTGCATTTCTCGGCCCTTTCATTCGCCGATTCTTTTGTCAGCACAAAAATAAAAGTAAATAAATGAAAAAAGACAAAACAGCTTTAACCAGAAGACCGATTACTATCATTGGCAAGATTCAAAAAAATATTTATTGCGCGCAAACAACAAAAGCCATTCCATACCCCCAAAGAAAAAACCTCTGCCAAAGCCACATTTCCGACATTCCCGACACTTGCGATACTTCCGATATTTTCATTTTAAATAGAACTCTGCAACCACAGACTCGTATACGGCGACGCTCTTGTCATTGTACATGCAAAAGACAATGCGGTCGATCGCCCCGCGGTTGTTGCTGAGCCACTCCTGCACTGTGGGCAAAACAACCCGGCAGGCCTTCTCGGCAGGATACCCGTACACGCCCGTCGACACGCAGGGGAACGCAATCGTACGCACGCCATTCGCCCTTGCCACGTCCAGGCACGCCCTGTAGGCGCTCGCCAGCAGGGCGCGCTGCTCTCCGACAGGCCCAACGGTGTGGATCACGTGCTTTGCCTCCAGCTCGTAGCCACCGGTGATCTTGGCCTGCCCGGCCGCGCATCCGTTGAGCAGCCGGCATTCTGCAAGGAGCCGTGGGCCGGCGGCTTTGTGGATTGCTCCGTCGACGCCGCCGCCGCCCAACAGGGTGCTGTTTGCTGCGTTGACAATGGCGTCGACTTGGAGCCGGGTGATATCGCCTCGCCAGATGCTGATGAGCGACAGGAATGACCCAGGATCAGCGTGCTTACCAAACCGGGCTGCCACTGTGGGGATGGCCGAAAGCGGAACAGCGTTGCTCATATTATTCACCTTTATTTTTTGACGTTGTAATTGGTAGTAGAAGTGGGATTAGCCGGAAGACAAAGTCCAAGTAAGGGGTAGGTAAAAAAGAGAGAGAAGTGCATGTGTAGTGGGGCAAATAAGCGCTTATGCTCACACAAAAAAGAAAATACTTTAATAGATAAAAATCGGTCTGGACCGTGCGATGGACAAAGCTTTGTGATGCAAGTGCGAATGTGACGTATTAAAGTAAATTTCATGCAAGCCTCGAGCAGATGCGAACCGTATATTCTCTTTCCGATTTCTGGGTTACATTGTCGCATTATTTATTGACCGAGTTCCATATCCGACTGTAAATTTCAACAATAAAATTTTATTATTGAATTTACGCATTCTCGACGTAGCTGACAGGCAGCCGGCCCTCGCGACCGCCAAGCGCGCCCTGAAGCCACCCCTCGCCAATGTCCCTCGATACCACGCGGATGCGGTCACCAGCATTGAACGACAGCTCATCAGTGTCGCGGCCTGCAAAATCATACAGCGCAACCACATGCTCGGCGCTGCTCGCTGTAGCTGGGACTAGACTCAAGTTATTCGGACCAGCACTGGGCGAGTGGTTTTGGGCGAGTATCGGTGGCGGCATCAGCGCTCGCCCGGCAGGAACAGTCTGCGGTGTCGGCCGGTACGCGCTCATGTCGATATATGATGTGGGCACCAGGCCCTGCTGCCCGCTGCCGAGCACAACTTCTGTCCACCCGCTGCCATCGCTGCCGGCCTCTGTCACACGCACTCGGTCGCCCGCACACACCGTCAATGTCGTCGAGTTGTCGCCCTCAAAGCCATAGAGCATTGGGACGAGCGCGCTATCAGTATTACTTGTTGTGGGCACCAGGGCGGCCATGCCTGTGGTTCTATTGACTGTGCTGCTGCGAGATACGGGCCCGCTGCCCATGCCGCTGCCGCTGCCGTTGCCGTTGCCGTTGCCGTTGCCGTTGCCGCTGCTGTTGCCGCTGCCGCTACCGTTGCCGCTGTCGGCCAGCAGCGATATCGACGCACGTGGCATGGCTGCAGCGCCGTACGATAGCGAGTTTCGCGGGCCCAGCGACATCTGCGAGGCGCTGTTACTGGCCGTGCTGGGCCCTGCCGACGAAGCGTTGAAGAGCATCCCCAAATGATTTTGGGGTTGGGTTTGGTTTTGGGCCTGTGGTTGCGATTGCGATTGCGATTGGATTTGGCGTGGCGGCAGGCTTGGCAGGTTCGGCTGTGCGGCTCCCAGTGCCATTGCTGCGTTTGCATCGGTCGATGGCCTTGACCCGTCAGACGATGCTGTCGAATGCGACCGCTGCCGCTCGCCCTTGCCCTTCTTAGTGCCGCGCCTTGTGCCAAACATCCCCAAGAACCCGCTCTTGGCCTCGGGGTCGCGGCCCGGGCAGTTCGGCTGGACCTTGATCTGGCACTTGGCATGGCACGTGTACTCGCACTGCGCGCACTTGCCGGCCTTACGGTTAAGCCCGCCAATGGACTCGCCGCAGTAGTCGCATATCTTGGATATGGCCACGGTGAACGCCTTGAACTCATGCGGGCTGCCGCTGTCAATGTGGCCCAGCTGCTGCTCGACGGCCATGCGCAGCGCCTGGTGCTGCACAACCTGGAGCTCAGCCAGTGTGGCCTCTCTCTCGGCGTCCGTCGCCTTTTCCAGCTCGCGCTCGCTGCCCTTGCCGCCGGCCAGCGCGCGCTGCCGGGCTTGCTCAGCATCCCGGCCCTTCTCTTGCGCCTCTTGCTCGGCACGCGCGCTCTCGCGCTGCGCCTGCAGAGACATGTTGCGCAGCACCACTTGGCTCTCGCCGTCAAGCACCATGCCGTCGCTCTCGCCGCTGGCCACATCGACGACAACGCGGAAGTCCGGCGGCTCCTCCCAGCTGCTGGCGCCGGCCTCAACGCGCCGGCGAACAAACTGCGCCGAGTCAACGTCGGGCGCAATGCGGCCAACAATGTGCGCTGCGCGCTGCGTGCCAGCGACCATCTCGCTGCCAGCGGCCTCTTGCATATCGAGCATCTGCGCGACCAGGCGCTTGACAGTGGCGACGCGCTGCTCGCCAATGGCCTGCATGCTGTCCATGATGCGCGGCGTGAACGAGCAGTTGACCGCCTGCTTGACGTGGTTGGCGACGTGCACTTGCAAAATGTACTCGTTTTTTGTCTGGTTGCGCGCGCTGGCGTCGCGATCGGCCTTCTGCCGGTGCCTCTCCTGCTCCTTCTCCGTTGTCGCGCGCTCTTGCTTCTGCCGCGACGCAGCCAGGGCCTTGGCGCATGCCTCGTACTGCGCACGCGCTTTGTCCTTTTGGTCGAACGCGCGGTCGCGCTCGGCGAGCAGCCGCTGGTAAAAGTCCAGGGTGCGCTTGCGCATGTCGCCTAGACTGTCGAATGCCTGGCGCAGCTCATCGGCCACGTCGCCGCTGAGCTTGGACGCCAGCTGCACGTGCAGGCGCCCCTCCTCCTCCAGGTGCACCGCCCATGAGTGCGCTGCGGGCAGCAGCTCGAGGGGCGTCGTGGCGGCTATCTCGGCCTCGGTCAGCGCCAGGCTGCCGATGCCTGCGCCGTCCTTGGCCTCGTAGATGGTGGCCAGCTGGCCCTGGAACACGCGAGCGAGCTCCAGCACTTTGCGCCCGTACTCCTTCTCGGCCGCTGCCTTCTCGGCTAGCAGCTTGGACAGCCCGCCATACACCTCGAGCTGCTTCTCTATGTGTCCGTTGATGGCGCCAAACTCGTTTGGCTAAAGAAGAAGAATGATAATGATGGTGATAATAACAGTAGTACAAGAAAGGAGGCGATTAATGCGGTGACAGACAATTAAAAAGACATGTAAATGTAAATGCAAGGGTTAATGCCAATTCGAATGCAAATCCGAATGCGCACGACTCTGCTTTAATAGCACCCATGTTTCCGTCTGCGCGCGTACCTTGAGCTCAGACCCAAAGGTCATTTCAGTTAATATTTAGCCGGTCGTTATTTCTCCGCTTGTGAGTGAGTAAATGAGCGAGTGTGTGCCTGTTCAATGCAGCCAGAATTGTCGTCAAAAATATATTGGGCAGCACTGTCGCCTTGTTTTGTCGTTGTCGTTGTCGTTGTCGCCGTGGTTTTCGAATTGCGGTCCGCAGGCTTATAAAAGCAAAGTGAAATTAAATGAAATTGTCAATTAAAAAAGAAAGTGTATTTGAAGCGGGTGGAAATATAAAAATAAAGCAACCCAAAGTACAAAGCCCAACTGCAAAAAGTGACAAAAAAACCCACTTCTCTGTAAATAGAGACTTTGGAGACTTTATTTGCTCACAATCAATAGCAAATAAAAAAGGAAAACCAAACGCTACACATCTATGTCAAACTCCTCTTCGAATATTTCCAACAAGATATTCGCCAGGTTGTTCCGGCGAGAGTCGGCTTCATGCGAATACAACACCTTGCTACTGTCGATCGGTTGCATTGTGCGTGCATCCTGCTGCGACACTTGTCCGAAGCCATTCGCGGACAACCAGGCGGCGAGCAGGACAAGCAACAGTGCAAAAACAAGCTTGAATGGAGTAATCCGCGACAATACCGATTTCCCAGATATCTGGCTTTGCGGGCACCCCCAAAAGCGAACAAGCAGAGTCGCGGTCTGCGTCATCTCGAGCTCTTTCAGGGTCTTCTCATCCACGTCACTTCCGAGAACCAGGTGAGGAAAAGTCAAATTGATTTCAATATTCTCTCGAGCCCGGTCAAGGCTTTCCTCGAGAAACACACGAACACTGATAAATTTAGAGTCCAAAGGAAAGTCGCCGCTCAATGTTGCTCCGTTGCAAACTCTGAAACGTAGGCGCACATTCCCGCTTTTGCCACAATCCGGCTCGTTAAGAACCGAGTGTGTTTGTGCAGCTTGCTCGCTAACGAGATCGTTGCTGCTTGGCTTAGGGCTAATTGTAGGCGGTGGACCATGTATGTTCTGGTATGTCAATCGGTCGTCCTGGATGTCCTTGCGTAGCTGCTTGATATACTTGGCGTCTTTCGAAGTCTGTTGAACAAGCATTTTGCGGTACCTCTCGGCATTTATAGTGTCAGTGTGGCGCTCTTCAGCCTCGGCCTCGGGGGTCGGCTTGGGCATCGGAGGAACATAGTGAGAGTATTTCGAACTCGCTGAGCTAACATCAGAAATGCTGGTTTTCTTCATCAGGGTCACCAACACCTTGGCCTCGACAATGTCCTTCCCGCTGAGCAACACGTTGCCGCTGGAGTGAATAAAATAGATGCTGGGGAATGTGGATACAGGGAACAGCTTTGTGAACATGATCTCGTTTTCGCTGCCGCGGACCATGCGCACACACACACAGCTCTTGGTTACTTTTGTGAACACCGTGCTGGCACCTAGAACGCGGTTCACACAGTCTTGGTCCTCTGGCTTCGAGCCATCAACGATGCAGACTAGAAGAATGAGTCGGCAGGATGTCGCTTGCGCTGCGGCCTTGGCTAAAGTCCCCTCAAACCAAACTGGAGTCTGGAGCAAAGTCATCTTTTTTGAACAATTAATAATTAACAAAAAATAAAGAAATAAAAAGTGAGAGAAAACAGAGAAGCGGTCCGCCTTTACTATCCGCAGCCGTCCTTTTGTTTGGTTTGGGATTGAATGTGGATCTTATTTTTCTCACCGTCATTTGAGACACCATTGCAAAGGGTGGGGGAGCAATTATTATTTTAGATTTGCATTGGTGTTTCCGCATGTCATTTGTGGGTAGTGCTGGTTCAAACATGCAAATCATCTAAATTATTTTATTGTGATACAAGCATGTTTAAAGCAGAAAATATAATTCAGGCAAACGGTTGAAACTAGTTACATGAATCGTTTGTTTTCATTTGTGAACACTAAAAACCAAGCAATTGTTACGAAAAAAGATTTTGTGAGCCATTTTTATTTTATTTTATTTTTTCTGTCAACAGTAGCTCTAAGATAGTTTGACCTTTAAAGACCAAAAGATGATTTTATAGGGGATCAGAGTTGTTACACTGCAGGATTGATCATCAGTGTCGCTGATACTTATTGAATGGTGTTTGGCAAATGTCTTTCTATTGCACGTCGCCTCTGTGCGTTGGTATCTACAACTAGCAACATGGCCGCGCTCACTCGTCTCAAAATGGTCGAAATACCAAGCCGGCAGACCAAGGTTGAGAATAAAATATATTCAATTTGAGTTATAATCATCTAATTAATAAACATTCAATAGCATCGTTTACTGCAACATCAATCCTACGCCGCTTTACTCTTTACATATTTGCCTTCCTACTGCATTTAATAGCAGGGAGGCGACGCCATTTCCCCTTTCTCTTTCTGTCCCCTTTTCACTGCCTGATCACGCACGCAAATCAACGTCTATTAAAACTAATCTTCTTTTGGATTATGCAACTTCCTCACATAAAGAAACAGAGCCTGAAATCAGACTGCTTTAGGAACAGAGATATTGCAAGAAGCCTAAATATGTGCATCATATTTAACTGCCTCAGCGAGGGATTGGAGATTTCTGCTCGGTTCACACGACCAATGACAAAAGGCGATTGGGACAAATATGCGCAGAATCTAGCATATGCCTATTGTCCACTATCAAATGAGAAAGAGCCCAAGCAGCACATAATCGAGGTAGCTAATTTCTCCCCTCCCACATATTTTTCATATTCTGGTGGTGTTAACGCCCATGCTTATTCTCAACAAAATTGAACCCATTCTCGACTAGCAGTCTAAGTAATTAGTGAGCGAAGCAAGCGGGTGGATGAATATTTGTTTAAAAAGGGTGCAGAGGATTTAAATTTGGTTTTCTTTGAGCGCCCTCTTTTTAAGGTCTTACAATCTGGGCATATCATGCGTAATCATTGCACAAAAGATAAAAACAAGGACGCAAAGGAAAAGGAAAATAAACAATAGTGCAGCCTGTGTGATCCGTGTAGCCTGGACTGAAATAAAGATAAGAAGATAATGGGATTTTGGTTCTAGTACTATTTTGAAATTTTTGTTCATCTCTTTCATACTGCACCATATTTTTCTGTTATATATTTTTACGATATATTTTTATTTTATTCGACTCCACTCTTAAAATCCAGTATCGACGGTCATGGAGGCATCGACAGGCATAAAAGGCAGCAAAAAACTATTGTACGCCTACTGCGTATATCATTCTTTGGATTGACAATAGCCATGGGGGCTATATACTTTACCATTGAAGCACACGTACCGCTTAAGCCAAGTCCTCCGGCAGTACTAAAGGGTCTCTACCCGTTTTCCAGGGGTTTTGTAATGGCTTTATTTTTATAAACCAGTACGCCATGCAGCAGAAGGCTAGACATATCAGTAATGGCCACCACTTTTACAAATCAACCGTGCATGTTTGCTTTGCAATTATGTCGTATCTTGTTTTTATCAACGACCCAGTCACATTGATAGTCATTAGTAAAAGCTCTAGCTTTTATTTGATAACCCCAGCGCTGTATGTATTTGCTTTCTTGGGCGTATTCACAACGCTATATGTAGTAGGTATTTTATTCTTAGGAACACAAGTGGCATATGTAGCTCCCATAGCACCAGAGCCAGCGTAATATATATATATATATATGTGTGTGTGTGTAAATGGTACGAAAATATTCTCATAAGGAAAACCCGCACTGCAGACAGCACGTTCTCAATATTGGCCAATTTGTTCATAACATTACACGAAGATATTAATTGCTAAAAAGACAACAACAGGCCAGGTTGTGTCTTTTCTTGCTTAATATACAAGCTGTGGACGTTTTATAGTATTTTATGTCATCCTATTTCATTTTATTCTCATCATGATTATAAACATATCATTATTGTACAATTTGTAAAACTCTTGAGCACATACCCATATTGTCAATAATCCACACATCATTGTCATGTATAACCGAGGTAGCCATGTATGATACTGGGTGTCTTGCCATTGCCAAAACGCATTGCTTCTGTTTGGTATTTCGCGTATGTCACATTGCATACCAATGCAACTTGTTTGCATCAAGCAGCGCTCACTTTGACAAGTGTCTGTGTAAAAAAAAATGAACAAATACATGTGGTATCAATTAGTTTTTGTGGACAGAGTAGCCAAATGGGCAAACGTTTTAAATACTTTCTTTAGCAGGCAACTCTTGATTTCAATGGTTTGTTAAACACAGCGTAAATAGCCATCTCGAAAATTTTCGGTTTGAAAAATTATTAGTGATTCAGCCCAATCAAGTTTTGAAAAAGCAACAAAACCCACATTTTTTTCTCCGTTCATTTTCTTTTCTTCTTTTCTTCTTCTGCCTGGCTGTTTTCAATCAGCTTTAATTTCTCATTCACAAATCAGGACAAATTCAACACAAAATGCCTGACATTCCACCACCATCAGAAGCAGCAGCAGACCAGAAGCCACAGCTAGGATCCATGCGCGGAGGAAGCTCGCTCCGTGGGCGCGGGCGAGGTCGTGGTGGTGGCCTGCCCTCGGCCAGCGGGTCGATCCCCAACGAGCGACTGCACTCCATACGCGAGCGCACAACAGCAGCAGCGGGAGTGCCCGGAGCCTCAGTGTCAGGAAGAGGCAAGATGGTATTCACGCCTAACGTGCCAGCCAGAAGGAACAAAAAAGAGCCCTCAGCCCTGCTTCTAGCCAAGCCTGTCGTCGAGGTGAAAAGAGAGCAGCGCGGGGACATGTACATGGATCGCGGGAGAGGAGGGGGCAGGGGAAGAGGCAGGGGCAGGGGTAGGGTCGAGCTCATACAGGCAATCACTGGGCCGTTTGCCCAGGGTCCAGCGTCATTGTCTAGCGGCGGATCCTCTAGGCGCGGTATGGGCGGCGGCGGCGGCGGCAGCGGCAGCGCACTGTTGCCGCCTGGCGTGTCTGGTGTCGATATGACGTCGGCAGCCGGCGCCAAGCCAGAGTCTGGGTTTGGCGTCGATGACTCGAGGGGCGGCAACTCGGACTCGCAGGTCGTCATGGTGACGGATCACAACGACGCGACGGCAGTAGATGCCCTGGAGGTGCAGACAGAGGAGATGGCCATCAGCGCGGCGGAAGAAATGGGCAGGTTGAAGCTGGACTTTGGTGCTGCCTCCTTTTTCACAGCACAGGCCAAGGCTGAGAATGGCGATTGCAGTGGCGAGCTGGCAGAGGGTCTGGAAGACAAGATGATGGTGTTCCAGGTTCCCGAGCTTCCCATTTTTGAGCTGGCTCCTGAAGTCTTGCAGCGGCGGCTCACTGCCAAGCAGCGCAAGATTGCAAGGGCAGCGGGGCGGTCGGCAGAGGCCAAGCCCTCGGTTGTCGACCTCGATGCCGACGTCAAGCCTGACATTGCTAAGCTCGAGTTGGGCGTGGACATTAAGCCCGACTTGTCCAAGCTGGACATCAGCGACGACACACCCGACGCTGACGACAATGGTGAGCTGGATGAAGGCGAAGCCAATGGTGATTTGGCCGACGGGCGCATCGGCACGTTGGTTGTGCTAAAGTCGGGCGCTGTCAGAATGAAGATCGGCGATATCTTGCTTGACGTCTCGCGAGGCGCCAACTGCCAGTTCATGCGCGGGCTGTTTGCGCTGGATACGAGCGCCACCCACACTGCCTTTATGCTGGGCAATGTTGACCAGCAGTTCATGTGCACGCCCGACCTTGACAGCATAATTTAGTTATATGTTATCTAGACCCAAATTGTTTTTTGTTTGAGGAAAAAGTACAAATTATAAATGAAAAATCAAACTACAAAAACAAGCCAAAAATTTAAACGCAAATCTAACCCATCTGGGCTAATCTCCCTGCCAGAAATGAATGTTAGACATAGGATACGCTGTTGCACCCGTGTCGTTGCGGGTCGATAGAACCAGAGGCAGTGCTGGGTGGAACAAATACACGACACCGGCTTTGTGCCCACTTGCAGAGACATTCTGTGACGGCGGCGGTGACATTGCTGGGGCAGCAGTGCCGGCGCCAGCAGCAGCAGAATCTAAAACAAATCTAGGATCTCCACTACCACCAGTGGGCAGCAAAATAGCGCCGCTCCTCATCACGCCTGATGGTGGCGGCGGAGGAGGAGGCGGCGGCGGCGACAGCGTCTCTACCATCACATCCATTCCGTCAGCCACGCTGTACTGTAATGGTCGCAGCGCGGCAGGGTCATCTGGGCCCTGTGCCACTGCTGCAGGTGTCATAGTAGAGGACGGCAGCGTGTAGATGTAGGGAGTCGGCGAGAGCACAAACTTCAGCGCGCCAGTGACCCGATCATAAAAACGAATGGGCGATAGACTGGCCGGCCGCAATTTCTCAAGCGTCTGACGCACGCGCAAATTGCACTTAAAACGCGACGGATCCAACAAGGGCGATTCCTGCATGCACTGGGGCGCAAACGGGAGCAGCATGGATGCCTTCCGGGAGGCCTGCACAGGCCCTCCGGCTCTGGCCGTGCGTATCGCCGCTTGGCTGGTCTCGAATGCATCACGGAGATACAAGTCGTTGGATATCGATGGCGCCTGTCCGCTAGAGCTGCCACCCAGTCCCCTGCTCGCCGACATTGGCGCACGATATATGTCCAGCCGCTTCTCAATCTCCTCATATAGCTCGTTATCTGACGTGTCCCAGATGCGTAGGAATCGTGCCTCTATCATGTCGTACTCCCCCAGTAGCGAGAACGAATTAGCCATTGTGCTGCTGCTGACGGCCGACGAGCGCGGCGCATGCGAGCGCGACGTGGCCACCTGCAAGGGAACAAAGCGCAAAAGTAGACGTGAGCACGAAACAAACTGCGCGCGCCACAAGACCAAGCCCTCGTACTGGCGGTATGTACGGTAGAAATACTGCAGAGCCAGCCCGCTGTCATTGGCCCGTTTCGCCTGCATAAACAGGGCGCCAAGCAGCCGCTGCTTAAGCCCGCTGTGCGGTGCGGATGTGAGTGAGGGTTCGATAATCGGAATGTCGCTGTCGGCTAAATTGTCGAGACGCGCGGCCGGATGCTGCATTGCGCGCGAAAACAGCATGCGGTAGTGCGGTGCCAGGTGCTGGATTGCCTGCATGGGCATAAGCGCAGAGCGGTCAGCATTGGCAGGCAGGTTTGGGTTCATCGCCTCCACCAGCGGGCCAATGGCAACGTCAGGGCCAATGAGCCCAGTCAGGCGCGCTGCAGTGATGAATGATGCTTCGGCAAAAGACACATTGGCAGCCATGTTGGCTCTCCTGATCTCAGGCTCGCGCTCTCGGGTCTGCAGCATCTGGGCCTGCGCCGAAAAGGGGAAGATAAACGGCAGCGGCTCCCCAGTGCTGGTCGTGAGCTGTATGTTGCTGGTCCGCGGGCGGTGCATAGTGCTCGACGATGGCACATTAGGGTACATCGTGTCAGTATTCTGCGAGTTGACTGATTCTGATAGCAATAGCGGCGGCGGCAGCGGAGGCTGCGATGGCAACATACCAAAAAATGATATATTGTCGCTGTTTGAGCGAACAAGCCGGGAGGCTTGCTCCATCGCTGCGCGAGCATTCTGGGCGCTGATGACCTTGCGTCGCTTAACAGAAATGGGCAGGTCAGTGTCGTCGATACAACCACCAAAAGTCTCCAAGGCCATGCATTCGGACTTGCGCTTAATAGCCAAGGCGCGGTCAGCCAGCACACGCTCTTCGCGTATCCGCAACGTGTCCTCACATATAGAGTCGTCCTCGCGAGTGTACCAGCCAATCTCCTGGAGGTCAACAAGGTGGCCGTCGGGCTTGACGCGCAGGATTCTCAAGCACTGGTGCTTGAGCGACAGAAAGCACAGCCGATCCTCGTAGATGCTGATGCCGTTGTGACCGCTCAAATAGATAATGTCGCCCGGATATTCGCGAGTGTCGACCAGCTGGCCAGTGCGAATGTCAATAATCATAATGGTGATATCCTCCATGGCCTTTATGCAGCCCAATACATTCGGCCTCTGCAGCTGTTGCCGCTGCAGTCCTGAGAGACCCGCTGTTGCTGATGACGTAGGAATGTCCATATTTACGTTCGCGTTTGCGTTTGGGTCGGAGCGACGCAACTTCACGGCAATTATATGGCGCATGTTGGACGTGACAAGGCACAGGTCGCGGTGCAGCGACTCACCAAAGTTGGTGTACGATTGCGACCATGCGAGCTTAAAAAAGTGCCAAAACTCGGATTTTTGCGGCACACAGCCAGCCTCAACGAGCTGCGCGGTCGATGCGCTGGCATTCAGAACGCGGAAGATCTGCAGGCCGCTGAGAGTGCGATTAAATCCAATTAAGTACTACACGTTGGGCAAGTCAAGTTAAACAGGTTGGGTAAATGCAAAAAAAAAATATAGTGTGAGAAGACGGGTGCTTGGCAGCGGGCGTGGTTAGTAAGCAGGCGTGATTAAATGGGCATGGCGCAAGCTCGTTTTTTATTCTTAGTTGTTTGAGTTTGGACTTGCCTTTCCGTCAGGAGTAAAGCGTTTGAAGTGGCAGTCGGGGGTTTCGACGTTGTAAATTGTACGGTTCGGGTATATACACGAGTGAATTAGGTCTGTATGTGGAGGTGTTGTTGTTGTCGTTGCTGTCGTTGTCGTTGGCCCGGATGCTGCCTGTCTGCGGCGAAGCAGCCCGGGCAGGGATGTAGAGTCTGCTGTGCGCATATCAAATCAACAATTTATTGTCATGAAGCGTAGTGAATGGTGAATGGAGGGGTTGTTGTTTTTTCTGCGTATTGAAGAAATAAAAAAGAAAAGGAAAGGAAAGGCAAGGCTCCCAATAAAGTCAAGACTGAAAAAAGCCGAATTCAACAAATTCGAGGGTAACTTTATATATTTCGCACGTCGGCGGCTATTGGTTCAAGTGCTACTGCGACGAGCAATCCATCCACCAACACTGTAAGGTTTTATTTCAATTATTCTAAAATGTGCACACGTGATATTTAAGCTCTGACGTTTTCAAAGCCGCTCAGTTCATCCACGACTTTTCCTTGGGCTCAGACCACTTTGTCGTAATCTTGCGCCTGTACGAGAAAAACTCTATGGCGGCGTCGCCCGTGATGTCGCCATATCCGAAACGGCTGCGACCAATGCCGCCGAACGAAAACGGCTCTCTGGGCACGGGCACGCCGACATTGACTCCCACCATGGCGGCCGTAAACCTCTGAGTGAAGAACTCAGCGGAGGCGCCTGACGAAGTGTAAATGCAAGCAGCGTTACCGTGCAAATTGGCATTCTCCACAGCCAGGGCCTCCAACGGAGTGGCGCAATGAAGGATGCTGAGGACGGGGCCAAATATCTCGTAGTGCATGGCATGGTCGGTGCTCTTCGAATGCTGCAAGATGGTGGGGCCAACCCAGAACCCACCCTCCGCGCGCTGAGCAACAAAAGACGCCGACTTGCGGCCATCGAGGAGGACCTGTGCGCCATCCTTTTCCTGCGCGTGCGCAATGGCGGATTCAATGCGAACAATGGCCGACTCGTCAATGACCGGTCCCATATTGTTGGCCTTAGATCCAGGCGTGAGCGCCTGCGCCTTGGCGATGATGCGGGAAAGCAGTTCGGGCTGCTCTCCGACAATAAGGAGGACGGAAGCAGCCATGCAGCGCTCGCCGGCACAGCCGGTGAACGAGTTGACGACGTCCTGGGCTGTCATCTCCGGGTTGCAGTCGGGCAACGCTACCAGGTGGTTCTTGGCGCCGCCAAGTGCCAGCACACGCTTGCCTAGCGCCGTGCCCCTCTGGTGCACCTTCTCGGCGATCTCCGACGTGCCTACAAATGTCAAGGCCTGCACATCGGGGTGTTCCACGAGCGCAACGGCGGCCGCCGCGCTGCCGTGCACCAAGTTGAGTACGCCGGGTGGCAGGACGGTGGCAGCCAGCTGCGCGACGCGGTTCATGGTGAGGGGAACCTTCTCGGATGGCTTGAGCACATACGTGTTGCCCATGCCCAGGGCCAAGGGGATGGTCCAGAAGGGCACCATGAAGGGGAAGTTGAACGGCACAATGCCACCAACAACGCCCAGCGCAACCCTATCGTCCCTGCACTGCACCCCACCGCTCACCCATTCTGTGCGGCCGGCAGCGAGCTGCGGCAGGCTGAGGGCATACTCAAGTGTCTCTAGTCCCTTGTTGACGTCGCCCAAGGCCTCAGCCTTGGTCTTTCCGTGCTCCTCCACCACAAGATCAGAGAGCTCGTTGATATTAGCCTGGAGCAAATTGTAGAATGAAAGGAGGTAGGCGGCGCGCGCCTTGAATGTTAATCCAGACCATCCTGGGAATGCCGCCTTGGCCGAGCGCACGGCATCATCAATGTCCTTGACAGTGGAGAGCGGCACCTGGGCGATTGTTGCTCCAGTGTGCGGGCTTGTCACTGGGATGTGCGTCTGCTCGGCGGCGGACGATGCGACGGCCTTGTTGTCGACGAAGTTGTTCAAAATGAGGATGCTGTTGGTGGAAGGTGTCATGTTGTCTGAGCTGGATTTTTCTCAAAGGCTTGTAAAGACGAAGGAGAATGCGAAAAAGAAACAAAAGAGAGAGAGAGAAAGAGCATGATGATGATGGTAATGGTGTTGACTTTGATGCTGGTCTGTTCGTTGTTCGCTGGAGAACTCGCCTGCAATTGAGCGACGCGGAGTCTTGTCATCATGTGAGCGAAATAATAGTATTCAGCCACTAATTTGGCATTGTTGCACTTGACTTGCGTGGGAACCAAATTTCGATTGTGATGTTGGCTACGGCTTCGATTTCGATCTGTCTCTGCTGTTCCTTGCTTTTTTTGTTCTGGGGCATCTCGGAAACAATGACAAAGAAAAAAACAAGAGAAAAAGAAAATGGAGTGACGTATCTATAAATCAGAAAAAAAAACACAAATAACAATCATTTAGATCAGACCCTTGGACTGCAGGGCCTGCTGCTGCTCACGCGGAATCTCAGACCACAAGGCAGCCTTGCCAGCATCATCGAACGAGGCCATGGTGCTCTGCATGACGGTAAGCAGCGCCTGGGTGAGCTCTGGCGACAGGTTGCAAATGGCCAGGGCCTGGACGACGGACTTGACCAGGTGCGTCAGTGCCCTGGGGTCGTTTCCAGCCAGCAGGGCATCGGGCTGCTCGGTGAGCACCTGGACCAGGTACTCGTACACCGCGGGCACCTCGTCATCGTCGTTGCTGACGGGCAGGGCGGCGAACCACGTCTGCAGCAGAGCCGGCATGTCCGCGCCCAGGCGAGCACCGTAGACGCGCATGATCTTGGACAGGGCCGAGACAATGTTCTCTGTGGCAAAGATGTTCTCAGTCTCGCGCGCATCGGGCTTGCTGAGCTGCTCGATCATGGCAGGGAGCGCAGAGCCCACAACAAAGTCGGCATAGGCATCGCCGCCATTCTTCGCCATGATGCCTACGCCGTATGCCGCGGCCTGGCGCAGATCCGGCGACTCGTTCTGGCGCACTGCCGCCAGCACACCCTCGAGGAAATCGCCGGCGAACTGCGCCGACGCGGGTCCCGCAAACTCGACCAAGTCGTCGAAGATGCAGATGGCCCACTGGCGCGCAGCCGGGTCGCGCTCCTGCAGGTACTTGGATGCCACGGGCAGCATGTGCTGGAAGAGGGGCACGTAGGCAGCGCCGTGGGTGACAAGCACAGCGTGGATAGCCTTGGCGACCTCGTCGACGGCCTGGCCCTCCAGGAGCTCGTCCTCAAGCAGCTGCTCCTCGTCGTCCTCGTCCAGCTCGTCGGCCGCGCGCGCCGCCTCGCGGTCCTTCATGCGCTTGTAGTACTTGGTCATCATCTTGACGCACACCTCGGTGAACTCCTGCAGCTGCTGTCCAGCCATGCACTGCTCGCCGACAATGGTGACGACCTCGGCGAAGGAGCTGAACAGCTGCATGGCAAAGACGTCGTCCTCCTCGCCATCAAGCACCGAAATGTACTTCTCGCAGATGGGGCCCCACGCCTGGCGCAGCGCGGTAGTGTCCCCGGCATCGCGCACGACGGCCAGAATATGAGGCACGGCGGCGGCGGCGGCGGTGCGCACGCCCTCATGGTAGTAGAACTTGAACAGCGGGATCATGATCTCCAGAGTCTGCGGCACGAAGGGCAGGAAGGCGGCACCGAGATCGCGCGCGTAGAAGCCGATCAGCTCGATGGCCTCGAACTTCTCCTCCAGGCCAGTCGTGCGGATGCCGATCTGCTGGTTGCCCATGGTGGTGAACTCCCAGCCGTCCTCGGCCGAGTAGTCGGCCTCGGGGTCGTCCTCGTGCTCCAGCACGGCAAACTCGGGCTGCTGCGCGGCGGCCTTGATCAGCGGCGGCATGACGACCGGCAAAATCGGCGCAAAATCGGCGCCCAGCAGCGTGCACAGCCGTGACCACGCCTGCTGCAGGTAGCTCGCCTGGGGATCGTCGGCGTCGGCGACGGCGTGCTGGGCGGCGGTGAGCAGCTCGACCAGGCGCGCCGAGTCGGGGCCAAAGACGTCACGGCCAACGGCCACCGCGATGAACGTCGCGCACTCCATGGCCTTTCCGCGCAGCAGCCTGTGCTCCGAGTCAGTGGCCTGCGCCAGCACGTTGAGCAGCATGGGCATGATGGTGCCGTAGTACTTGACGAACCTGCTCTGGGCATTTTCGGCCAGCGTCGCGATGGTCGTGATGGCCTGCTCCTGCACGTAGCGGCGCTCGTTGCTCAGCATGGCCAGCAGCCGCTCCAGAAGCGTGTCCATGAACGGCTCCAGCGTGGCCTTGGACGCCTCCTCGGCAAAGTTCACCATGGCGGCCGCGGCATGCGCCTGCACGCGCGGGTGCGAGTCGCCCATGGCGTTGACCAGGCGCGGCAGCGTGATGCTGGCGTGCTTCTCCTGCAGCGTCGGCGCAAAGTCGGTGGACATCTGGCCGACGCAGTTGCAGGCGGCGTAGCGCACACGCGGGTGCACGTCGTCGAAGGCCACGGTGACCAGCGCCAGGATCTGCGCCAGCTCGCCGCGCATGATCTTGTAGCAGCCCTCGCCGATCGATGACACGGCGGAGAGCGCAGCGTGGCGCTGCGACCACTCGGCCGACTGCAGCATCTGCGGGATGAACTGGAAGGCAATGGGCAGCAGATGCTTGCCGCCCAGCGCAATCGCCAACCGGTCCATCGTCTGCTCGCCAAACACCCATGCCTCGTCGTTCTCTTCGTCGTCCAGCGAGTCCGTCGTGTGCCAATCCTCGTCGTCCTCAACGCTGCTCATCATCTGCATGCATACGGGCACCAGCAGCTGGCAGAACTGGGTGTTCTTGCGGCACATGCCGGGCGCCGCCTCGGCCAGCGACACCAGCAGCTCGACGGCCGCCTGCTGCGTGCGTGGCTCCAGCTCGCTGTTCTTGCCGATCTCAGTGGCGAACGGCACAAGGCTGCTGAGCACGCCGCGGAACATTTTGGGCGTCTCCTGCGCCGCCTCCATCAGCGCCAGAAGCGCGTCCAAGAGCCCGGCCTCGTCGCCCAGGTGCAGCTGCTGCTCGAGCACCGCCAGCATTGGGCCGATCATCGACGCCAGGGCCGCCTGCTGCTTCTCGTCTGTGCCAATGATGAACGCCACGCCCGCCTGCAGCGCTGCCAGGCGCACTGCCGCGTCCGAGTCCTGGAACGCGCTGCTGAACGCTGCGTTGACCGCTGCATTGCTCTGCGACGCCAGAAGCTCAGGGCACCGCGCGAAGATGCGGTACGCGCTCTCGCGCAGCAGCTCGCTGCCGTTCTGCGCGCACACGTACAGTGCCGGCAACAGCTCGGGCCAGCTGTCCTGACCTACTTAGCGTATAAATGTGAGAGTAGGCTGGTCAAATACTTAGTGGGCCGGCCGTCAAAATTTCCAATTGCCAGATAAACAGGTCGCGCGCTTAGTTATCACAGAAAAAGAAAAACAGAGTTCAAGCGTTTTTTGTTTACCTTCGTTGTCCACAATTTCGGATATCGTGTCGCACAGCTTGTGGCGGGCGCCCCTCTCGGTCTCGTCCTGCAGCGACCCGAGCAGCTCTCCCATCACGACCTTGCGCACATCATCCGTCACGACGTTCCACACAGTCTGCTCGTCCTCCTTGTTCTCGGTCGCCTTGGCGCTCTGGAAGGAGATCCGGCGGAGCAGAATAGAGGCAAAGGCGCGTGCCTGAGCGTCGGTGTCCCGGTGTACAAGGAAGGCCAGACTGCCCAGGAGTGTCTGCGGCTGCGTTGCCACCCACTCGGTGTTTAGCGAGCCCTCGGCCTTTGTGCGCTCGTCGTTATCCGACGACATGAGGCTGCTCATGAGGGTCTTCAATAGCCCTGCTGTCTGCTGAAAGTTGCTCATTATTTCTTGAGTTTGAGTACTAGTCGAGGTAAAGAAAAAATAAAGACCTTTTTTTGAAGATATTGCTACTGTAAAATTAGATTCGCAGCTACTCTAAATTATTCTTGTGTGTGTATGTGTGTTGAAGAGTGTGCAGAAGATATTGAAGCCCTAAAAAAAATTGAAACCAAAACGGAATCTAAATTGCAAAATTGTTTATTCTGAAGGGAGGGAAGAAGGCTCGTTAATGCTGAATTTTTTTCATTCTTTTGTATGCCAAAAACAGTCCACACAAAAAAAATTGGCTTGACCAGCAGCGACAGCAACAGTGGCAGGCGCGCAAGTTTTTTTTTTTTTTTTCGCTTTCCTTTGCCAAATTTTTTTTGGGGATCGGGGCCTGCCCATCCCTTCCAACCGTGCACGTATCCACCTTCGTCGCCGTTTATTTGCAAAGGGAAGGGGCAATGTTGATCTGAAGATCACAATAAACAGCCAGATTCGTTGATTTAGCGCAGTCATTTTTATTCTGGTGGATTAAATTTAAATTTGCAGAAATAATACACAAAAGTGGTGATGGGAGTCGGTTTTTTTGCCTCTGCACTCAGCCTTTTTTGTTAAAGGGAAAGTAGGGGGGAAACCAAGCTCATATTCAACAGCCCTAGCGACAGGCATTTCTGCAACACAGCCTGAGCAAGATTACCCATTCAAGCTCAAGCTCTCCGCTGATCCTAATCTCCAGGCAGCCGATTAAAAAGTTTTACTTTCCACTAAAATTATCGCTCCTGTTTACTTTTACGCACAGGGGTTCTGAGAGGTTTCTATCACAACCGTATAACGTAAACATACCGACAGGCGCAGGAATTTCAGCAGTTTTGAATTGGCGCGCGTTCAGTTTCCAAAAAAAAACCGGTTTTCCGCTCTTCCATTTGCACAAAAAACCGTCATTTTCATTTTCGCGCCAAATTTTCATGTTTCCCCTTTCCAATATTTTTCTGTTGAAATTCTTTCATGTTTCGCAGCTGTCTAAACAAACACATTTTATCACCTTTCCACGCGTCTACATCACTTTATCTCGCTCAAACTCCCATCAAAAGCATTGTTATTCACGCACGCGCCTTCCGAGCACATCAGTATCAGCAGCTGCAGCCAACCAAAGCCATGTCAGACTACGAGTCCGATGGGTCGGCCTTTAGCCTTGATGCCTCTGTAAGTAAATTGTCAAGCGAATAATGCTCGAGCGAGTCGCATAAGCAGCACAACGCATGGCCAAAGTCCCAATAAAATATCATCGCGCTCGATGCTAATTTCATTTATTTGCTACATTTGTTCAACAATGTCGGTTTTCTTGCGCCTCAACTAGCCAGCCAAAGTGAAAAAGACCACCGAGTCTTCCTCCGCGCAGCAGCAAAGCCCAAGCCCAAAGCAGCAAAGGCCGCTTCCGCTTCCACCTCCGCAGCAGCAGCAAGCCGCAATGGCCCGAGCGTCGAGGAGATTTACCAGAAAAAGACACCCATTGAGCACGTTCTCCTGCGCCCCGACACTTACATTGGCTCTGTCGAGCCCACCAATGACAAGATGTGGGTCATGGACCCCGCCACCATGCGCATGGTCTACCGCGAAATCAGGTACACTCCCGGCCTTTACAAGATTGTCGACGAGATCCTGGTCAATGCTGCGGACAACAAGGCGCGTGACCCGACGATGAAGAAGATTGAGATTACCATTGACAAGGAGAGCGGGGTTATATCTATTTTGAATGACGGCAAGGGTATTCCGATTGAGATCCACAAGGAGCAGCACGTGTATGTGCCCGAGCTCATCTTTGGCCACCTGCTGACGTCGTCAAACTACAACGACACCGAGGAGAAGATCACTGGTGGCCGCAACGGATACGGTGCCAAGCTGTGCAACATCTTTAGCAAGGAGTTCACTGTCGAGACTACCGACATGACTGCGCAGAAGAAGTACGTCCAAACTTTCAACGATAATATGTCCAAGATTGGCAAGCCCAAAATCACAAAGTATGCGCTGAAGAAGGAGTATACCAAGATCACCTTCTGCCCAGACTACGCAAAGTTCCAGATGACGCACCTCGACGACGACGCATTTGCCCTGATCACCAAGCGCGCCTACGACTTGGCAGGTTGTGTAGAGGGTGTCAAGGTATTTTTGAACGGCGAGAATATTGCCCTCAAGAACTTCAAGTCATACGTTGAGCTGTATCTCAAGCCGCCCGTGTCCGCCGACGATCCCACCCCGGCCAAGCCACAAGAAATCGTGTACAAGCGCTTCAGCGACCGCTGGGAAGTTGCGTTTGCTGTGTCCGAGGGCCAATTCAACCAGGTGAGCTTTGCCAACGCCATCAATACCATCCGCGGGGGCACCCACGTCAATTACATCGCCGACCAGATTATCAAGAAGTTTATCGCGTCGGTGAAGAAGAACAAGGTCACCATCAAGCCGCACCAGGTCAAAAACAACATGTGGATCTTTGTCAATAGCAAGATCGGCAACCCAACTTTTGACTCACAGACCAAGGAGACCCTGACGCTGCGCTCGTCTGCATTTGGATCCAGTTGCGAAATCGGTGAAGACTTTATGAAGGGTGTGCTCAAGTCTGAGCTGAAGGAGCTTGTCGACCTGATGATCAAGCGCAAGGACGAGCGCGATCTCAAGAAGACCGATGGCACACGTACTAGCAGACTCACAGGCATCGAGAAGCTTGACGACGCCAACCATGCCGGCACGCGCTACAGCAAGGACTGCACGCTCATTCTCACCGAGGGAGACTCTGCCAAGACGCTTGCTGTCGCCGGGTTGGGGGTCCAAGGCCGCGACAAGTTTGGAATTTTTGCGCTGCGTGGAAAGCCGCTCAACGTGCGCGACGCGCAGCCCGCGCAGATTCTTGGCAACAAGGAGTTCACTTACATCAAACAGATCCTGGGCCTGAGGCACGGTGTGAAGTACACATCGACCGACCAGCTGCGCTATGGTCATGTCCTGATCATGGCCGATCAGGACGTGGACGGCAGTCACATCAAGGGCCTGCTGATCAACATGTTTGACTCCATGTATCCGGGCCTGCTCGATGTCGACGGGTTCCTGCAGCAGTTCATCACGCCCGTCGTGCGTGTAACCAATGTGCGGAGCAAAGAGCGCAAGGACTTTTACACGGAGGTTGAGTTCAAAAGGTGGTTCGAGCTGCAGCCCGACTTGGGGAAGGGTTGGACCATCAAGTACTACAAAGGTCTGGGTACTTCCAAGGACATCGACGCCCACGAGTACTTCCGCAACCTCGAGTTCCATCGCAAGTCCTTTGACCCGCCGGAGAGCGAGGACCGCATGCTGGTCGACATGGCGTTCAACAAGGGCAAGGCCAACGAGCGCAAGGACTGGCTAGCCTCGTACCAGCCAGGTGTTTACGTGGACAACAATAAGACCTCGGTTGGGATCGGCGAGTTTATCAACAAGGAGCTCGTGCTCTTCTCAATGGAGGATAACAACCGCTCAATCCCTTCGGTCGTCGACGGCCTGAAGCCCGGCCAACGCAAGATCCTGTGGACATCGCTTCAGGCCAATCTGGTAAAGGAGATCAAGGTGGTCATTTTGCAGGGAAAGGTCACCGAGAAGGCCATCTACCACCACGGCGACCAGAGTCTGATTTCTACGATCGTCGGCATGGCGCAGGACTTTGTCGGCAGCAACAACATCAACCTGTTAATGCCCGAGGGAGGCTTGGCACTCGCCTCACCGGCGGCAAAGATGCGGCCAGCGCTCGTTACATTTCGACGTACCTGCATAACATTGCTCGCATGATTTTCCACGCTAGCGACGATGCGCTTTTGGAAACCTGACCGACGACGGCAAGACTGTCGAGCCGCGTTGGTACATGCCGGTGATTCCCATGGTGCTGGTCAATGGCGCCGAGGGCATTGGAACCGGATGGAGCACGACTATTCCCAACTACAATCCGACCGACATTATTGCCAACATCCGCCGCATGATGAATAAGGAGCCGCTCCAAACCATGGCGCCCTGGTACCGCGGCTTCCGCGGCACTATTGAGCGCACGAGCACCGACCGCGTGCGCACCTGGGTATCATTGAAAAGACCTCACCGACCGAGCTACAAATCTCCGAGCTGCCGATCCGCACTTGGACGGAAAGCTACAAGACGCAGCTGAACGCCTGGATGGCCGCCGAGAAGGGCCCGGCGATCATCAAGGACTTCCGCTACAATGCGTCGACACTCACGGTCGACATTACGCTGACGCTGACTGAGGAGCAGATGAGCAAGGCCGAGCAGCAGGGCCTAGAGGAGCGCTTCAAGCTGGCATCCTTTATCACCACACTAACATGGTGTGCTTCGACCGTGAGGGCCGGCTGCGCAGGTATGCTACGCCCGAGGAGATCATCGAGGACTTTTACCCACTGCGCCTGCGCTACTACCAGCTTCGCAAGGAGAACATGGCAGAGAAGCTCGGCCACGATCTTCAGATGGCGAACAACCGCGCTCGCTTCGTCATGGAGATTATCGAGAAGAAGCTGATCGTTAACAACCGCAAGCGTACCGACCTTATCAAGGAGCTGCGCGACCGGGGCTACGCTTCTATACCCAAGGCCATCAAGCCTGTGGTTGCCGGCGACCCCGACTCGGAGCAGGGTGCGAATTCCGATCAGCCATCTGACTACGACTACCTGCTGGTGATGCCCATCTGGAACCTGACTCAGAGAAGGTTGAAAAGCTACTGAAGGAGAAGGACGCCATTCAGAAGAAGCTCGAGTATCTTCTTACCCGCACGCCCATCAACCTCTGGTCGGATGACCTGAGGAGGTCGAGAAGAAGTGGAACATCATGGTTGAGGAGTATGAGAAGCGTCTGATCGACGATGAAAATAACCGCAGGAACCAGGGCGCTGGTGGGAAGGGCAAGGCCAAGGCCAAGGCGAGAGCGGCACCCAAAAAGGCGACATCCACCCCACTACCACTAGCGCAGCGGCCAAGCGCAAGCTGGAAGCAGTGGAGATCGAGGATGGTGACAGCGATCTTTTGGCCAAGCCCGCGGCCAAGGCTGCAAAGACTGAGGCTGCCAAACCGCGGGCAAGGGCCAAGAAGGAGGAGTCCAGCATCACGCCTCTGGCTGCATCTGCGTCCACTGTGGTCAACACGACAGCGCCGATAACATTGGGATCTGATCTGGATGATAGTGACGAAGATGTCGCCTCGTCTATATTCAAAAGAACGACGGAGAAGAAGATGGGCACTGGAAACGGCACAATCAAACAACCAACTCTGGGCGACATGTTTGCGGCGAAGACGACCAAAAAGCCCGCGGCAAGCAAGGCTTCGACAGCAGTAACATCATCGGTTTCATCGACGGTGGCGACAGCCAGCTCTTCAAAGCCTGCACCCAAAAAGAGAGTGCTAACAAAGAAGAAGATTGCTGACAGTAGTGACGAGGAGGACAACGCGGCAGGGGATGATGTTATTTCAGATTCAGATTCGGGTGCTGATGTGTCGACACCGCCGCCTAGGGCGCGGACCGTGCCTGCCAGCGGACTGCAGCAGCAGCCAAGAAGCCCGCGTATGTGGACATTTCGGATGACGATTCGGCCGACGACTTTGCTGCTGACGACGACTCGGACGATTTTGAGCTGAGCTGAGTTGAGGTTAATTGTAATACATGGGGATTTTAATTTCTGGTACCTTTAATATTATTTATGCAAAATGCAACAGATCAGTTATTAATTATTTAAAAGTTAGCCTTTCGACAGCCACATACGCGCCTATCGATCCAAGACATACAGAACCACATGTTCATCTTTTCTCGATTTCATTGTGTTGTTGCTTTTGATTTATTTTATATATATTTAATAATGCTTTTTAATTTTGCGCTACATGTTCAGCCACTAGAACAATGTTGTTCGTTGTTATTTGTCGTGCTCTATAAATGTGGTCTAATGATATATTCAGTCTTAAAATTACTTAACTGAAAAGGGCAGCGTGTGGGCACACTGTAACATCATGTATTCTTGATGTCAGCAGCAATAACAGAAATGTATATAGTGGCATGGGGCGATCTTGATTCTTGAAAGGAATAGTGCTTGAATGTGTGTTGGCACAATAATTGTTGTAATTTTGATACTATTTCTCGTGCTTGCCACACAGTGTTTACTATTATTATTCCATAGTTGTGAGAGCAGCTCTATTGTAAGAATAATGCGCTCAGTCAAAAAATTTACGTTGATAAATAAATTTCAAGCTTGAGCTAATGTTTTCAATTATTTAGCTATAAAGTTAGCACATATATAATTGCTTTTATTTGACTGATATGTTGTTTGCCGACTATTAAATAAAATACAATGAGGTCGGGCCACGCGTGTGAGTTTTCCGGGTTTTTATATATATGTAATTCAGATTTATAAAAATGCTGTATTCAAGTTTTTGTCTATCGTTTAAAAATCATTATGATATTTATATTTGCTGTCACCACTATTTATTCCCTACCCTTCCAAAGAAATATTGCATTGAGTTGTCAAGACTAACTCTTCCATCATGTACATATTTAGCTTAATGTTGCAGTACGGCTTTTTACAGAGCACATTCAGTCTCCCATATGGCGGGTACTGTGTGAAGCCGCAAAACATCAGCAGCATAATTTTAAATTCAGACAGCGCAAACGCAAGCATGTTCTGCGTAATTGGAAAATACTCCACTGTGATAAACTGGCTCGATCACAGCAGCAGCATGGTGGCCAAACAGTGCACAACACAAGATACATTCACGCACGACCTTGCAGTCGAGGTGTACACGAGGGCGTCTCCACTCATGCGATTTGTTTGAGGAAAAACAATATTAGCGTCCAGTTAGTCATACGGATTGCACGGACTTGGACGGAGGGTGTGGTGTGCTGGGGTGTCTGATCAATTCAAGCCCTTTCTCAAAATAATTGTGCCTTCGGGAATAACATTGGCAGACATTGCAGGTGAGTTGAAAAGGGCGTCTCCAGGATTGGTGGCAGCTGCCACATCAAATAAGACGCTGCTCAGTTTGTACTGGCGCGGGTATCGTCTCAAAGCCCGGTAGAGGTTGACCATGGGCAAAATAACTATGGCCTGCACTTGTTTCCGCATACTAGAGATAATGGTTTGTCTGTATGCGAGTATGACAGCGAGCTACCACCTTTGTATTCCGAATAATATGTCCTCTTGTGATACATGGCTATTTATATCATGATCCTGGTTGCAGGGATATACTGCAAGCTAATATTAACAAAAATGTTTCTCACCTTTTGATTTAAACATAAAGCAAAGCGTCTAGCTGCTACACGTGCCTAATCATGAGGTTGAACAACACGTTCAATTGTTCTTTTTCAACAATTATGTGTATATATTTTTGCTCTTAAATATTTTCAAATATCTGGATTGTCAAAAAAATGAACAAAGTGCTTTGGACAAAACCCGCTCACTATAGTTTTTTGTTTGCATTCAAAAAATAATAAAAAAGTTGAACAATCGAGTATATCGGGATGCCCACATTGTTTGAAAAAATGTTTCTTTTTTCTTTTCTTTTGGAAATCGGAGTAAAACTTCATATATGCATATATTGAGAATCTAAAGTCATAAATTTGTGTAAATGCAGTCAAAAAACTTAATTGCGAACTCCTCCGCTTGGTATGCATTCCGAAACTTTCCGAGTCACAAATGAATGGCAAAAGAATAAAAGTTCAACTTGATTAGTCGTATAAATACAAAGAAAAATTCACCTTAAAAATGCAATTTTAGTTTTGTAACTTGTCTTTAACATCATTAACTACCAGTCATTCTCAATTACTTAATACCACTAATAATATCATCAGCCATGGCCTTATATATTTGTCAATTTTGCAGCTCGTGGTACGACAACAAGACATGGTACGACGGTCATTTGTATACAACCCACAAGATAATCAGCGACACTAGTGAATCGTCGGTCACATTATCTACCAGAGTCATGAACAGTACTAATATGAAATCGAGACACAAATCGTGGGCTCGCAAACTCCGGGCATTATTTTCAACAAAGTCTCGAATATAAAAAATTAGTTGTTTTTAAGTAGTTTCAAATTAACATGCGGTTTTGAAACAAAATAAAGCACATGGTGTAACCACCCTTAAACTATGCATTTAGGTATGTGCAAATTGACGAAATATACACTTTTTCTCTCCGCCAAAAATAGCCAGAAATCTCCACTTCAAAAAATAGTGCAAATGGGAGAATATTGTGAGGAGAAAAATGGAAACGCTGTTTTAAAACAGACATTTGGAAAACATTGAAAACATAAAGTTAAATTAATCCTCTCCGCATTTGTATTCATCTATTTTTTGCGGTGGAGTGAAAAATCAACATTTTATTATTTATTTTACATTCCTTAAAGCACACCGCGCCCAAATTTTCTTTATGGTCTTGACGGACAATATAAAAGCGCAAAAAATTGCCGCCTTTGAAAAAACAACTTTTACAAATCAATATTAACAAATATCAACTCACTTTTTGCATACCATTTTGACACTATTATAAATTATAAATTATAAATAAAATGCAGACTATTATTGGAATTTTTGCTCTGGCCTTCTGCGCTATTGCTTCACCCGTTCTTCCTCCCATTGACCCTCACAATCCTCTGACCAACCCTGCTACCAACAAGGACCTATTCTCACCAACCCTGCCTGGCTTTTCCCCAATGGCAACAACAACGCTACTCCCGAGCAGATCCAGACTATCCAGAACCAGATGATTACTCAGAAGAACCTTGAGGCTTTTGCTGCCCAGCTCGCTGCTCAGGCCGGTGTTGCGCCCCCTGCTGGAATTGCCCCTGCTCCTAATGCTAGCCAGCTTCATGCTCAGGCTCAGGCCCAGGCCCAGGCTCAGGCTCAGGCTCAGGCTCAGGCCCAGGCCCAGGCTCAGGCTCAGGCTCAGGCTCAGGCTCAGGCCCAGGCTCAGGCTCAGGCTCAGGCTCAGGCTCAGGCTCAGGCCCAGGCTCAGGCTCAGGCTCAGATCCAACTTCAGGCCCAGCTTCAAGAGCAGGCCCGTGCCCAGGTGCAGGCTCAGCTCCAGGCTCAGCTCCAGGCTCAGCTCCAGGCTCAGGCCCAGGCAGTTGGTCCCATTTTCCAGGTTTCGACCCTCAGACCGCCAAGGCCGCCGTTTCCCAGAAGGTTTCTGCTGCTGAGCAGACCCCCGCTCAGGATTCTGACCCAAGGGCAGGCAGTTCTACCACCTCGACAGCAACGACGACGAGATTGTCTACTAAGGAACCCATTCATTATTTGCATTTGCTTGATAACTAAATAAATTATTTTTATATTAAAAACTTGCACCTCTTTGGGTACTAGTTGTCTTATACTTGACCCAATGTGCGCCGATACCAGCTCTACATTGTAAATTAAAAACAATTTTTTTTACAAAAAAATATAAATTAGGGTGTTGGTCTAACCGTATGCAATAAATAAATAAATTGAAAAAAATGTTATACATGTAAATGACATTTGGCGAGGGGCGTGTTTCAGCATTGATACTCGCCTTTGCGCTCCATCATAGTGTCAAATCCATATGCCGCATATCCATGGGTGAATATTCCCAAAACGATTCCTGCACATGCTTGCGAAGCAAACTCATCAAACCTGGTAAAGAACGACAGAATATAAAATATCTGCCAATGATGCAAATGCAATTGATATCGGTATAGCGGAAGCGGTCCATTGGTCTGAACATTCAAGTAATGTAGGTTCTTGAGCCTTTCCTCGATATGCACTTTTTTCTGCTCGCATGATAGTGAGTTGATGCGCTCTTGACGCTCGGGTTCCATGGGCATGTTGAGCAGAGCTCTGCTAGTGCTAGCTGGTCCAACCTCGCTGTTTGTATCACTGAGCTCCCTCGATTCCGCATATTTTAAGGCTATTGGGCTAGGCACATTGGTACTGTCGCCGTTGCTGGGCAGCTGCTCTGACGGCGAGCTCAATTGCTCGGATGCACAAATGGCATATTGCTCTGCCCGCTCGCGCAGCTCCGCCAGCTGGATGACCTCTTCAGCCTGGTGCTCGCGGCGGCTCTGCGCGTTGCGCGACGTAAACAGGACCAGAGCAGCGCGACGAGTACGTTTTTCAATTCCTAGCCCTTCCGGGCAATTGTCTATGCAATGGTGATGCAGCTGCTTGACAAAAGCCGTCGACCAGACGCTTGCCGTTGCCAGCACAAACAAGGGCAGGTACCATTGCAAAATCCCCGCCTTGTACGACCAGCGTATGTGAAATCCGGCAGCCACAAGAACCGCCACCAGTCCAGCCAGGTTTACTGCCCATGCAGCTTTGCTCCAGGAGCGCCAGCCGGGCAGACTCATGCGCATAAATGGCAGCTCGACCAGACCGCAGTAGCATAAAAGGCCCACAAAGTAAAAGACCAGGGTGACCCAGCCAAACGTGTGTGCATAATTTCCCAGCGTAAACAAAATATAAGAGTAAATCAACCCGTTTGTCACGTCGTCGAAATGATCGACAATGCTCTTGAAGTCGCGCTCGAGATCAAAAAATGCGGCCACCAGGCGATAGACCAGCGGGCCGACGATTATGAGCATTATGTGAAGAGGATATAGCGGACAAAGTGAAACGACACAATTGTGGCTGCTCCGTGAAAGGCGTCCTCGTGCAAATAGCAGCCGCTCACAAAACTGTGATCCGTTGGGACAGTCTCGTTTGCACCCATGTATGCTTTGCGAGATAGGAAAATGGGTGTGTGCGTGTCTAAAAGAGAAGCGTAATACAAATAGAACTAATGCAGGAATACCAAAGAGAGAAGGGAAAGAATATAAAATTGCTGAAGCCGGGGGGCTTTGTCAGTTGATTTGGGCGCATGTTTGAGATAACGCAGCAAGCTTGTATGCGTGTATGTGGGAGGTAAAGAAATTAAAAGCCTCATTTGTGAGTGACGTCGAAGCCTTTTTTGTTTTTCTCCACAGCACGAGCCGAGTCGGGGTGTCTTTTCTTGTCTGATCCTCTGATCACGGTTCGCCACAAAGCTTCAAAGCTTCAAAGACCAGCAACAGCGACGTAAGCAAAAAAAGAAAAAGCCAGGCGGCCCCTTCCATTCGCATTTCTCTTTTTCACTTGCGCATTTTTATTTTTCTCGCTAAATTTGTACAAAAGAAATAAAATCTAGACAATTACAATGATTATCCGCGTAAGGTCGCACGAAGGCATGCATCGGGTCGAGGTAGGGCTCACGGACACACTCGCACAGCTCTTGCAGAAGCTCGCACCCATGATGAATGCACCAACACCAGACTCCATCATTTTGACTCGCGAGGCCGGCAGCCAGCAAATGCTGGCGGATTTTGAAAAGAGCCTGCTGTCTCTGGGGTTCAAGCATGGCGACATGCTCTTTGCCTCCGTAGCCGCGTCTGCGCGGCCCAGTGTTGAGCCCACAAGCACACACGCAACCACTAGCAGCACTGCATCATTTGTGCAGCAGGAGAGCGTTGACAACCAGCTGGAGAAGGACGACGGACTAATTAAGCGCAGGCGCGACGGTGGATTCTGCAAGCATGGAGCGAATTCAATGTGCGAGTACTGCATGCCCATTGAGCCATTTGACGCTGCGTATCTGGCAGAGAAGAAGATTAAGCATATGTCGTTCCACGCGTATCTGCGCAAAGTCCTTTCCGAGAACAAGATCCGCGGAGACATTAGCAGCAGCCTGCCAGTGAATATGCCGCTGCCGCTTGAGGATCTGGACTACCATGTCAAGTCAATTGCAAAAGTGGGCATGCGCAGTGGCCCGAGGGTATCTGCACTAAGTGCCAGCCATCTGCAGTTACTTTGCAGCGGCAGCCCTACCGCATGGTGGACAACGTAGAGTTTGCAACGCCAGCGCTCATCGAGAGACTGCTGACTTTCTGGCGGTCGACGCGCTGCCAGCGCTTTGGGTTTCTGTATGGCGCTACGAGCGCTCGAACGACGTGCCGCTTGGGATCAAGGCCGTGGTCGAAGCCATATACGAGCCAAAGCAGGCATGGGAGGAGGACGGGATAAAGCTGGCAATTGACTCGCCCGAATTCGATGCCGAAATAGCCCACGCTAATACGGCCGCCGAGCTGTGCGGACTCAAGGTTGTCGGCATGGTCTTTACCGACCTTGAGTCCACAACGAAGCGGGCAAGGTGCTTTATCGCCGACACGCCAACTCGTACTTTTTGACGTCCCTCGAGTGCCGACTGGCCGCATACATGGAGCTCAAGCACCCGAACGCCTGTCGCTGGGCGCGCAGCGGCCAGTTTGGGAGCAAGTTTGTCACCTGCTGCATAAGCGGAAACCAGGACGGCGACATTGATGTGACAGCGTGGCAGCTGTCGAACTCCGCCATGGCTATGCAGGCTGCGGACCTGATCGTGCCCAGCAGCGTGCCATCCAAGATGTGCGTTCAGGAGCCGACCAAAACTCGCTACGTGCCGGATGTCTTCTACAAGTATACGAACGAATACAACCTGCCCGTCACGGCCAACGCAAAGCCGGCGTTCCCCGTTGAGTACCTGCTGGTCAACCTGACCCATGGATTCCCCAACGAGCCAAACCCGTTGTTCAAGAGCGAAGGCCCATTTTACATTGAGAACCGCGAGCACTTGCACCAGGTCCAGACACTAGGCTTGGTCAAGAATCATATTGCCGGGGCGCAGGGATCGCTCGACAAAATGGCCGCGTTGCTGTCGGATTTCCACTTCTTGGTGTACCTGAGCAGCCTTGATATTCTCAGCGCAGACAATGTCAAGCTCATTGGGCGCATAATCACTGCGGAAACACCCGAGATGTCGGCACAGCTTACGGATGAGCTTTTGGCGTCAGATGGCTGGCAGACATTGTCGCTTATGCTCCAGGAGGCGTCGGAGAGTGACTTGAACCATGGAGCGGGCTCGGCTATGGACACTGGTGACTCTAGCGATGGGTTTAGTAGTGGAGCTCAGAATACTTCATCGGCTGGCGGCGGCAGTGGTCATAGTAGCAGTCCCTGGGCTTGCCGCCACTGCACGTTTGAGAATAGCCCAGCAAATGATTCTTGCGACATGTGCGCGTTGCCTAGAGACTAAGTTATGTGCCGAGTTTTAGGGTATTTTTTCTTACAGTGTATGTGTGCATATTTGTGGTATTTTATTCAATCGATTATTTTTTGTAGTCTTTATTTTAAAAAGAAAAAAGGATATGTTGCACGTCAAGTACACAAGTACTGTGTATATGGTGTACTCATGTACTTGTGTATATGTCGGATGGATAATTGGACCAATACTCACAACTATAGTTTTACTAATGTTGGGGACCGCGCCGCAGTATTTCATTTGCAAAATTCTTTGCAGTAGCAGCTCACTTGCAAAGCAATGTGCTTGGGCTGTAGCACGGTTGCACGGATTTGAACTTTTCAATATTGCGCATAAGCCAAGCGCCATTAGGCGTCTGCTGCACTCCAATACTTGCAGCCAGCAGTTTGTTTTCAGCCGATAAATGCGCAAATGCAGCCGCCCCTTTTTGCTCGTCAATGGCCATACCCAGGGCGGTTTAACTCTGGAGTTTTGGTCGGAAGAAACCACACGAGCTAGTTGATCTGCGTCTGCGTTGTGCTTTATTGTTTGGGTGAGTTTGGCCACCAACGAGTCAACATTGTCGTTGGCATGGCATGTGCAATTGTGGTTTGAAGATTAGACATGGAAATACCGTAAATGCCATTTTGGTTCAGGCATCCGTACAGAGCAATAATGCCAGACTTGTACTGCAAAGCTGCTCCGCTGTCGGCTGCAGTATTCTGAAAGACCAAACCTGGCAGTCAATGCGCGTGTAATTGCGGGCAGCGGCTGTTTTTGGATTAATGTATTTGTCCCAATACACAACTAGATCATCCCTGTTCAACCTGCGCAATGCCCTGATTTTCTCATTTGTCGCTATGAAATTAAACACAGCGTGTTTTGCTCGTGGCCAGAACCCGCCGGTGTTTTTTTTCAATACTGACCAGGGCACGCCCTGGCATGCGCTAATCTGCGTTTCTATCTGCGAGGTCAGCTTGCGCTCATCATAGTTCACGAGAGCTTGGCGGAACTCGTCGATAAACCGGTCAATGCGCATTGTGGCATACACTGGGTTAGACTCCCCTCGACTGAAAACGACAAGATGGATCTTCCAACACCAAAAGATATATTTTCTGCGCCGACCGAGTATCCCAGATACTCCACGGTGCGCAGCTGGCTAAAGTATGCAGAGTTAACGAGGTTAAAAAGCACTGTGCCTGCCGCAGTGTCGTGCGCATTGGATAATTGGCCACAGTATATTTGGCTATCACGGCGCTACCTTCTGGTCCTTGTCGGGCGCTGTTGTTGTTTGGATGTAGTGGCCCGGAGGAATATCGCTCACTGAATTGTTTGAGCGTGCAAAGGTTGGGATAACGAGGGGTATTATACTCACGTTGTTGTCCGCATGGCCTCTATCACGTCCCTCTTCTGCATTCTTCCGTAAAAAGTCATTTTTGTGTGCGAGGTATTGAAAATACACGCACATATAGTCTGCAAATCTGATGGTGTTAGGCTGGTCATTGCTTGGATCAAGGTTTCAGTATCCCAGATGTGCTTATTATTGATGCTGTGGAAATTACCCTTGGCTATTTTTTGTGGCGAATCCAACCTGGCAATATCGTACTTGTGGCCTAATTCGAACAAACTTATTTCGAAAAGCCGCTTATCCACGGTTATTGTGCCTTTAGTCTATCGATTATAGCGCATATAAGGGTTGTTTTTGTGTTTTGGAAGCCGTTGACGGCGATAATTATGGACGACTCTTGCTTGGAAATATTGATTTCTATGCCAAAACACATGGCGTCGTAAAACTTTTCACTGATGATTAACTCAGCGTACATAATATAAAGGTCGTGCAGGGCAGCTGAGCGCGGTGACTTGTTCATATCTGGTATATCTATTTTCGACATGATACTTCCGCGCGAGGATATCCCAAACCATGTCTCGTGCTGTACCACTTGTTGGTGGATCTGATAATCCTGGGTGTTAACTTTGATCTGGCGGGAAAACAATTTGAAAGAGCAGCAGTACTCTGCGTAAACCGGGCTCTGAGCACGCTTGGCAAGTGAACATTTGGCAAGGGAAATTCAAACTGATCAGTGCAGGCTATGTTATTTTCGAGCGCGCCCCGGAGGGCATGAGGAAGATTGTCGAGATGGAACTTGATGCCAAAATGCGTTTCTTCACTAGTACATTTCACTTTGTCATGTGTCTGAGCTCCGATAAGCAGAACGTAGTTGTGCGGGTTTATATAGCCGATGAACTCGCTAATAAAACTTTGGTTATATTTGACCGGCACTTGGGCTTGTGAAAGTATGCGGGCAGGCTCAATACACTCGTTGTGGCAGTGTTCGGCAAGCTCACATATCCAGCTGACAATATCATCTGCAGTCCTGGTATTAAAATCAAACAATTTTATGCAGGAAAGCTCGTCAAAGTACCATTCCTTGAGACCCTGTTTGGTGACCACGTGCAGGTACACAAAGACAGCACGGACAATTTCCTCATAGTAGGTTATTCCATCGTGGGTTGCATATAGGCGGATGTGCAGAAAATTGAATTTGTCGTAGATACTATTTTCTATTCTGGCATCTATGCCGTTTGCCCAGCCTTGGTGCTTAAGGAACTGCAGGAGCGATCCTTTGCCTTGCCGGCTTAACAGTGAGCACAGGTAGAGTTCGGCACCTGATGCATACTGGGATTTGGTTTCTGGAAATGCAAATACAAGCTTGATATAGCAGTCGTTGGAGACAGACTCGAAATGCACGATTTTGCCCAAGTGGTTGCTACTCAAAGGGTGTGGGTTGGCAGCAGGGGTTTTGTCACACCCTTGCTTTCAATACTGGAAAACATGGACACAGCCCATTCCGTCAACTGGTCAAGACCATGATTGCCATATATGACCAAGTTCATTATATCTGCGGAGTAAAATTTTTGGTAAAAATTGACCAGCTCCTGGTGCAAATCAAGGCCCAACTTATCCGCCGACCCCTTTAGCGTCCCGGTGTTTCCATTTCCATATATTGCATAGGGGTGTGTCTGATCAGTGATAGCCTTAAACATAATGTATTGCCGCCATGAGTCCATCCTCGTGTATAGGGTGTGTTCTGAATCCACTGCATGCAGTTCCCTGTGGACACTGTCGGCATTGATCAGGGGATCAATAAAGAAACGCGAGAAACGGTCGAGGGCACCCTCGAGGCCGCTGTTGCTTACGTCAAAGTGGAAACATGTATTTGCGTTGTCCGTGTAAGCATTGGCTTTTCCTGAAAACTCGGAGAGATATGCCCTGTACCCGTCCTCATCAGGATACTTTGCAGAGCTCTATGCATAAGATAAAGATAAATGTGTGGGTTAATTTAAATGAGTATATTTATGTAGGGACACACTGCATTACATTACCACAATGTGGAAAGTGAATTTGTATATATATATGTGAGAGATATCTTACCATGAAAAGCACGTGCTCAAGTAAATGAGCCAACCCAGGAAGTTCTGGCGGATTAGCCATATGACCGACATTAACACTGAGCGCAGCTGCGGCCTGCTTGGCATCAGGGTTATGCACACACACAGCAGTTAGATTATTGCTCAGACGGACCAATCTATACTCGCAGCTACTATCCGTTATGTCCTCAAAACCCCCACTAACACCAATAAACTCTTGATATGGTAGATGTAGCTTGTAAGTTAACCGAGATTCGAACCCTGTTTTCCAATCAGCAAGGACTTCCCTATGTTTAAAGTTGATATTTGGTGTGTGGTGTGTGGAATTAAAAGACATTATTAAAAAGGTGAGACTAAAAAGAGGAATAAATATATTAGAAAAATAGTTTTATTTTTTGTATGGATAAATAAAGTAGACTAGAAAAAGATAAAAACTATGTTGTGTTTGTATACTCTTTATGTGTGTGTGTCCTTTTCAGTATTGTGATTCTTTTAAATATTGATTTTATAAAGAAAATATCTGTGGTGCCCAACACACATTTCAAGCCACTATCTTCCCTTTTCAAGAATCAAGATCGCCATCATGGCCACTATACACATTTCTGTTATTGCTGGCTGACATCAAGGAATACCATGATGTTTACAGCGCTGCCCACACAGCGCTGCCCCCTTTTTCAGTTAAGTAAGTAATTTTTAAGACTTGAATATATCGATTTAGACCCACATTTTTATAGAGCACGACATATTTTTTTTTGTGAGGTGTAAAAACCAATTTTATTTTATTTTATTTCAAAACTTGCAAGTTTATATTTCGGCAGACGTGCCACTCATCATCTATAAAGAAAACAACAACAGAAACTATGGCACTTAGACGCCGCTCTCCAGGACTCCCCTACAACCTGGGCCTGGAAGACAACTTTACTGCATTTACCGTCTTTGAGGATCCGATACTTCAAGGGAATTATGATGCGTACAACGACGAAGATATTTACCGCGTAATGGACAACTTCCTTCAGGTATGGTGGAGACGTGTTCAGCGAACCAGGCTGGTCGAGAGCCTGATGCAAACCAACCCAGACGAGATTGCAGACCTAATGGACTGTTTTACGACGACGATTAGGTCGCGCGAGAAGGTTGAGGAGCAAGTGGAAATTTACCTTAACTACAAGAAAGTACACCCATTGTTCCTCCCTAGTGAACCAAGCCATAGCAGCCTCTCCACTGAGTCAGCACTCCCTCGAAGCCAACCTAAGATTGTGTTCCCCACATTTGGTGTGAATGACAAGTCGATGATGGAGCTTGCCGATTTCCTTGTGCATTTCGAAAATGCGCTCAATGCCATTAAGATGGGCCCTGGAGAATGGGGTGGGCACTTTATGGTTAATGTCGGCGGTGAACTGCTTGAATTCTTCACCGACCACTGTAGCAAGATCGATGACTGGGACATAGCCCGTGGTAAGATAGAAGCACACTACCTGGGTATTCAGTATCGCGCCAGGCAGGCACGCCAGCTCAGCGAACTGACGATTGATGAGGGTGAAACGCCCCTCCAGTGCATGAAGCGCCAGCTGGTACTACACCGCCGCTTCATGGCAAAGGGTTCCGAGGTTGAATTTATGTTTTGGACGATGCTGGGGAAACTGCCCGCCGAGGTTCAGGACTATGTCGAACTTCACCTGCCAGAGGTGGAGTACACACCAAGAGACCTTCTGTCTTTCCTTGAGTCTGCACGAGTGGCACACATGCCCTACACCAAGACTGCTAACCGAGCTAGTGGTGCAGTAGGCCGGGCCAGTAATGGCAATAATGCCAGCAAGAGCAAGGAGGCAACCAACAAATGGTGTGAATTCCATCGCTCACATACACACAATTCCACTGATTGCAATGCTCAGAAGCAGCAAGTAGCGACAGTGTCGACAACCAAGCCCACGACGGGTGGAGCCATGACTAACGGCTCAACAAGTGTGACCTGCTTCAAGTGTCACCAGGTCGGACATTTTGCATCCAGATGCCCGACGAAAGTGCAGTCAGCCAATGTCAGGTTGACGCATGTAACCGGGGCTAATCAGCCACCGGTGGACGCCGATCCACCTCTAGCACCGTTGTACATCGACGGGCAGGTCGCGATGGCGTTGATTGACAGTGGGGCTGACACAGTGCTCCTCTGCCAAGAGTTTGTAGCACACCATGGGATCGCAACCCTACCAGCCATGCTACAGGTCACCGGTTTTGGCGAGAAGCCATCCCTGGTCGACAGGATGACGGTGCCACTGCGCCTGCAGTGTGGCCAAATGGATGAGATGGTTTCATGCTTTGTTGCCCCTTCAAGCGCGAAATACCAGATCACCATTGGACGCCCGCTGTTTGCACGGATTGGTATACAGTTGGCCAATGTGCCTTTCAAGCTCGTTGACGCCTTTGCACCAACAGTGATTATGGAGACGCCAATACCATCACTCATACACGATGAGTGCGACACCACTTTTGACAGTCCACGTGCAAAATTAATGACTGTAATTGAGCCGCTGCTTGCTGCAAATCAAGCTACTCCGGCAGACGCAGCCTGTCCAGTTCCAGAGGCACTTGTGCGCCTGCCCACACAGCCGGGGAAGACTGTATTCAAACGACAGTACCCTTTGGCCAATGCAGCGCGCCCTGTTGTTGACGCACAGATCACTGAGTGGCTCGAGACGGGCACTATTGAGACTGCGCCAATGCTGTCGGTGTTCAACACACCGATGTTCCCAATTCCGAAGAAAGATGCCAGCGGTAATAAAACACTCCATCGAATTTGCCATGATTTTAGGCAGCTGAATGCTATATTGGAGCCAGATCTTTATCCCATCCCGCTGATCAGCGACATCTTTGCCGCGCTTGCAGGTGCAACCGTCTTTTCGACAATCGACCTCAAGTCAGCATTCCACCGGTTTCCCATAGCGCCAGAGGACCAGTACAAAACGGCGTTTACATGGAATAACACACAGTATGTGTTCCGCCGGGCACCATTTGGTCTGAAGACACTGCCATCAGTTTTCCAACGTGTGATGCAGCAACTTTTTGGGCGCATGCCATTCGCGCTCTGCTACATCGACGACATTGTCATCTACTCACGGTCAGTTGAGGAGCACAGAAAGCATGTTGTGCAGGTGCTGCAAATTCTCACGGCAAACTGCCTTGTTGTGAATCCTGGCAAGTGTCATTTTATGTCAGCACGTATTCGGCTGTTGGGTTTCATGATCACACCAAGCGGCAAACAAATGGATCCAGAGCGCCTAGTGCAGGTGGAATCATGGACCATCCCACACACGATTAAGGAGCTTCAGCATATCCTGGGTGTTGCAAACTATCTGCGCGAGCATATACCAATTATGTCCATGGTCACAGCACCACTCGATGCACTTCGCAATGCAGACAACCTCACTGCAGCCTGGACGGATAGGCACACAGAAGCACTAGGTGATCTGCAACAGGCCATTGCACATGCGCTTTCACTGTCATTCCCTAATGATGATCTGCCTTTCCAAGTGGCAACAGATGCGTCCAACACTGGCATTGGTGCAGTGCTCTACCAGGTGGATGCAAATGGTGTTCATCATTATCTCTCATGTGTCTCACGTTCGCTCAACCGCGCTGAGCGTAATTATTCGGCTACCAAGCGCGAGCTGCTGGGAATTGTCTATGCACTACGCAGCTTCCATCAATACCTTTACGGTCGGCACTTCACGCTTTTTACAGACCACAAGGCGCTGACCTACATGCACTCCCAGGATCATCTGAATGCCATGTTGATCGGCTGGTTTGAGGAGCTTTCATCCTACGATTTTGCAGTTGTGCATCGCCCAGGAGTTGACAACATCCTCCCTGACCATCTCTCTCGTGTGTACAATGCACTTGTGGGGGGTGAAGACATGCCGGTTGCAGCCGCGCATGCCTTGCAAGTATTAATCGATGACCCCACCCAGCGCATCAACCTGGTCAAGAAGCAACACCTGCAGGGGCACTTTGGCATTAAAGCTGTCGCAGGCGCATTACATGCTGCTGGTCATACTTGGCCAGGTATGCGCAGGGATATTGCCAACTACATTGCCACTTGTGTTGTCTGTCAGCGGCACAACAACACACCAGTTGTGCACCATCAACTGCAGACCATTTCGTCGGATACACCATTCCAACATGTTGCTGTCGACCTGGCAGGACCATTCCCGACATCCAGCAATGGCAACAATTACCTACATGTGTTGATTGACATTCACACACGATTTGTGTATTTAGAGGCTATCCCAGACAAGCAAGCTAAGACCATTGCAGCACTCTGGACGCGCATTTTCGGCAATTTTGGCTTCCCCAAGATCATTCAGTCAGACAATGGTGGCGAGTTTGTTAACCGAATTGCCAAGCACCTTACACAAGCATCTGGCATCGACCATCGTCTGATTACAGCATACCATCCACGTGCCAATGGTGCTGCTGAGCGTACAGTGCAGACGGCCAGCCAGGTTATCAGCAAGCTAGTGGCAGGACGCAAGGCGACATGGGACCGCTGTGTTCCTTTCGCACAATATGCAATGAACACCAAGATTTCTGCACGTCATGGTTTTACGCCTTTCTTTGCCATGTTTGGGCGTGAGCCAAACATGCTTGCCGACCACACTGATGAAGAGCTGCTGGATATGGAGGCAACCACTGAACAGATCGAGCAGCTACGTGAACGTGCACTCAGCATGCGAGGCACTCTCTTTACAACAGTGGCACAGCGCACAGCTGTTACCAATGACAAGCAAACTGCACGATTCAAGAACAGGCACAAGATAATGGAGTTTGAGGTTGGAGCAGCAGTCCTTATCCGCGGCGAGCGCATGCACAAACTTGAGGCCAAGCATACTGGTCCTTACTGCATTGTCGCTATAATAGCACCTGGCACCTACAAATTGGAGGATATGACACGTGAACCACTGCCGCGCAATTATACGACGTCACAGCTTATTCCTCTTGCATCAGCACCCGACTTTGATGAGACTCACGCCGAGGTGTTAGCCATCACCAGGCACAAGAACACACGTGGTGGTATCCGCTACTTAGTTGACTGGCTTGATGGCGACAGCACCTGGGAGCCGACAAGCAACTTTGACTCACTGGATCTGATTCAGGAGTACTGGGACAAGATTAGCGACCAGTCTCGTAGGGAGTGATGTGGTGCCCAACACACATTTCAAGCCACTATCTTCCCTTTTCAAGAATCAAGATCGCCATCATGGCCACTATACACATTTCTGTTATTGCTGGCTGACATCAAGGAATACCATGATGTTTACAGCGCTGCCCACACAGCGCTGCCCCCTTTTTCAGTTAAGTAAGTAATTTTTAAGACTTGAATATATCGATTTAGACCCACATTTTTATAGAGCACGACAATATCAGCCAAAATAAAATAAAAAAACCAAATAAAATATATAAAATGTTTCTTTTATTTTTCTTTGTATATAAATATTACAGCCAGGGCTTGATTAGGTCACATCGGCTTGGTCAAACCTTAGGTTGTTTTAAGTATTGACTGTGACATCAGAAATGGGGGCTGAGTCACATGACAGCACAGACGCGTGAAATATGTTTATAATATTTCATGCGCACAGCGAATTCTGAACAGTGAGCTCTTCAGCTTTTTTTGTAGTCTCATTTTAATTAATATATATTATAACTAGCACAATTCTCGTTACATTGACAGCAAAGAAATCTATACTTTTTGTTTTTGTTTTAACCACGTAGGAATACATAAAAAGGACGAGATGGAAGGCTCTGTCCTATATTCTTCTTGTGGAGAAATAAAAACAAAATTTCTATATATTAACCACTTGTAACAAAATTTTAGACATTTTATTTTTAAAATAAAAGCAATAATACATGCCTCATAATGGTCGCCTATGCCTTTTGTCAGCACATGCCTCAGTTTTCTCAGTAGATGGATGCATTTTCTGATCCGAGGATGCCATCAGCTTATTCGGGGCAACATTACTTGAATATAGCTTTTGCTATTTCCTGTTCAAGCTTGGCAACTTTTTTTATCATTATCTGTCATCTGTCTAAGTTTTACAGCTCTGAAACATTGGTTCCAACTAATGCTGCTGTGTTTGCAGGCTCATGCTATTTGCTTGCTGGTTCTCTCAGTACCAGCTTTTTGTAAATTTTCCCTTGCTGAACAGCTGGGGGAACTATGCGCTTATCGCCTTCAAGAATGACACATCTTATTCAGCGGCCCTTCGATATCGTTAGGATTTACATTAATCGGATTCATATATAGCACTTTCCACAAATCTGGGAGTAATTCCCGCACACCCTGACTGACAACCATTGACCCATCAATATAATATAGCAAGCTCAGTTATCATCTGCACAAGCCAGTTAATTACAGTGTCATGCAATAACTTCCTTAAATCCCTCACCATTCTGAATGCACTTTGTCAGCTCAACCTGGAATACTCTTACAAGGAACAATTCTTAAAATGCCATCAGTTAGGGCTCAAGCGACTGTCCAAAAAATCTGTCTAGCAGAAGTGTTGTGTTAAAAATTATATATATTCAAAAAATGAACTCAAAGTTAAAGGATGAACAGCCTCCACTGTTCATATTCATTAGTATTTATATGTGCATATGAATTCCCACATATCCGAGTAGGGAATTGACTGGTGATTGATTCTGTTGGTTGATGGCGATCAACTGATTAACCAGTCTTGACCGTTTAGCCACACAAACAATAAGTCACACAGTGACCAAGGCAATATGCTCACTACTATTTACCTTTCATAGTGCATAGCACTTATTTATTAAATATACTTTATAGTATTATAATTTATCTACAAGTTCATAGAACGTTCTATATTCCAACAATTTCCTTTATAGGCAATGCCCATCAGTTGCCCTTTTCTTTGCGAGTATGAAGACTCACAGTCATAAAAAAGGTAAACCAACATTTATTATTTTTTCCTCTTCTCTTTTCCTAACTTTTACAAAATATAGATTTAGTATATTTATGAAATACACTCGTTAACAATATCTGTATATTTGGGTATAATGTAGTCGAAAACAACATTATCAAAATCCATAATTATGTAGCGCCTGGGTGTTGATGTACTAAGTAAATTGAACTGTTTAATAATGTAAAAATAAGGAATATTTAAGGGGGGATATCTGGTGTGTAACTGAAGAAACAGCGCCGTGTGAGTGGCACTGTAAGGGTTTTTGTTGACATTTGATGTGAGCAAGCAATATCAGAAATGGACACTGCGCCAGCGCTAACATTATTGGCAGTGTTGCCACATGAAAACAGCAAGAGAAATCCAAAATATGACTTGGGCACCACAGATTATGTATCTAGTTATTCAAAACTGAAAACATCACGGATAATCACAAATTTCAATATTTATACAGCTGTAGCTATTATTTTCTCAAATATATAGCTTATTGCATTCACTATTAAATATGTTATACTTCATATGTGCACGCTTCAATTTAGCATTAGTATTTGAATGTAAATAATTTATAGTAAATATGTAAAAAATATATTTCAAAATTAACCTCCCTAAAAATAAACAAATTAGCTAGTTCATCGCGTTTGGCTCGCTGCTCTCAGTTCCTGTCTTGTTCAATAATTCTCGGCAACACTCAGCAGCATCCTCCAACATGGCCAACAGCTCTTTGGCAATAGTTGGTGCCATGTCAGCACGCACCTTAAACGGATCAATCATTGGAGTGTCCATAGCTTCTTGCCATTCAGCCAACAGTGCAAATATGGATGACGAAGAAAGTGAACTGGGCGTGACTTTTGAGGCGGATGATTCACAGTTGCCATGGTTAAAAGGCTGTTTCATATTTGCACCCCTGCCATTCTCACTGCATCCCGCATTGTCGATTAGAATATTGCGCATCATGCTCAACAACCCTGCAAGAACATTGATATAATCCACCCTAATATCAAACTGGTTGAGGATAGATTTAAACATGAAACTGCTGTCCAAATTGTCGCGCTTGTAGCTGGCAATGTCCTTCAATGTTGTGCCGTCAACCCAATACTTGATTTTAGCAGCTGCAATCCTTCTGTGCTCATCTGCGTCACTGTCATGTTTAGGCGTGCCATTGAGCCCAAATGTCCCGAGCCACACCAAGACATAAATCAGTGCCTCCCAGTCGTCAAGCTCGGTACGCCTGTTGTTGTTGCCCTCGAGGTTGTTCACGCTCATGAAATTCAGTGTGCCGATATGCTCGTTTTGTGGCATCATGTCCAGATTCTCGCAGTCGATTGCATGGTCAAAATCAATCAACATGCCCTTGACGGTGCCATCCACCATACGCTGGAAAAGAAAGTTGCCTGCTGAGATATCACGGTGCAATATATTACAGTGCTCGGCAATGGCGTGGTGAGCGCGCATAGCATCAGCAACAGCGATGATCAGCTCAGGGACAGACTGGAGCTTATCAAGTGGCATGCCAATCGGCGACGTGGCAATGCGCTTGTGTGCACAAAATGGCAGCTTCCGAATCTTCTCGCCGACTGTGACATTGTCAAATAGGTCCCCAAGAATGCTGCGCGTCGTGTCCTCAGTACATGTATTGCTGCTGCAACTCTGGAATTTAATGCGACCGCCGGCTTCGAGGACTGGATATGTGCCCGCAAGCTCTGGATAGCACTCGAGTATCCGGGTGATCTTGCGCAAATGGGCAACCTCGTCGCGCACGTCATTGATACCACTTCCATCAGCCACCTCGGTCCAAGCGTCCTTGATAAAAACGGTGCAGTCCTTGCTTCTGATGCGACTGTCTCTGGTTGGCTTCTTATCCGTTGCTAAAAAGCACCGCGTGAGCCGCCCAAACAAATGACTAGCCTCAGTTAATATGTGGCTACTGTAGAATGTGCGTTCAGTAGATCCAATAGATCCATAAGAACTGGCATTGCCACCGCTGTTGTCCGTGCCATCAGTGCTGTCCGTGGCAACTGTTCTGGGAACCGTAATCTCCCAACAGTCGAGGTCATGCAAGTGCTTAATGCTTGGGTCGAAACCCAGCCGGTGGTCCTCGCTAAAGGACAAATTAACAAACAGCTTGATGACCTCGCCGCGGCCCGCCTCGGTGCAAATGTCCATGGCTTCAGAGACCAGAACAAAGTTGCATCCAAACAAGTATGCCCGGACAGAGCTGCCGCAAATAGTCAGGCCCCACACAAAGCGCCGGTTGGGCTGCGCGCGATAAATGCGGCGACAGTGCTTAGACAGCTGCAACGCGGCATCGTCCACGTCACCCGACGACAAGCCTTGCCCGACCTCGATGGCGGCAAACAGACCGGCGTACCACTCGTCGTTGTTGTCGATTGCGTCTACATTGCCGTCCAACGTTGCCTCGGAGCTGTCGGTCGTAGCGACAGTGGCCAGCGTAGAGTCGATTCCCAAGCCAATCCGAACAGTGGTCTGGCGGGTGCACTCTTCTCTAGTATCTGTAGTGCTGACTGGCGCAATGGACGGAATGAGCACCCGGCGTGGCTCGGGGCGTCCTTGCCCTCCCTTGGCATGCTGATGCAGCCCCTGAATAATACGAGATACGAACGAGGTAAATGACTCGGCACCCTTGCTTACGTCGCCAATGCTGCTGCTGTGGTCGCCAGATGTGTGTGCGCCTGTCCACCTGGAAAGCGCATCGTAGTCCTGCCTGAGCCTGCTCGCCAAATAATCAATGGCGGCGTAGTTCGAGCGAGCTAGCCGAACGGGCCAGACCGAGTCGGCGTTGATGAGCTCTTCTATAATAGCCAGGTCGCCAGCCGGCGTGTGCTTGGAGCCAGATGAAAGCTGCCCCATGGCCCGGTAAACAATATCAGCAACCGTGGCCGCCCTCTGCTTGTATTCCGCAGCCACTGGTGCTGCCAGTTTGACGACGCTGGGATGTGGTCCGCTGAGGTGTCGCTTTAACTCGCGCATAGCCGGCTCCATACGCTCAAGCATCTTTTGTCTTTCCGACGAGCTGGGCTTGGCATCAACGTGGGCGCTGCTGAGACAAGAGCCGGGTGCTGTGTCGGCCTGCTTGTCACCAGCTGGATTGCCTTCTTTTGTGTTGCTGCCTACAAAACAATTTAAGAATAGTAAAATGCTGTTAGTATGCTGTGAGCGCACCAAAGCACTTTACGCTGGCCGCAAGAATATGTGTCGGCATACGCAACTGTCTGCAAATAAAACAAACACTTACTATCGGACGGCGTAATAGGCACAAGCTGGGCTTTTTTCTGGCGTGGGGCTGCTTTCTTCTTGTACACGTGTTTTCTGTTGTTTTGCGGCTGCGCGGCGTTAGCAGCAGTATCCGCGTTTTTCCTTGCTCTCTTGCCTGACGGTGCCTGCTTGGAGACCGCGGCAGCCTTTCTCTTTGTGTTTGTTGGCTGAGAAGCGTTCATCTGTCGCCTCTGCCGCTTTGCGGTAACTGGCTGCGCACAGTCGTTTTGACGGACTCTCTTTGTCGGCATGTTTAGAATATAAGTGTGAATTAAACAAGAAGGTGATTCTGGTTTGCGAAGCGTGTAACTATTGAAAATATATCAAAAGAATTTGAACGGAGAGGAAAAAGGAAAAAAGAAGAGAAACAGTTATGCGCGTGATGATTTGCAATAACAAAATACAAACAGAATCAATGGTAAATATTTTAATCTTCGCGTTCCGCAACACTAATTCAGGACAGCCGCCTCAACTACCGCGCACGACACAATCCCTCACATTCGGAAACCACCACCACTGTCCCCTCGATAGCTATAAACACAGCTCCGCCGCCCATTGCAAGGGAATTATTGTGGATTACTCGTTTAATGTGTTTCATTGGGTTTTTATAATAATAATCACATTAAGGTACTGTGTCCAAAACTGGTAAATATTTTAGTTTTTGTTTACATTTGGCAAACGAATATTCAGCGCTTGTCTTTTATTTACACTTATTATTCTTTTTGGATCTTGCAAGCAGTTGTATTGCAAGCAGCTTATTTTATCTGC